CTTCAACTATAAGAAATAGATCAACTATATTTGTTGTATGGAAGGATTGTAAGGTGTATATGTCTGTCTGGCAGGTATCATCTGACCTTGACCTCATTTTCATGGTTTATTCGTCCATGTTAAGTTTTCATGGTTAAGTTTGTTTCTTAGATACTATAAGCAATAGGTCAACTATATTTAATGCATAAATTGATTGTAAGGTGTACATGTCTGTCTGGCATGGTTCATCTGACCTTGACCTCATTTTCATGGTTCATTGGTCAATGTAAAGTTTTCTTGGTTAAGACTGTTTCTTAGAAACTATAAGCCATAGGTCAACTATGTTTGGTTTATTGAATGATTGTAAGGTGTACATGTATTTCTCGTTTGGTTTATCTGACCTTGACCTCATTTTCTTGGATCATATTAAGTTTATGTGTTACTTGTATTAAAGCTTTATATTTAGGACTTTCAACATAAAATCAATGGTTAGTAAAGAAGGCGAGACATTTCAGCGTGTGCACTCTTGTATGTCAAAAGGGATGATTTCAGCTTTCCAGTTGTCAACTTTCCATTTCTATTTAGCAATATTCCAGCAGCCCTGCATTTAGCTATTGGGTTAAATTGAAGGTCACATGAATATGAATTCAATGAGGTCAAATTATTCACTTGCAAGTGAATAATTCATCAGCAATGTTTCTTTGCTTATTTTGACAAAATTGAACCAAATTGGTTGCTAAAAACGAATTATTGTTCATCATTTCACTTATATTAATGATTGAACCAAACAAAATCATATTCTATTTTTATGCCCCCGCCGTAGCAGAGGGGACATTAAGTTTTACCCTTGTCCGTCTGTCCATACGTCCGTACGTCCAAAAATTTGTTTCCGTTCTCTAACTTTAGTTTGCCTCAACCAAATGTTATGAAACTTATACACAATGCTAATTAACACAAAACACAGGTCAAGTTTGAATTTGGGTGGCATCACTTTTACCGTTCTAGAGTAATGCCCCGTTACAAATGGAAAAATTGCTGAATTTTTCGTTTCCGTTCTCTAACTTCAGTTTGCCTCAACCAAATGTTATGAAACTTATACAAATTTGGGTAGCGTCACTTTTACAGTTCTTGAGTTATGTCCCTTTATAACGTTACATGCAAGTGGGGGCATTATCTGTGTCCCATGGACACATTCCCCTTTATTTTTCATATCTCGTAGCTAGTGCGCCTTTAAGTGTATGGATGTCTCTTAATTTGTACCACATTTTACAAAAAAAAAATTCTTCTTTTTTTTGGAAGGGGGGTAACAAAAATTTTTTTTTGGGGGGGGGGGGGGGGCAATTTTTTTCCTTTTCAGAAAATTCTCTTCAAATATTATTTTTATTGGAGGGGGGGGGTAAAAAAAATTGGTTTTGGGGGGGGTCAATTTTTTTCCCCTCAAGATTTAAGAAATTGTCTATTTTCTAAAGAAAAAAATTGGGGTCACAATAGTCTGAAAACAGATTTACTAAGTATTGCACAACAGCACAGTTTATTGCACAACAGCAAGAAATCTTCAATTGAATATAAAATCAAATTATGCATTTGGATTCCATACAATAACTTTAGTTTAAGAGTATGGATCTCAATGAAATTTATGCAAAAGGTTCAATACCACATAAGGAAGGTTGGGATTGTTTTTGAGGATGATGGTCCCAACCGTTTAGGAATTAGGGGCCAAAAAGGGGTCAAAACAAGCATTTTTCTAGTTTCAGGACAATAACTTGTTTATAAGTATTTTGATTGCTCTGAAATTGTACCACAAGGTTCAATACTACAAGTAGAAGGTTGGGATTTTTTGGGGGGGTTTTCAGGAATTAGGGGACAAAAAGGGTCTAAAACAAGCATTTTTCTAGTTTTCAGACAATTTTTTGTGTTTAAGTGTATGGATGTTTCTAAATTTGTTCCACATTTACAAAAAAAAAAATTCTTCAAAATTTTTTTTTTTGGAAAGAGGTGGCGGGGTACACATTTTTTTTTGGGGGGGGGGGCAATTTTTTTCCTCAAAAGAAAATTGTCTTCAAATATTATTTTATTTGGAGGGGGGTAAAATAAAAAAAAATTGGGGGGGTAAAACAAAAATTTTTTTGGGAGGGGGGGGGTCAATTTTTTTTCCCTCAAGATATAAAGAAATTGTCAATTTTCCAAAGAAAAAAATTGGGGGGTCACAATTTATTTTGCTAATTCTTTGTATACAGTCTGAAAACAGATTTACTAAGTATTGCGCAACAGCACAGTGTATTGCACAACAGCAAGAAATCTTCAATTGAATATTAATATCAAATCATACAACCAATTTCAAGTTCTTTGACACATTTATTCTGTGTCAGAAACCTATAATGTGTCAAATATTTAATTACAATCCAAATTCAGACCTGTATCAATCGGGAATATTGTGTCCATTTTTGCCCCAACTGTTCAGGGTTGGACCTCTGCGGCAGAGTTATGGTCCTTGGACTTAGAAAATTCACTCAAATAATCAGTTTTCCTCACTTTTTTTCGTCATGCTTGAAGATATTGACTTGATATTTGTTGCATAGTTTATTAAGTCTCTCAAATGAAGTTTGGGAAGACTTATTGTTTTTGCTCAGTTCTTCTTCTTCTTCTTCTTCTTCTTCTTCCTCTTCCGCCGCTTTTAAATTTGAACTTGTCCGCACCCGTTCTCCAAAACCGCTTGTCAGATTAACTTAGGGTTTCACAATATGTTAGACTAACATGTCTAGTTGTGCAATCAGGGTTTTGTTTGTGCAATTGGGTTTATAAAGGGGTACTTTGAGGGGCAAAAAGAAAAGAGGGTTTTACTATAGAACCCTATGGGATTTTATTTTTTTTAATTTTCAAATGATTATAAATTGAAAACCGTTTGTGATAAACACAATCTTTTTAATTGAAAATGTTCTAAATGATAAAGCCCATTAAATGAAATACAGGGTTAGTCCCCAGGGGTCACCCCCCACCCCCTGCCATTTAAGAAAGTTCCAATACCTTGCAAGTGGTCAAGATCCCCACCCCTAAACCATATATATTTTGGTTTGTCATGCTAAGATGGTTTGAATGATATACAGGGTTAGTCCCAGGGGTCATCCCGACCCCCTGCCATTTGAGAAAGTTCAAATATCTTGTAAATGGTCGAGATCCCCACCCCTAAACCATATATATTCTGGTTTGTCATGATAAAGCACATCAAATGAAATACAGGGTTAGTCCCCAGGGGTCACCCCCACCCCATGCCATTTAAAAAAGTTCTAATATCTTGTGTAAGTGGTCAAGATCCCAACCCCTACACCATATATATTCTGGTTTGTCATGCTAAGATGGTTTGAATGATATACAGGGTTAGTCCCCAGGGGTCATCCCGACCCCCTGCCATTTGAGAAAGTTCTAATATCTTGTAAATGGTCGAGATCCCCACCCCTAAACCATATATATTCTGGTTTGTCATGATAAAGCACATCAAATGAAATACAGGGTTAGTCCCCAGGGGTCACCCCCACCCCATGCCATTTAAAAAAGTTCTAATATCTTGTGTAAGTGGTCAAGATCCCCACCCCTAAACCATATATATTCTGGTTTGTCATGATAAAGCACATCAAATGAAATACAGGGTTAGTCCCCAGGGGTCACCCCCACCCCCTGCCATTTAAGAAAGTTCTAATAACTTGTAAGTGGTCAAGATCCCCACTCCTAAACCATATATATTCTGGTTTGTCATGCTAAGATGTTTTGAATGATATACAGGGTTAGACCCCAGGGGTCATCCTGACCCCCTGCCATTTGAGAAAGTTCTAATATCTTGTAAATGGTTGAGGTCCCCACCCCTAAACCATATATATTCCTATTTGTCATGTCTCGAACATTTGAATGACGTATATGGTCAGTCCCCAGGGGTTCCCCCCACCCCCAATGTTCTAATATCTTGTAAATGGTTGAGATCCCCACCCCTAAACCATATATATTCCTGTTCATCATGTTACGAACATTTGAATGACATATAGGGTCAGTCCCCAGGGGTTCCCCCCACCCCCAATGTTCTAGTATCTTGTAAATGGTCGAGATCCCCACCCCTAAACCATATATATTCTGGTTTGTCATGCCAAGATGATTTGAATGATATACAGGGTTAGTCCCCAGGCATCACTAATGCATATAACTTTACTGGACCAAACCAATTTTCACTGGATGTTGCCCAATGTCAGGCGACCCTGGGAATTACGAATTATGGGAGCTTCGTTTGGGAGACTTCGTAACAGCATCCTGTTACAATCATTTCTTGTTTTTATTAAATTTTACTGTTTTTGGTTATTTTCTTATATATTATAATAGATAGAAAGTATAAATGGCAATAAATGTTCAGCTAAGTAAGATCTACAAATAAGTCAACATGATCAAAATAGTCAAGTCACCCCTTAAGGAGTTATTGCCCTTAAAACCTTTTTTTTTAGCATTTTTTGTGAAAGTCTAATTATTTTTTCAAAAATCTTCTTCTCTGAAAGTAGTTGGCCAAATACTGAAAAACTTTAATTGAATGTTCCTTCAGGTATTTAGTTTATAGATTGTATTAGGGGATTTGATCCATTCAAAAACATGGCGGCAGTGTCTAAAAATAGAACATAGGTGTCAAATGAAGTTTTTGGCTTTCGTCTCAAAAACTAAAGCAGTAAGAGCAAAACTGACATAGGTGAAAGTGGTAAACAGGTTTAGATCTACCTGTCAAGTAATCTTCTGACCAAGAGGACAACTTATTGTTGGGTTACTGTCCAGAAATAGTTAATTTTTAGGAAATTTTACAGTTTTGGGTTATGTATTATCTTTAATATTATTATAGAAAGAGAGAAAGTGTAAATGACAAAATTGTTCAGCAAAGTAAGATCTACGAATAAGTCAAATGCCTGAAACTGAAATTACAGGTGAGCGATATCAGGCTCTGATGAGCCTCTTGTTTTGGTCCATTTGGTTTAGATCTATTTTTTGTTTTATTGTAGGTTTGATTAAACAGAAGCAGTATGACTGGAAAGATTCAAACTTAGCATTGTTTGGATCAGACCTTGAAAAGAACGTCAAAAGTAAGATATGTTTTACTGGAAAAAAATACAAATTTAAATTTATTGAGTTTGTAAATATCATTTCAGCCTTTGAGCAATTGTTGACAGATAGATTAAGAGTTAAAAACCAAACTAAAATTATATGGTTATTTTTTCCTAGAACAATAAACATTATTTTTTGCGTTAAAACTAACTCTTAACATTTGTTTTGACAGAGGATTCTGCTGCTACTGAGAAAGCTTGGAAGAATGCTGGCAGCAAGCTTGGAATACAGATCTGGAGAATTGTGGTAAGTTCAGGAGGTTCGAGAGTCCAGCCACAAGCTTGGATTACAGATCTGGAGAATTATGGTAAGTTCAGGAGGTTCGAGAGTCCAGCCACAAGCTTGGATTACAGATCTGGAGAATTATGGTAAGTTCAGGAGGTTCGAGAGTCCAGTCCCAAGCTTGGATTACCTATATGGAGAATTATGGTAAGTTCAGGAGGTTCGAGAGTCCAGCCACAAGCTTGGATTACAGATCTGGAGAATTATGGTAAGTTCAGGAGGTTCGAGAGTCTAGTCCCAAGCTTGGATTACAGATCTGGAGAATTGTGGTTAGTTCAGTAGGGTTTGAGAGTCCAGTCCCAAGCTTGGATTACAGATCTGGAGAATTATGGTAAGTTCAGGAGGTTCGAGAGTCCAGCCGCAAGCTTGGATTACAGATCTGGAGAATTATGGTAAGTTCAGGAGGTTCGAGAGTCCAGTCCCAAGCTTGGATTACCTATATGGAGAATTATGGTAAGTTCAGGAGGTTCGAGAGTCCAGCCACAAGCTTGGATTACAGATCTGGAGAATTATGGTAAGTTCAGGAGGTTCGAGAGTCTAGTCCCAAGCTTGGATTACAGATCTGGAGAATTGTGGTTAGTTCAGTAGGGTTTGAGAGTCCAGTCCCAAGCTTGGATTACAGATCTGGAGAATTATGGTAAGTTCAGGAGGTTCGAGAGTCCAGCCACAAGCTTGGATTACAGATCTGGAGATTTATGGTAAGTTCAGGAGGTTCGAGAGTCCAGTCCCAAGCTTGGATTACCTATATGGAGAATTATGGTAAGTTCAGGAGGTTTGAGAGTCCAGCCACAAGCTTGGACAGTCATTCCCAAGCTTGGATTACCTATATGGAAAATTATGGTAAGTTCAGGAGGTTCGAGAGTCCAGTCCCAAGCTTGGATTACAGATCTGCAGAATTATGGTAAGTTCAGGAGTCTGGCCACAACAATGAATTACATACATGTATCTGGATGCATTCTTCTTCCTTCTTTGGCAAATACATTGTACCTTTAAATTTGAATACATATATAGAGAATGGATCTAAATTCATTTAAAAGGGAATGTCTCCTATGTCAGGGATGGACCCTTTACTGTCACATATGTTGTACAATAGAGAAAGAGAACTGATATAGCAAAAGCAAAATGAAGTCATACAAAGCTCAGCAACACTAAGTATAAAGTTTGCAGTAGAAAGCTGATAATTATCTTGATTAGTAACACACTTAGATAATGACATTATTGATATTGTATGATAAGTAATTATTTACATTTAGTAGTTGTAAGTACAAGTGTTTACATAGGTGTTGACCCTTATGTGACTCCTGATCTGTTTTATGATATATCCTATGACTAGACTTGGTAATTAGTGGTAATTAGGACAAACAAACAATATGTCTACTTCAGGCAAATGTTGGAATAGGATGTAAGACTTTATAAGTAAGACATGATACAACTTAAAAACCGGATTAAAAAGAGGTCCATATTTCTACATGTTATGTGTATGTCAACTCATTTTCATTGAATTATTGAAAATTAATATAAAGACAAATCACCTGCTCTGAATTTTCACCTTCTTTTAATCATACGTACAATTTTTTTTTTTTTATCAAATTGACATTTTTGAATAAAAATGTTGTTCTTTAGAGGTTCAGTTTAATATTGCCTAATTTTGGATGATATTTAAACTTTATTTCCTTGTTTTGGTTTGAATGAGAGAGTTTGTTTCACAATGTTTAGAATATATACCTTCCTATAGTCAAATTCCTCACATTCACATGTAATCAGATAATTTCTGTGAGGTTATCAGAAACATAGTTGTGTTCACATAAACACTGTGCTTAAACAAAAAACAAACTCGTAAACAAAGGGGAGATAACTACACGCTCATTGGTTGCATAATAAAACAGAATATCATAACCTCACTGACAGATTGGGTGGTATACTGCAATCATCTTGTCTCTCCATTCATCAATTCCTTCTGTCGGTCTGTCTGTCTGTTTCCACAACACTTATAGTTTTTATCATTCCCTCTGTTCATGGAACTTTTTTATTACATATTATACAGCTTTTGTATGGAAGAATGATTTGATATATGTCCTGAAACTTTATTGTACAATGTTGATCAGTGTATTAAAGTGATTTTCAGATTAGCCAGGCAGTAATTCATGTTAGAAGATACTTAAAGCTTTTGGCCGTTGGGAGAGGGGATGAACAAAGTGCCCAAGGGATTGATGCACTGTTACAAATGGTGATATTGAGTGGGCAGGAAAAAGTGTAGCTGAGGAACCGTAGCTCTTTAGTCCTTATTAGCTCACCTGGCCCGAAGGGCCAAGTGAGCTTTTCTCATCACTTGGCGTCCGTCTTCATCGTTCGTCGTCGTCGTTAACTTTTTACATTTTGAACTTCTTCTAGAGAACCACTGAATGGAATGAAACCAAACATGGCATGAATGTTCCTTATGAGGTGCTGACCAAGTGTTGTTACTTTGAAGCTGATCCATTATCCAAGATGGCCGCCAGCGGGGGACTTAGTTTAACATAGGACCCTATGGGAAATACATACAAATGTCTTCTTTTAGAGAACCACTGAATGGAATGAAACCAAACATGACATGAATGTTCCTTATGAGGTGCTGACTAAGTGTTGTTACTTTGAAGCTGATCTATTATCCAAGATGGCCGCCAGCGGGGGACTTAGTTTAACATAGGACCCTATGGGAAATACATACAAATGTCTTCTTTTAGAGAACCACTGAATGGAATGAAACAAAACATGGTATGAATGTTCCTTATGAGGTGCTGACTGAATGTTGTTACATTGAAGCCGATCCATAATCCAAGATGGCCACCAGCGGGGGACTTAGTTTAACATGGGACCCTATGGGAAATACATACAAATGTCTTCTTTTAGAGAACCACTAAATGGAATGAAACCAAACATGGCATGAATGTTCCTTATGAGGTGCTGACCTAGTGTTGTTACTATGAAGCCGATCCATAATCCAAGATGGCCACCAGCAGGGGATTTAGTTTAACATTGGACCCTATGGGAAATACATACAAATGTCTTCTTTTAGAGAACCACTGAATGGAATGAAACCAAACATGGCATGAATGTTTCTTATGAGGTGCTGACCTAGTGTTGTTACTTTGAAGCCGATCCATAATCCAAGATGGCCGCCAGCAGGGGACTTAATTTAACATTGGACCCTACGAGAAATACATACAAATGTCTTCTTTTAGAGAACCACTGAATGGAATGAAACCAAACATGGTATGAATGTTCCTTATGAGGTGCTGACCGAGTGTTGTTACTTTGAAGCCGATCCATAATCCAAGATGGCCGCCAGCGGGGGACTTAGTTTAACATGGGACCCTATGGGAAATACATACAAACGTCTTCTTTTAGAGAACCACTGAATGGAATGAAACCAAACATGGCATGAATGTTCCTTATGAGGTGCTGCCCAAGTGTTGTTACTATGAAGCCGATCTATAATCCAAGATGGCCGCCAGCGGGGGACTTAGTTTAACATAGGACCCTATGGGAAATACATACAAATGTCTTCTTTTAGAGAACCACTGAATGGAATGAAACCAAACATGACATGAATGTTCCTTATGAGGTGCTGACCAAGTGTTGTTACTTTGAAGCTGATCCATCATCCAAGATGGCCGCCAGAGGGGGACATAGTTTTACATAGGACCCTATGGGAAATACATACAAATGTCTTCTTTTAGAGAACCACTGAATGCAATGAAACCAAACATGGAATGAATGTTCCTTATGAGGTGCTGACCAAGTGTTGTTACTATGAAGCCGATCCATAATCTAAGATGGCCGCCAGCGGAGGACTTAGTTTAACATAGACCCTATGAGAAATACATAGAAATGTTTTCTGTTAGAGAACCATTGAATGGAATGAAACCAAACATGGCATGAATGTTCCTTTTGAGGTGCTGAACAAATGTTGTTACTTTGAAGCTGATCCTTCATCCACGATGGCCGCCAGATGGGGACAATGTTTAACAAAGGACCTTATGGACAATACATACAAATGTCTTCTTTTAGAGAACCACATACTGATTGGATTGAAACCAAACATGGCATGAATGTTCCTTATGAGGTGCTGACTAAGTTTTGTTACTTTGAAGCTGATCCTTCATCCATGATGGCCACCAATGGGGGGACTTCCTTTAACATAAGACCCTACGGGAAATACATACAAATGCTTCTTCTAGAGGTGAACTGAATGGAATGAAACCAAAACATGGCATAAATGTTTCTTATGAGGTGCTGATATAGTGTTGCTACTTTGTTGCCGATTTACTGTTCAAGATGGCCACCAGGATTTTTTATCAAATTACAGGACCAATATTAAACCAAATTTGGCCTCACTCATTATTAGGGTATCTGTTATGATTTTAATCTAATTTTACATGATTTCCAAAACCAAAGTTGAATCAGGTGAGCGACACAGGCTCTTGAGAGCCTCTAGTGATATTTTTTTACCATTTGTGGTCATGTTTATACATTTGTATTTCCATATACTTAAATGTCATTATCATGATTAAGTATTCTCCACTGTATACGAAATATTCTGTGCAACTTGATCAGATCGATTTCAGTTTTCCACTTAGCATAGAATTTTTGGTTCATATCTAATGAATAGTGGTGCATACAATGCAGGACATAATTCCTTTTGGGATGAGTCAAGAGTGATTTTCTGATTTGGCCACCTGAGTATTGTTTCTTGTGTAATGGAGGTGCGTTTCAAGTCTTGTTTGTTCATCGGTATTGTTTCTTGTGTAATGGAGGTGCTCTTTGAGTCTTGTTTGTTCATCGGTATTGTTTCTTGTGTAATGGAGGTGCTCTTTGAGTCTTGTTTGTTCATCAGTATTGTTTCTTGTGTAATGGAGGTGCTCCCTGAGTCTTGTTTGTTCATCAGTATTGTTTCTTGTGTAATGGAGGTGCTTTTCAAGTCTTGTTTGTTCATCAGTATTGTTTCTTGTGTAATGAAGGTGCTCTCCAAGTCTTGTTTGTTCATCAGTATTGTTTCTTGTGTACTGGAGGTGCTCCCTGGGTCTTGTTTGTTCATCAGTATTGTTTCTTGTGTAATGGAGGTGCTCCCTGAGTCTTGTTTGTTCATCAGTATTGTTTCTTGTGTACTGGAGGTGCTCCCTGAGTCTTGTTTGTTCATCAGTATTGTTTCTTGTGTAATGGAGGTGCTCTTTGAGTCTTGTTTGTTCATCAGTATTGTTTCTTGTGTAATGGAGGTGCTCCCTGAGTCTTCTTTGTTCATCAGTATTGTTTCTTGTGTAATGGAGGTGCTCTCCGAGTCTTGTTTGTTCATCAGTATTGTTTCTTGTGTAATTGAGGTGCTCCCCAAATCTTCTTTGTTCATCAGTACTATATCTTGTGTACTGGAAGTGCTCCCTGAGTCTCCTTTGTTCATCGTTATTGTTTCTTGTGTACAGGAGGTGCTCTCAGAGTCTTCTTTGTTCATCAGTACTATATCTTGTGTACTGGAAGTGCTCCCTGAGTCTCCTTTGTTCATTGTTATTGTTTCTTGTGTACAGGAGGTGCTCTCAGAGTCTTCTTTGTTCATAAGTAATATATCTTGTGTACTGGAAGTGCTCCCTGAGTCTCCTTTGTTCATTGTTATTGTTTCTTGTGTACAGGAGGTGCTCTCAGAGTCTTCTTTGTTCATCAGTACTATATCTTGTGTACTGGAAGTGCTCCCTGAGTCTCCTTTGTTCATCGTTATTGTTTCTTGTGTACTGGAGGTGCTCCCCAAGTCTTGTTTATATAAAAAATGTGTTCTTAGAGTTGTGTTAGTTCTTCAGTATTGTATTCTTTTGTACTTATGGTGTAGTTTGACCAAGTTTTTCATCCATCATTATATGTAATTCAAAATCTTAATTGAGCTTTATGGATGAAATGGTATGTTTTTTTTTTAATCAAATTTACAGCACAATTCAAAACACGTCTTTATTAGTCCCCTACTGACGATTCTTTTTCTAGTCCGGTTTTATCATGACAAGTTACAGATCAAGTTCGAATTTTGTTCTGTTCTGATGATTTTGTACAGAGTTATGGTCCTTGGACTTAGAAAATTCACTCAAATAATCAGTTTTCCTCACTTTTTTTTGTCATGCTTGAAGATATTGATTTGATAATTGGTATATAGTTTACACCATGACAACTTATAGATCAGGATAGCATTTTGTTTCAGTACAATGAATTTTTAACTGGTAGAGGACTATGTATTGCCATGCAATACTCTCAGAATGCTTGTTTAAATTGTTTTTGCTATATAACACTGATTTCAAGAGTAACATACTAAGAAACTGTAACAAAACAAATAAATACACATGTATATATTTATAAATAAAAAGTGGTGATTACATTTGATATTTTTATTGTAGAAATTCAAAGTTGAAGACTGGCCAAGAGAAGACTATGGCAAGTTCTACAATGGGGACTCATATATCATATTAAATGTAAGATATATACTGAAAACTAAGGAATATTAATTGTATCTTTTTTTTCTGGGAAATGCTTCTATATGAAAATTAAATTCCTATGGAATGACCTCACTTTGAGCAGTTTACATTAAAAAACTAAAAAGAGTAAAATGTGTCTGGTTGAACTTTGTGAAATTCATAAAAATATATTTACTACGTGATTAAACAATAAATTGCTTCGCCGAGCGCAGCTGGATAGGACTGCAGAGGTCCAACCCTGAACAGTTGGAGCAAAAATGGACACAATATTCGCACTTGATACAGGTCTGAATTTGGATTGTAATTAAATATTTGACACATAATAGGTTTCTGACACAGAATAACTGTAGTCAAAGAACTTAGAATTGGTTATATGATTTGAATTTATATTCAATTTTTTGCTTTTGTGCAATACACTATACTGTTGCGAATTGACCCTCCCCCCCCCTAAAAAAAATTACCCTCCTTTTTTTTCCCCACCCCTAAAATTTCTTATTCCCCCCCCCCCCCCCCCCCCCATTTTTTTTTCACCTCCCCTCCCCCTTTTTCAAAAAAAAAACAACCTTTCCCTCAAGATATGGTCATAAGCTCAATTTGCAACCATAATTACCCATTTAAATACATCATAAAAGTCTTAAAATAGAAAATGATATACATAATCATGGCTAAAATTAATATTCCTAAATCAGCATTTTTAATAGTATCTTCTAAAAATAAATTGCCAGCTAATCACCTCAAGACAATACAACATTTCTTTATACATAATTTAAAAGCAGTGTAAGGGAGGTAATCCAAACATAACATTGTACTTTTAAGTAATTGTCCATTAACCAGGAATCCTTTGTTTTTCCCCCTTTTTTGCCCCTTATTCCTAACGGTTTGAGCCATAACCCCCAAAGCCAATCCTAACCATCCCTTTGTGGTATGGAAACTTGTGGTCTTATTTCAGAGAGATCCATACACCTTTCCACAAGTTATTGTCTTGAAACTAGAAAAATGCTTATTGGGCCCCTTTTTGGCCCCTAATTCCTAAACTGTTAGGACCATAACCCCCAAAATCAATCCCAACCTTCCTTTTCTGGTTATAAACCTTGTGTTTAAATATCATAGATTTCTATTTACATATATTAAGTTATTGTCCGGAAACCAAATGTCTTCGGACGACGACGTGATACCAATATACGACCGCAAAAATTTTGCGGTCGTATAAAAATTACTGGGGTATTGTTGGATTAAAATAAGATTTTTAAATCACTTAATTAGATTTCATTGTAATTGAATTGGATGAAAATTTAGCTATATCAGATGATAACAATAAACATTAGCATGATTAGAGACTAGTGAATACTGTGGATTCATTTTTATTCTGGGGTAAAAATCTCATTGATTGAGGAATTTTTTTATTTTCATTGATTCTTGTTTTTGTTTATTTATCAAATTCTACATACCCAGTACAAGCCTATGGAAAATTTTTATTTTGTTAAAAGTCTAAAATTTATGGATCACTTTACCCAGCTAATCAATATTTGGTACCCTATAACCATGATGACCTATTCTAATAATGAATCTATTTCTGTTAAATAGCATTTTAAAAGTACTTATTTACTGTAATAACAAAACTTCTGTTTAACATGTTAAAAGGGTAAAGTGTTAATTTCCTTTAGGAAATGCGTTGTATCAGTTTTGTATCTTATAATATTCTGTGAAAAAAAAAAAAAAAAAAAAATTATATCTTTAATCATTGATAAATTGAGCAGTAGATAAATCAAGTATAGAAAAGAGCTGTCTTTGTTTCAGATTTTTTATATACTTCATATACCAACCTCAATGAGTAGGCCAAAGGAAAAACAACTTGTAAATTCTTTTTGGTCTCTGAAATAAATAGAACTGTAGCAAACATGATACTTTCGGTTTACTTTTCATTTCTTTCCTCCTGATATTATGGAACATGAAAGTAACTATTACTCTCAGCTGTACTTTAATAACCTGTAGAGTGTAGATAGAAGAATCTTGTACCTCAATTGTAATGAGAGAGCGCATGCTAGTTGCAAGCTGTTTTAAGCCATCAATGTGGGAGGGAGGTTTACACCCCAAATATATGTTTAAAAATTGTGTCCAATGATCCTGTCTGCCAAACAACATGGCCTACATGTCTAAAAATGAAACATAGGGGAAAATGCAAGTTTGCTATTATCTTGATAACCACTATAGATAGAACAAATCTGACAGTGCAGAAATATTCCAAATGATGAGATCTACCTCCTGTCTGTTTAAATCAAATCTATCATACAAGTTTTATAGGAGTTATGACCCTTAAAATTTTTACCATTTTTGTCTTTTATCTGGAACACTATAAAAGATAGAAAGAAACTTTAAAAAGCAAAAATTATCAGCAAGACAAAATCTACATGTAACTTTAATGACCAAGTTGTCAAGTGACTCCATGTAGGAGTGATTGCCTTTGCATACAATTTTTATCAATTTTTTGTCATATTGCCTACTATTTTTAAACCGTAAAAGCTAGAGAAAAATTTTGAAACCTAAATTGATCCACAAGACAAGATCTACAAATAAGTTAAATATTGCCAAAATATTTTGTCAACTCTTTATAGGAGGTATTGCTTTGAAATGGCAATTTTTACAATTGATTGCGTTTTTGCCTGTTATATTTAAAAGTTTTAATGGTAGAAAGAAATTTGAATAGCAGAATTGATCAGCAAGACAAGATTGACATAAATGTCCAGTTTGTCTATGAACTCCTTACAGGTGTAAATCCCCTTAAATGACGATTTTTACCATTTTTTTTGTGTTTTTGACTATTATCTTGAAATTTAAAACTATAACAGAAAGAGAGAAACTTTTGAAAGCAAAATGGATCAGCAATACAAGATCTGCATTATGTCAATATGGCCAAAATTTTCTGTATCCTCTTTACAGGAGTTGTTGCCCTGTAATGATGATTTTTACCAATTTTTGCATATAAGGAAAAAACTTTGGTGGAAAAAGAAGAACTGTAAACGGAGTAAATGCCCTTAAATGACGATTTTTACGCACTATTTGCATTTTGGGAAAAATATTGTATATAGACAGAAATTGTTAACAGTGAAAATGAAAAGCAAGACATTATAAAAATGAAATTTTAATCATGAATGAAATTCTAGTCTACAATGTTGAAGAGTGGCCATTGTTGAAGATACACATAGATGGGTTTATTGATGCATATTATGTGGGAGTATAGTAGCCCCCATCACAAAGCAGGTCACTCTGGCTTACCCTTGTACATTTACATCATTGATTCATAATAGATTTTACATCTTTAAAGTTCATTTCTGAGCCATTTAGTTAAACTACAACCTTAATTTGGACAAGGTATAGGGTAGTATAAAAGTGTTACAGCAAGAAAATCACCTTTTAATTGTAGCCAACAAAAGACACAAATCAATAATAAAATTTTACAAGATTTATTATACACAAGTTTACAAGAAGTATTACACAAAAAGAAATGTCAACTAAACTGTCAAAATATATGTTTGATCTTTTGTCTTTTCTTTATCCGGAAATCTTCTCGGGAATCCACACAGAATATTACGTCCAATAGGCCACAATCTAGTATGATGTAGTTTGTAAATAAAAGTGTCAATCCAACTGCTGAGAATATTAATGTCTATCGATGTCTATGTCTATGTCTGAAAATTTTACTTTAGTGTCTGTATATGTATAGTTGTCACGGAAATCTCTAGAACACTGTAGAAAGGAAACTTCTAGAACACTGTTGACGTTTAAAATACGCATCTTTTATTATGATCATTCTGGAAACGTTATGTAAGTAAAATAGCAAGTTCTAATCATTCCATCAGTCTCTATGATTGTTCCAGTAATTTCTAAACTGCACAGTTACAATATCATTTTGTAAACAAGTACAAATTATGTAAACATATTATTAGGCCACACATAACAAATTAGGCCAACTAAATAAATATGATAGTTACAATATCATAACACCTCCCCCCTTAAAAAAAGTTTGAGTGTAACAAGAACTTTTCATGAACAATATATACAAAAATAAATAGTATGTATACAGTGTTTTAATAAGATCTAGATAAAGCATCCGCTATTAAATTATCTTTATCTTTAATATGTTTTACAATAACATCATATTCCTGTAACAATAAACTCCACCTAGTCAATCTCTGGTTCTTGTTTCTCATTTTATGTATGAAGGTGAGAGGATTATGATCAGTATAAACCAGAATAGGATGCATAGTGGGATTTAAATATACATCAAAATGTTGAATATCAGACAAAAGTACAAAACACTCTTTTTCAATAGTTGAATAATTTTTCTGATGTTTATCTAATTTTTAGAAAAATATGATATAGGTTTCTCAACATAATCATCTGTCTCTTGATATAAAACAGCTCCAACTTCCTACATCACTTGCATCAACGGCAAGTTCGAATTGCTTTTCAAAGTTTGGAGTGATCAAAACTAGACTAATAATTAAAAGTGATTTGCTTATTTCAAAAGTGTTTTGACAATTATCCCTTTAGATAAATTTAGAATCTTTCCGTAAAAGATGAATCAATGGTTGAACAACAGTAGCAAAATTTGAACAGAATTTCCTGTAAAATCCAATCATGCCTAAATATCTCATAAGTTGTTTTTAGCTCACTTCCGTCGTCATCGTTAGCTTTTTAAAAAAATCTTCTCCTCTGAAACCACTTAATCAAACTTGGCCACAATCATTATTAGGGTATCTATTTTAAAAAATGTGTCCGATGACCCCGCCAACCAACCAAGATGGCCACCATGGCTAAAAATAGAACATAGGGGTAAAATGTAGATTTTGGCTTATATCTCTGAAACCAAAGCATTAAGAGTAAATCTGACATAGGGTAAAACTGATCTATCTGCCCTGAAATTTTCAGACAAATCTGACAACCTGTTGTTGGGTTGCCAGTGTTCTCCTTTTTTCACTAAGGTAAGGTGGGTGTTTTGAAAAAACCACTTGCAACCAGGTGTTTTGTTTTTTTTAAACATTTCCAACCGTTTTTTTTTTTTACCGGTACTGTGGGTGGGGGTCACAAAAGGAAGGATGAGTATTGTATTCATATTTAATGGAATTGAACAAAAATAAATAGTTTTGTGCATCTCAGATAGCAGATGGCTTTTGCAGGACTTCCTCGTCCTGCGAATGCATGGCCTATCGATCCAAGTTTCTGTCCTGTTCCTCGCTTTAGTGCTGTATTTTTGGCACACAGAACAGTAGTATCCTTCCTCTGTGACGATTGGCCATTTAAAGTCCTGTTCATATTTATCTTCGCTTGCGTGCCTTTTCCGTTGTTTTGATGCTTTTTTTCAATTTCAACAATTTCAATACAACTAGTTGACTTATTTGGCATAGAATTTTCCTTATCACCATCGTCATCTTCCTTTCTCTTCCCCCGATTAATGAAAGAAAACATTGAAATTTGACAATCGGCCATTTTTGTCAATGAAATCAAATCAGCAAGGCGCGATTAGTATTTCAATTTTTACAGTGCGGAACCGAAAAAAAAAATCCAGAATTTGAAAAAAAAGCCGACCACCTCCTAAAATGGAAAGGTGGTCGGCACACCCGGCTTAAATGCCAAATGGAAAACTCTGGTTGCTGCCCCTGAATTGGTAATTTTAAGGAAATATTGCAGTTTTTGGTTATTATCTTGAATATTATTATAGATAGAGATAAACTGTAAAAAGCAGTAATGTTCAGCAAAGTAAGATCTACAAAAAAGTTGTCATGACCAAAATGGTCAGTCGACCCCTTTAGGAGTTATTGCCCTTTATAATCAATTTTTAACAATTTTTGTTAATTTTTGTAATCTTTTACAAAAATCTTCTTCTCTTAAACTACTGTGACAAATTTAACCATACTTGGCCATAATCATTATTAGGGTATCTAGTTTAAAAAATTTGTTCGATGACCCCGCCTTCCAACCATCATGGCCGACGGTTAAAAATAGAACGTAGGGGTAAAATGCAGTTTTTGGTTTATATCTCTGAAACTAAAGCATTTAGAGCAAATCTGACAGGTGGCAAAAATATTCATCAGATTTAGATTTATCTGCCCTGAAATTTTCAGACGAATTGGACAACCCGTTGTTGGGTTGCTGCCCCTGAGTTAGTCATTTTACAGAAATTTTGCAGTTATTTGTTATTATCTTAGATATCATTATAATATCTAATATCTAATACTATTAATTATGATTTTAACCTTATTTTACATCATTTCCTAAGCATCAGTAAATACAGGTGAGCGACACAGGCTCTTGAGAGCCTCTAGTTTTATTTGTAGGAGGAGGAAATTTGGTAATTCCATCCACTTTAGCCGTAATAGGTTTCACTTGACCTTGGCCTATACTGTGTGCCCTAAATAATCAACAGTGGCCTGACAAAATTCACTTTTACCAAGATTAACAGTCAAATTTGATCGTGACAATCTATCAAAAGTATCATATAAATGTGTTAAATGCTCTTTCCAACTATCACTACATACAATAAGATTATCAATATAAGCATAACAACAGTCTAAATCTTTTATAACATTATTGATCATTCTTTGAAATGTAGCTGGAGCACTTTTCATACCAAACAGCATGACAGTATATTGAAATAAGCCATCTGGTGTGACAAAAGCTGATATTTCATGAGCTCTCTGTGTCAAAGGTACCTGCCAGTAACCCTTCAATAAATCAAATTTGCTCATAAATTTTGCTTGTCCAATGTTATCAATGCAGTCGTCTATCCTTGGTATCGGATAGGAATCAGATTTTGAAACTGAATTTACTTTTCTGAAATCAGTTACAAAACGAAAAGTTTTATCTGGTTTGGGCACAAGGAAACAAGGAGAGCTCCATTCACTGTTACTCGGCTCAATTATATCATTGTCAAGCATATATTTAATTTCTTGTCTCATAAATTCAAGTTTGAATGGATTGAGCCGGTAAGGATGTTGCTTAATTGGAGAAGCATCACCTACATCGACATCATGACAAACAGCAGTGGTTTTGTTTGGCACATCTGAAAAAAGATTTTTAAAAGAAAATAAGTGTTTCAATTTTTCTCATTAAAATTTTTTTGAAAAAGAAAGGAGGGGGGGGGGGGGGGGGGGGTAAAAAAAAATTTTTTGAAAAAGAAAGGGGGGGTTAAAAAAAAAAAATTTTTTTTTGGGGGGGGAGGTCAATTTGCAACAGCGTAGTGTATTGCACAAAAGCAAAAAATTCAAATCATATAACTAATTCTAAGTTCTTTGACTACAGTTATTCTGTGTCAGAAACCTATTATGTGTCAAATATTTAATTACATTCCAAATTCAGACCTGTATCAAGAGTGAATATTGTGTCCATTTTTGGCCCAACTGTTCAGGGTTGAACCTCTGCGGTCGTATCCAGCTGCGCTCGGCGAAGCAATTTATTGTAATTTCCACTCGAAGTATTAAAATTTTGACCCTTGATACTTCTTTTATGTGAAAGGGTATAATTATCAGAAATAACAGCTGCATCATGTAATGTCTCAACAGTTTTGTCGTCTAAATGTGTTTTTAAGTCTAAATGAACACATTGTTTGAACTCTTCTAATAACATCAATTGTCTTAGGTTATCAAAATTGTTATCTGTTTTCTTCGACGTAAGCCATTTATCAAATAGATCTTCTTTTTCCCTAGCAAATTCAACAAAGGTTTGTGAATCAAACTTTTTGTAAGGTCTAAGTTTCTGTCTATATGCTTCTGGTACTAGCTCATAAGCTTTCAAAACTTCCTGTTTTACCATGTCATAATCAGAACTTTGTTAAAATGAAAGTGCTGAGTAAATTTCAGCGGCCTTGCCCTTAAAAACACTTTGCAGCATCGTAGTCCAATAAGGCTTTGGCCATTTCAAATTATGAGCAATTTTCTCAAACTGTGAAAAATATTTATCGACTGTTTTTTCACAAAATCTGGGAACCAAACGTAAAGTTTTTGCTGCATCAAAATGTTCTGATTTCGACTGGACTTTAGTGTTGCTTTCTTCTTTGACCATTTCAATTTTCATTTTCTCCATCTCTAACCTTTCCCTCATTTAAAGTTCTGCCTGTCTTTCTTCTTTTTCCAATTGTTTTATTTTGAGTTCATGTTCTAATTCAATCTGCTTTAATTTGATAGCGTCAACATTTTTTTACCTTAAGTTCAAGAGCACCTTCAACTTTTTTATAATTTGTTTTCTCATAGATACTCTTAAGTCTAATTTCAGATGTTTAGCAAGCGACCCTAATTCCTCTTTCTTTAAATTATCAAACCCCTCCAGGTCTGGCGTTTTCAAAAATTTACCAGCATCAAATGCCATTTTGTAGAATTTTGTTGGCTAGTTCTAATGAAAATACTGAAAATTTTTTTAATAAGAGATTAACGTTATCCCGGAACGAGCCCCCAATTTCTGTTACGGCCAGAAAATCGCATTTTCATTGTAGCCAACAAAAGACACAAATCAATAATGAAATTTTACAAGATTTATTATACACAAGTTTACAAGAAGTATTACACAAAAAGAAATGTCAACTTAGCTGTCAAAATATATGTGTCTGATCTTTTGTCTTTTCTTTATCTGGAAATCTTCTCGGGAATCCACGTAGAATATTACGTTCAATAGGTCACAATCTAGTATGATGTAGTTTGTAAATAAAAGTGTCAATCCAACTGCTGAGAATATTAATGTCTATCGTTGTCTATGTCTATGTCTGAAAGTTTAACTTTAGTGTCTGTATATATATAGTTGTCACGGAAATCTCTAGAACACTGTACAAAGGAAACTACTAGAAAACTTTATAACAGAAACTTTTAGAACACTGTTGATGTTTAAATTACCCATCTTTTATTATGATCTTTCTGGAAACGTTATGCAAGTAAAATAGAAAGTTCTAATCATTCCATCAGTCTCTATGATTGTTCCAGTAATTTCTAAACTGCACAGTTACAATATCATTTTGTAAACAAGTTCAAATTATGTAAACATATTATTAGGCCACACATAACAAATTAGGCCAACTAAATAAATATGATAGTTACAATATCATAACAATAGCTTCCTATAGAAAGTAGGTGACTGACCTATAATTTACCCAATGATGTGTTAAATTAGTGGTAACACTCCCATTCCACTTATTACCGTACTGAAATTTGTGTTTTTTAATAATAAATGTAATATGATAATAGTTTTTCTTCTTGTTTTCTTCCAGGTTATGTTCTAGAAAGGAAGTGATGATCAGGACTAAAATGTTAAATATATAGCAAAAAATAGATATGTCATCGTGTTAGGTTTGACCTCTATTATGACCTTCTAGAGCTGGATAATAGATGTTTACTTTGTTAATAACAACTTATTATTTTAACAGACATACAAAGAAGAAGACGGAGAAGAGCTTTGTTTTGATGTGCACTTTTGGATCGGTCAATACAGTACTCAGGTAAAATACTTAAAACTTTCCAGATGTCATTCTAAAATCAAGTCAAATTGCCATTATAGTACTCAAGTTAACTTGTTATTAATATAATGACTCCCCTTTTAATTCAGGAAGAAATATTGTTTTACCCTTAATTCTTCTTTTTATACGCTACCTCGACAGAGTTTGGGGCATATAGGAATCCTCATGGCCATATGTCTGTCACACTTTTGGTTTCTAGATGATTAAGCAATTATAGGCAACTGTAGGACTTGAACAATGAGAAAAACCCATACCGTATAGTCAGCTATAAAAGGCCCAGACATGAAAAATATGAAACAATTCATTTGAGAAAACGAATGACCTTATTTATGACAAAACAATTAACAAAAACAAAAATGATGGACATGGACCAACGACAACCACTGAACTACAGGCTCCTGACTGGGGACAGGCACATAAAGAATGTGACGGGGTTTAAGTTGTTTCTTGACAAGGCTATGAGAACTGTTCAAACAATTCTTTTCATATTTGTATTAGTTGTTTCTCATATCATGGCAATGTGGGTCTCAAGTTTGGCTTATTGTTAATTGACACTAATGTGAAACCATATCAACCAGTCTTTTTCAGTTTTATGTTTCTGATGAGAAAATGGGGTTATATTTTGTTGGATGATTTGTACTTTTTGCAACTCAGGAGTTTATACCCTTGTTTAATGTTACAATGTCATATAAATGTAAGTAAACCCACTGTGTTTGTTGTTATTTTGACACCTCTCTTGTTTCATTTTTATGCCCCCGCCGTAGCATTAAGTTTTACCCTTGTCCGTCTGTACATACGTCCCAAAGTTGGTTTCCGTTCTCTAACTTTAGTTTGCCTCAACCAAATGTTATGAAACTTATGCACAATGCTTATTACCACCAAACACAGATCAAATTTCAATTTTGGTGGGGTCACTTTTACCGTTCTAGAGTTATGCCCCTTTACAAATGGAAAAATTGCTGAATTTTTCGTTTCTGTTCTCTCATTTTAGTTTGCCTCAACCAAATGTTATGAAACTTATACACAATGCTAATTACCACAAAACACAGATCAAGTTTGAATTTTGGTGGTGTCACTTTTACCGTTCTAGAGTTATGACCCTTTACAAATGGAAAAATTCCTGAAATATTTGTTTCTGTTCTCTTACTTTAGTTTGCCTCAACCAAATGTTATGAAACTTATGCACAATGCTTATTACCACAAAACTCAGACCAAGTACAAATTTGGGTAGCGTCACATTACAGTTCTTGAGTTATATCCCTTTATAACGTTATATGAGAGCGGGGGCATCATCTGTGTCCCATGGACACATTCCCCATTTATTTATTGCTGATTTCCACTGAAACAGCTATTGATTTAAAAAGGCAAATTCAAAAATAAAATCAACAAATTAGGAAGTTTAAGCAAAAAACCAAAAAGATGGGAGGGGATTAGAATCTGAAAATTGATTTTATGTAACCTAATGCAAAATGAAGATCACACTTTCAATGAGGATAAATAAACTCATCATAGATACCAGGATTGAAATTTTGTATGCTAGACGCCTGTTTTGTCTACATAAGACTCATTGGTGATGCTCAAATCAAAAAAATTTAAAAAGACAAATGAAGTACGAAGTTGAAGAGCATTGAGGACTCAAAATTCGGAAAGGTTTTGCAAAATACAGCTAAGGTAATGTATTCCTGGGTTGGAAATTTCTTAGAATTTCGAATTATATCTCAAAGTTTTGTTAACAGTTAATTTATAATAATGACCATATCGATAATAGTTCATGTCAACACAGAAGTACTGACTACTGGACTTGTTATACCCTCAGGGAGGAAACCTCCATCAGCAATTGCATCGACCCAGTGGTTGTAAATAAACTCATCATAGATACAAGGATTAAAATTGTGTACGCCAGACACATGTTTTGTCTACATAAGACTTATCAAATAGATGAGGGCCTATGCCAATGAGACTTTAACCTCACTTCTCTTTGATACCGCATCAGATACTTTGATAATTTAATATTATTATGGATTAAGATTCAGTATCAAAGAGAATAGATTGGCTAGGATAACAGAAAGATAGAATTGTCATGTTGTTTTCCCACTTTTTGTAGGATGAGTATGGAACAGCAGCTTATAAGACAGTGGAATTGGACACATTTCTGAATGATGCACCAATCCAGCATCGTGAAGTCCAGGGACATGAATCAGAACTCTTCAAATCTTATTTTGATAATATCACGTAAGTAGTCCAAAAACAAAAATTGTTTGATTTTATAACAAACAAAAAACTTTCAAAAAAGGTAGTGCAGTTCGAATTTTTTCATTGTTTAAAAAATTGACATTGAAATACCTGTAATTGTTTAATCTTTCAAATTTTCAAAGAAAACATGGGCTTTCAAAAGTAGTTGGGTTAACCAGCAGAAATCCCCTTCGAATCCCGTAAATGAATCTGGAATCACTCGTTATTTAGTATTACCTTTAAACTTCTAGTTTTTATTTTGTCTTCAAAATCTAATGGTGATTCATGAGAAATTTACAGTTTTAAGTCATCTAAGACTATTTCAACTTTAAACTGTTGCATTCCGTAAATCGTTCTGGAAGAAACTTCATCAAGAAAATAGGATGAACTGTCAATATGAGTTCTTTATACAATAAATCTATTATCAATAATTTGGACAGATTTGAAATAGGACCCAAACTTTAAATTCATGACAAAATGTTGGAAATTTGTGTGAAAAAAATTACAGATCCTTGCCCCTTCCTGTAGAAGTTTCTGAAATAGTTGCCCGTCATTAAAAATGTCTCCAAAAAATTACAAATACATGTTAATCTTATCCACACTTTCCATTACAGCACATGAACATGAGTGTGTAGGTAAAGGTAGTATCTTTGGTTAGATTGCTTGCTAGCTGAACCATGAACTAGCCAAGGTCCTTCCTTCCTTTGGGCGGAGTCAATAGTTAAGCAGAGAACCAATCAAAAGTAAGGACAGTATATAAACATTGTGAAACCAGTTTTCACAAATCAGTTTAAAAAATATATGTTAGTTTAAAAAATATATGTTTTCAATCTAAATTTTGAATCTAGTGTCAATTACAAGATAATTCACAAGCATGTTGTAGGTGTGTGGATTTGTCAATTTCATTTCAGTTAAAGTTGTATGCATTTTGATTCACTGCAGAATATGGTAAAATAAAAATCAGAATTTTAGTCGATACTGTCCACCAAGATACTCACTTTAACTTGATTTCGTGCGTTATCTATTGTCCCGCTATTGTTCATATCAATCAAAACAAGACAATACCATTGATTCATGAGATCTCAAAGATTTTACCCAACTAAGGTTATATTTACATCTTCTGTAGCACTCCCCTGAAAAATACAAAGCAGAATCAAAAGATAATTATATCCTTATATACAATGTATATAAACCTGACACTGATCAGTTTCACAAAAAAATCTTACGACTAAAGTTGATCGTAAGTATACTTAATTGTTCATGACTTACGATCAACTTTAGTAGTAAGATTTTTTGTGAAACTGATCACAGTGACATGTATGATTATATATAATAAGGATAACATTTGTTTTAAATCGATTAAATCATTGTAAACAGAAATTACACATGTTAATAATCTGGTTATAAATGAACAGAGGTAATTGATTGAAATGTAATTGACAAATCAAACACACCTACAACATGCTTGTGAATTAACTTATAATTGACACTAGATTTTAAATTAAGATTGAAAACATATTTCTTTTAACTAACCTGTAAAACTGGTTTAGCAAGCAAGCTAACCAAAGATACTACCTTTACCTACACACAAGTCCATGTGCTGTAAGTACACAAAATTTTATTGAAGTTGTTCCTGATGATATTTTGTTTTCAAATTCCTGTTTTCAGACATTGGTCTCATTTTCCTGCTCTGGTGGTCTTGTTATGGTCAAGGATAAGGCCTGAGAAACATTACATAATAGGTCCATATGTCAGATGACCTTGACCTCCCCTTTTATGCCTCATTGCTCATATCATCTTACTTTTTATGGCACAATATGCATTATAATATGCACAAGTATGATATATGATGCCAAAAAGAACTTAGATGCCATTAAAAATGTAATATGTAAACTGATTTTCAGAATTCTAAAAGGAGGAGCAGATACTGGATTTAGACATGTTAAACCTGAAGAGTATACACCTAGACTGTTCCATTTCTGTGGTACAAGGAAACATGTTGAAATTAGAGAGGTTTGTATGAGTCCAAATTCCATAGATATGTATATATATATTCTCATTCTTCTGGCAGTAAAACAAGGATAGCATTAGCATCATGTTGGAATTTTTGTCTCTCCTGCGACGAAAGTCGCAGTATGCGAGACATAGGTATTACTATCCGGTGGCTTCATAAACTATTTGTATAAAGCTTTATATTTCAGAATGTAAAAGACCTGGATGCATCATATCTTGTATGCAGATACCTTATGTTATGAGAAGTTTCCGTCAATCATAAGTTCATTGTCTTGACCTGATTTCCATGGTTCAGCTACTGCTTGAAAAAAAATTTGAGTTTTTTTGTCATTTAAATTTCTCACTTATTATGAGTAATAGGATAGCTATATTTGGTATATGGGTTATTTGCAACGTCTACATGTCTGTCAGACAGAGTTCACCTGACCTCGACCTCATTTAATGGATCAGTGATCAAGGTTAAAGTTACGTGATTAGGTCCGTTTCTCAAATACTATAAGCAGTAGGTCAACTATACTGTTGTATGGAATGTTTGTAATGGGTACATGTCAGACTCGCTGGTTTTATCTGACCTTGACCTCATTTTCATGGTTCATTGGTCAATGTTAAGTTTTTGTGTTTTGGTCTGTTTTTCAAATACTAATAGCAATAGGTCAGCTATATTTGGTGTATGGAATAATTGTAAGATGCACATGTCTGTCTAGCAGGTATCATCTGACCTTGACCTCATATTTATGGTTCATTGGTCAATGTTAAGTTTTTGTGTTTTGGTCTGTTTTTCAATTAGCATATGCAAAAGGTCAACTATATTTGGTGTATAAAAAAATTGTAAGGGGTATATGTCTGTCTGACACAATTTATCTGACCCTGACCTCATTATCATAGATTTTTTTAAAATGTTAAGTTTCTGTAGTGCTTTTAGTAAAACCTTTATCTTGAAGATTTTCTACATAAAATCAATGGCCAGTAAAGTAGGCAAGACATTTCAGCGTGTGCACTCTTGTTAAACAATATTCATTATGATCATATAAATCCAATAATCAAATAAAAAGATTTTTTATGCCCCCGCCGAAGCGGAGGGGGCATTAAGTTTTACCCTTGTCTGTACGTCCCAAAATTGGTTTCCGTTCTCTAACTTAAGTTTGCCTCAACCAAATGTTATGAAACTTATACACAATGTTTATTACCACACAACACAGATCAAGTTTGAATTTTGGTGGCGTCACTTTAACCGTTCTTTAGTTATGCCCCTTTATAAATGGAAAAATTGCAAAATTTCCGTTCTCTAACTTAAATTTGCCTCATCCAAATGTTATGAAACTTATACACAATGCTTATTACCACAATACACAGATCAAGGTTGAATTTTGGGGGAGTCACTTTTACTGTTCTAGAGTTATGCCCCTTTACAAATGGAAAAATTGCTAAATTTTTGATTTTTTTTCCAGAAATAGCAATGTCATTATTCAAGTAATTTTTATACGCCCGTCGTCAACATGTCGGACATTAACTCAAAAATGCTTTTACCAATATGCATGAAACTTTGGTGAATTGTTTATATCTATTGACGTGAGCTCCCTTTCGTTTTTTATAAATTTTGGATTTACCGTTCCCGAATTTTGGAGTTTTATTCATTAAAAAGGGGGGATTTTCCAGTTTTCGGACAATAACTCAAAAACAATTTCACCAATTTGCAAGAAACTTTGGTGAATTGTTTAATGCTATTTACATGAGCTCCCTTTTGATTTTTATAAATTTTAGACTATACGTTTCTGATTTATGGGGTTTTATTCGTTACAAAAAGGGGGATATTCCTGTTTTCGGACAATAACTCAAAAATGCTTTCAGCATATTTTATGAAACTTTGGTAAATTGTTTATATCTATTGTTGTAAGCTCCCTTTTGATTTTTATAAATTTTAGATTTTATGTTTCCGATTTACAAGATTTTATTCATAAAAAAAGGGGTGATTTTCAAGTTTTTGGACAATATCCTTAAAGTGCTTAGAGCAGTTTTCATTAAACTTTGATGACTGATTTATATCTATTAAGATAACCTCCCTTTAGTTTTTTTTATAAATTTCTAATATAACATTGAGAAGTTATTGAACTTTATTTGTTTATAGTCTGACAACAGATTTACTAGTATTGTGCAACAGCACAGTGTATTGCACAACAGAAAGAAATCTTTAATTGAATATAAATTCAATTCATATAACCAATTTCAAGTTCTTTGACTACATTTATTCAGAAACCTATAATATGTCAAATATTTAATTACAATCCAAATTCAGACCTGTATCAAGCTTGAATATTGTGTCCATTTTTGCCCCAACTGTTCAGGGTTGGACCTCTGCGGGCGTATCCAGCTCGCACAGCGAAGCAGTTTATTAAAATTAGAGTTATCTTCCTTTGTCCATGATTATAGTTTAATCAACTACAATCAATGCTTTATACAATGCAATGTTTAATTTTGCCTTCCACTGATAAAACACAGATCAAGTTGAATTTGGGTAGTGTCACTTTAACTATTATTGAGTTATGCCCCTTTATAAATCGAAAAATTTCAAAATTTTTAGTTTCCATTCTATAACTTAAATTTGCCCCAACCAAACATTATGAAATCTATACACAATACTCATTACCACAAAACTAAGATCAAGTACAAATATTGTTTCCGTTCTCTAACTTTAGTTTGCCTCAACCAAATGTTATGAAACTTATAAACAATGCTTATTACTACATAATACAGATTAAGTACAAAATTCGGTGGCGTCACTTTTACCATTCTTGAGTTATGTCCCTTTATAAACATAAAAATTGCTGAATTTTTCGTTTCCGTTCTCTAACTTTAGTTTGTCTCAACCAAATGTTATAAAACTTATACACAACCGTTCTAGAGTTATGTGTGTTTACAAATAGAAAAGTTGCTGAATTTTTATATGACCGCAAAAAAATTTTTGGGATAGTATAATGGTATGATGTCGTCATCGTCTGCGTCGTCATCCGAAGACATATTGGTTTCCTGACAATAACTTTAGTTTAAGTGAATGGATCTGTATGAAATTTTTGAAGAAGGTTCAATACCACAAAAGAAAGGTTGGGATTGATTTTGGGGATGATGGTCCCAACCGTTTAGGAATTAGGGGCCCAAAAGGGGCCCAAAACAAGCATTTTTCTAGTTTCAGGAAAATAACTTGTGTATAAGTATTTCGATTGCTCTGAAATTGTACCATAATGTTTAATACCACAAGTTGAAGGTTGGGATTCATTTTAGGGGTTATGGGCCAACAGTTTAGGAATTAAGGGCCAAAAAGGGGCCAAAAACAAGCATTTTTCTAGTTTCCAGACAATAACTTGTGTGTAAGTGTATGGATCTCTCTGACATTGTACCACAAGGTTCTATATAACAAAGGGAAGGCTGTGATTGAGTTTGGGGTTAATTGCCCCGAACATGTAGGAATTAAGGGCCAAAAACAAATATTTTATCTAGTTTACAGACAATAACTTGTGTTGAAGTGTATGGAGCTCTTTGAAATTGTACTACGATGTTCCATACTACAAAGGAAAGGCTGGGATTGAGTTTTAGGGTTATTGCTCCAAGGGGCATTTCAAAAAGTTGGGGGGCGGGGGGGGGCGGGATTTTTTTTTCAAATTTTTTTAAGGGATTCTTTTTTTTTTTTCAAAATTTTTCACAAATTTCGAATTTTTAAAAAGTTTCAAGAAGAAATCTTCAATTGCACAGTATTATGCAATAGATTTGTAAGATCTTTGACCACATTTATTTTGTGTCAGAAACCTATATTATGTCAAAAATTTGATCACAATTCAAATTCAGACAGTATCAAGCTTGAATATTGTGTCCAAATTTGCCCAAACTGTTCAGGGTTTGACCTCTGCAGTCGTATCAGGCTGCGCTCAGCGAAGCATTTTATTCGTTTCTGTTCTCTACTTAAGTTAGCCTCAACCAAATGTTATGAGACTTACACACAATGCTTATTACCACAAAACTCAGATCAAGTTCAAATTTAGGTAGCGTCACTTTTACCGTTCTTCAGTTATGTCCCTTTATAACTATATGATATGCAAGCAGGGGCATCATCTGTGTCCACATGTGGATTCAATCCACATTTATTTATCCAGTAATTCATTATCTGAAGCCCCTGTCATAATATTATACTCCCACTTTAGTGGGGGGGACTTTATTCCATTCACCATGTCTGTCCGTCTCACTATTCCTCCATCCAGCAAATATTTAGGTAACACTTTTCTCAGGTACTAATGAGCAGAGGACGTTCTTATTCAGTCATCACATGAACAGTAATGAGTTATGATATGTGAGCACTTTTCTTTTGACAACAAGTGAAACTTTATCTTCAAAATTATGCATCAATTTAAATCTCTACAGCATATAATGTTTTTCAAACTCACAAAATATTATAACACAGACTTTTATGTACAAAGGAACTTTTTTGTAAAGTGAGTGAGTCAGCGACTCAGTTTACACATCAATAACCTCTAGAAAAATTCTTATAATTTTTAACCAATGCATTTATTATTTTTCTTTCAATTTCAACTTTCTTTGAACCTCAGGATTGCATTCTTGTGTAACACAGTAATCACACATGAATATATCACATTCAGATTGATAACAGTCATTCCAAAGGTCTGTCAGACTTGTGGCAATGTCCAGTAATAAATTGTTTGGTCCAGTAAAATGTCATAAATAATAAACTGGACCAAATGACCAGTGTAGATGTAAGAATTTTGTAATACTCATAATGTAAAAGACTGCTAAAATACTGACTGGTCAGTAATGGTTGAACAATTATTGGTACCAAAAGACCACTGAGGTCCAAAAAACCTTCAGAACCTCTGTGATAGGTTACAAAAGTAGTTCAGCAATATGGTCTATCCAAGTGTAAACCAGAGAAAAAACATTCAACCTGACCAATCACATTCACGTATTGGTAGATACACAAATCATATAAGAATTATATAGTATTTTATGCTTACTACAGGACCTGTGTCTGATACATAGATTAATAACATATAGTTTTATCTCTACAGGTACCAAGAAACAAAGACCGACTTGATTCTGGTGATGTTTATATTTTAGATTTAGGTCTACAAATATATCAGTGGAATGGTTCGGGTTCTAACAAAGATGAGAGAATGAAGGTAGGTCTACAAATATATCAGTGGAATGGTTAGGGTTCTAACAAAGATGAGAGAATGAAGGTAGGTCTACAAATATATCAGTGGAATGGTTCGGGTTCTAACAAAGATGAGAGAACGAAGGTAGGTATACAAATATATCAGTGGAATGGTTCAGGTTCTAACAAAGATGAGAGAATGAAGGTAGGTCTACAAATATATCAGTGGAATGGTTCAGGTTCTAACAAAGATGAGAGAATGAAGGTAGGTCTACAAATATATCAGTGGAATGGTTAGGGTTCTAACAAAGATGAGAGAATGAAGGTAGGTCTACAAATATATCAGTGGAATGGTTAGGGTTCTAACAAAGATGAGAGAATGAAGGTAGGTCTACAAATATATCAGTGGAATGGTTCAGGTTCTAACAAAGATGAGAGAATGAAGGTAGGTCTACAAATATATCAGTGGAATGGTTAGGGTTCTAACAAAGATGAGAGAATGAAGGTAGGTCTACAAATATATCAGTGGAATGGTTAGGGTTCTAACAAAGATGAGAGAATGAAGGTAGGTCTACAAATATATCAGTGGAATGGTTCGGGTTCTAACAAAGATGAGAGAACGAAGGTAGGTATACAAATATATCAGTGGAATGGTTCAGGTTCTAACAAAGATGAGAGAATGAAGGTAGGTCTACAAATATATCAGTGGAATGGTTCGGGTTCTAACAAAGATGAGAGAATGAAGGTAGGTATACAAATATATCAGTGGAATGGTTCAGGTTCTAACAAAGATGAGAGAATGAAGGTAGGTCTACAAATATATCAGTGGAATGGTTCAGGTTCTAACAAAGATGAGAGAATGAAGGTAGGTCTACAAATATATCAGTGGAATGGTTAGGGTTCTAACAAAGATGAGAGAATGAAGGTAGGTCTACAAATATATCAGTGGAATGGTTAGGGTTCTAACAAAGATGAGAGAATGAAGGTAGGTCTACAAATATATCAGTGGAATGGTTCAGGTTCTAACAAAGATGAGAGAATGAAGGTAGGTCTACAAATATATCAGTGGAATGGTTAGGGTTCTAACAAAGATGAGAGAATGAAGGTAGGTCTACAAATATATCAGTGGAATGGTTAGGGTTCTAACAAAGATGAGAGAATGAAGGTAGGTCTACAAATATATCAGTGGAATGGTTCGGGTTCTAACAAAGATGAGAGAACGAAGGTAGGTATACAAATATATCAGTGGAATGGTTCAGGTTCTAACAAAGATGAGAGAATGAAGGTAGGTCTACAAATATATCAGTGGAATGGTTCGGGTTCTAACAAAGATGAGAGAATGAAGGTAGGTCTACAAACATTTCATTAACAGAGAAAATAGCGGTAGGTATACAAACATTTCATTTACAGAGAGAATGACGGTAGGTATACACACATTTCATTTACAGAGAGAATGACGGTAGGTATACACACATTTAATTTACAGAGAGAATGACGGTAGGTATACACACATTTAATTTACAGAGAGAATGACGGTAGGTATACACACATTTCATTTACAGAGAGAATGAAGGTAGGTATACACACATTTCATTTACAGAGAGAACGACGGTAGGTATACACACATTTCATTTACAGAGAGAATGAAGGTAGGTATACACACATTTCATTTACAGAGAGAATGACGGTAGGTATACACACATTTAATTTACAGAACTTTGCTTTTAGTTCCCCACAAGTAAGGTGTTTGATACATTTTCAATCAATGGCAATAAAAAATGTCTACATCCAGTTTTCAGAAATTTATTTGACACACAGCCATATAATTTGGTGAACAGAAGCATGTTGGAGTCTGATGATGTATCAATAGATGAAAATATAACAAAAAATATTGCATGACCTTTGTTTTTCAGTTGCCTGGTTTTGATTAAGTTGTTCAGTTTAACAGCAATCAATAGATTTAAGGTGAAAGGTAACCTACAACAACTAAATGTCAGGACGGGAGTATGGCAGCCTCTAAATAAGCATAAGTGGGTCACTGTTCAACAATTTTATAGACTTTAAAGTGGTCTTTATTTGAAAATTTGCTCATCTTTCTCTACAAAACTCTGTATAAGTTATATTAATATCCTGAATGCATACAAATTTTAGAGAAAAGATAAACTTCAGTTATCTTGGTTATCCTACTAGTACTTAGATATAGTTGATCTTGCATAAGATAAGAACTGATAAAATAGAAATAAAAACATTGGTAATTTAGTTGATGAATCACATTGCTTTTAAACATAACCCATGCCAATATTGAATATGTCAGATGAATAAACTTTCAAGGACCAGCTCACAATAAAAAATTAAGTGGATATTAAAAGGCATGCTATCTATTTTAAAACAACATTAACAATGGCATGCACTGTCATTATTATATCAGAAAATAAGGTAGAGATTTTTGAAAATGTTAAAGATAAATAAATAGTAATTTGACTTGGACAATCATGTAATTAGCTTAGAGAGAATGACTTACTCCTGATTGTTGCTAGGTAATAGGTACAGGCTCTAATAGACGTATTTACACTTGTATGCAAATTTTCCGCCATTACGTAAAATCACACAGGTTCCCGTAAACTTTGACATCATAATTAAAAAGTGATTGTTGCCTGACGTCAAAAGGTGATTCGGAGTAGATCTAAGGTCATTCGGAGGCAAAATATAGCTAAATACCAAAAGTGTAAATACGTTTATTAGCTTTAGTCGTATTTTTCAGGCTATGCAGTATTGTATTAAATTGAAAGACGAAAGAAGTGGTAAAGCTTCAAGTGAAGTTTTAGATGAGGGTAGTACTGATAAAGATGTGAGTTTATTTTTTTAGATGAGGGAAGTACTGATAAAGATGTGAGTTTATTTTTTTAGATGAGGGTATTACTGATAATGATGTGAGTTTATTTTAGATAATTAGGTTCAGGATTAATGTGTTTTCAAACAATTGCTGAATTCTTCAATAAAAATGAAAAAATAAGTGGAAAAATATTCAGTTAGATTTTAGAGTTGAAAGGGGTTGAAAAAACAGATGTTTTGAACTTTTAGTTGTAATGCTTGCTTTTTCTTTTCTTCTTTTTTAATTTCATCTGATTCTTGGTTGTTAGAACTAAAGGAAATATTGCAACAGATTTTTGGCAGGTCCTTGAAGTAAATCAGCTCAAAAGAACCTCAAGTCAACTTGCTGGCACTGTATTATAGCCAGAAATTGAGCAACGGGTCATAAGTCAAAACAGACTGACAGTGCCATGACAAAAAAACAAAAAATAACCTAAAGCTATATAACAGTATACAAAACACAAAATAAAACAGTAAAGACTGAGCAATGCGAACCCCATCAACAACCGGGGATGATCTCAGTTGCTCCAGAAGGGTGAACAGATCCTGTTCCACATGTGGCAGCTCTCTGTTGGTTGTGTAAGTACAAACCTGGTGATAATTCTAATTAGATATGTCACATTTGAGTTTAAGGGGACAGATTGTGGTTAAGACAATTAGAACATATCCCTTTCTCATCTTTGATGACACTTTAATGTATGGTTAGTGTTTACTGTATTGCTGGAAAGTGTACCTGTAAAGTTATTTGGAATAAACTTAATATTTTGTCATTATGACTTCATGAAAAAAAAAATCCTAGTTCCATCCTGATAAAAGGAAGTAGTTTCTGCCTATCGCAAGAAAAAAAATTAACTATCTGATGTAATAATGAAGTAATAACTATAATCTACCCCTTATCACTGAAATTAAAATAGATGTTATAAAGCAGTGTAAAACTCACATGATGTAATATAATCAATGTGTTTAGAGATTGGTTATTTTTAAACATTGATATATATGTATCTAGCCAAAACATTGGGTAAGTATTTGTAGCCTTGTGTGTTTGTGTGCCTATTCAAAACAATTTTCCTTTGTGACACAACCAACCAAACAAACATGTGCCTCCTTTAAATCATTCAATATTTTTTACTTTTTGTAAGAATTGAATACAAAGTGCCATCATCACTTGAAATTTAGCTTGGTCTGATGCTTGTTTAGAAAGACAATAAAACCTTTATATTTGTACACAAATTGAGGGTTACTTTTATGTTTGACTGTATTGTATTCCAGCATGAATCCCGTTCTTATGTTTTTGCAGTCCTATATTTAAGAGTATTTTCTATTTATTCCATCCAATTCATACCGTTTGGTGCCTAGTTTCTAATTACTTCAAAGTATTCAGATATTGTGCCAAAATATATTTTCTATATTTACATGAATTATACTGTGAATTCAGAAATTATTGCGATGTTTTTATTAATGCGAATATTGCGACTGGATGAGTATCGCAAAAATAAGAACTCGCATTTTGATATCTGAAACATATATCCATATGCAGATTTTCCTGAAATCGCAATAATTAATCTCGCATTTTTGTCCATTCTTCAAAAATTGCAATAATAAATGAACGCATTAATTTTTGAATTTACAGTACTTGATTTTCTTAATTCAGCCTAAATTGAGAAATTGAATGCAAATATATACACAGCCCTAAAAAGTAGATATCTGAAATTTTTTGCCCAAATATTTAAGTTATCAAATGTATCGTTCTTTAGAAAATGCTGCTTAGATACTGACCATAGGGTCTGTTTACTACTTGAAGTAATGAGTGATGCAGCTGTTGATTGTTCACCATTTACGTAGATAGAAAAGATTTAAACATAGAATATTAGACTTATCATGACCAGTTGATTAATTAGTCCCCTTCTGACAAAGTCGAAGGGGACTTTAGGTTTGCACTCCGTCCATCTGTCTGTCTGTCTGTCCATCCGTCAGTCCAGCAAATCAGTTTTCCTCACTTTTTAGCTCACCTGGCCCAGTAAGATCTACAAAAAAGTCGGACCCCTTAAGGAGTTATTGCCCTTTATAGTCAATTTTTAACCATTTTTCGTAAATTTTTGTAATCTTTTACAAAAATCTTCTCCTCTGAAACTACTAAGACAAATTTAACCAATCTTGTCCACAATCATCATTAGGGTATCTAGTGTCCGATGACCCCGCCTGCGAACCAAGATGGCCGACATGGCTAAAAAAATAGTACATAGGGTAAAATGCAGTTTTTGGCTCATATCTCTGAAACGAAAGCATTTAGAGCAAATCTGGCAGGATAAAATTGTTCATTAGGTCAAGATCTATCTGCCCTGAAATTTTCAGACCAATCAGGCAACACGTTGTTGGGTTGCTGCCCCTGAATTGGTAATTTTAAGAAAATTTTGCAGCTTTTGGTTATTATCTTGAATATTATTATTATAGATAGAGATAAACTGTAAACAGCAATAATGTACAGCAAAGTAAGATCTACAAATAAGTCAACATGACCAAAATTGTCAATTGACCCCTTAAGGAGTTATTGCCCTTTATAGTCAATTTTTTACAATTTTCATAAATTTTGTAAATTTTTGTAAATTTTTACAAAATATTTTCCACTGTAACTACTGGGCCAACTTCATTATAGATAGAGATAATTGTAAGCAGCAAGAATGTTCAGTAAAGTAAGATCTACAAACACATCACCATCACCAAAACACAATTTTGTCATGAATCCATCTGTGTCCTTTGTTTAATATGCACATAGACCAAGGTGAGCGACACAGGCTCTTTAGAGCCTCTAGTTTTCTTCATGATTGAATATATTGATTTGATATTTGGTATATTGTTTTATCATGACAAGTTACAGATCAAGTTTGAATTTTATTCTGGTCTGATGATTTTGTGCAGAGTTATGGTCCTTGGACTAAGAAAACTCATATCCTCATTTTTTTTCGTCATACTTGAAGATATTTACTTGATATTTGTTATATAGTTTACACCATGATGAGTTATAGATCATGTTAGCATTTTGTACCAGTAAAATGAATTTTTAACCGGTAGGGGACTATGTATTGCCATGCAATACTCTCAGAATGCTTGTTGTTTGCATAATTAAAGTATGGTTTGTTTGAACTCAGATCTTCATTGGTCAAAATTCAATTATGGGGTCAAATTTTCTTGCTCACCTCTGAATTTCTTACAAAGTTGTTGACATATTGTCTATAAATCATTAGAAAAACAGATTCTACCACGGAATCTTGTTCAATATCATATTTCTTCATGTTTTTTACAGTTAAAATTCATATATTTGACTGTCTCAAATTGAGAAATATTGCATAACACTCGATGCAGTAGTAGAATCTATATATATATATATGTGTGAATGTTTGTGTTAGTTGCCTGTCTTGACATAATTTACAATTTGTCCACCATGAAATTTTACAAATTGTATGTAAATGGGCTTCAACAAAAGAAAACAAATATTAGTTTAATAAGTAATTATATAATATTTTGATTTTATTTTAGCATGAATTTTACAAAGCTTTGAATGAAGATGATGTTCCTGATGAAGCCAAGAAATATAAAGCAGTTGATTCACAGAAGGAGCTGTTCAGGTTATCTGATGCTAGTGGAAACATGAAATTTTCTCTGTCAAAGAAGGGTCAAGTGTCCAAGACTGACCTGGATAGCAAGGTTAGTTTTCTAGGCAACTAACACATTAAGTTAAAACTAGACAAGTTTTTTTCACCTGGATTGCAGGATTAGATTTTTTCATCAAGCACTCCAGATAAAGAATCTCCAAGTTAGGTTTTTATAGCAAAATTTGTTTTGTCCCAGAATTTATAATGCAAAAGAAAATTCAAAGCAAGGTTTGGACTGTAATGATAAAGATTTCTGTATAACCTGACAAAGTCTGTCATACATTTATCCATTACAAAGCAAGGTTTGGACTGTAATGATAAAGATTTCTGTATAACCTGACAAAGTCTGTCATACATTTATCCATCACAAAGAAAGGTTTGGACTGTAATGATAAAGATTTCCGTATAACCTGACAAAGTCTGTCATACATTTATCCATCACAAAGAAAGGTTTGGACTGTAATGATAAAGATTTCCGTATAACCTGACAAAGTCTGTCATACATTTATCCATCACAAAGAAAGGTTTGGATTGTAATGATAAAGATTTCCGTATAACCTGACAAAGTCTGTCATACATTTATCCATCACAAAGCAAGGTTTGGACTGTAATGATAAAGATTTCTGTATAACCTGACAAAGTCTGTCATACATTTATCCATTACAAAGCAAGGTTTGGACTGTACCGGTAATGATAAAGATTTCTGTATAACCTGACAAAGTCTGTCATACATTTATCCATTACAAAGAAAGGTTTGGACTGTAATGATACAGATTTCTGTATAACCTGACAAAGTCTGTCATACATTTATCCAACACAAAGAAAGGTTTGGACTGTAATGATAAAAGATTTCCATATAACCTGACAAAGTCTGTCATACATTTATCCATCACAAAGAAAGGTTTGGACTGTAATGATACAGATTTCTGTATAACCTGACAAAGTCTGTCATACATTTATCCATCACAAAGAAAGGTTTGGACTGTAATGATACAGATTTCTGTATAACCTGACAAAGTCTGTCATACATTTATCCATTACAAAGAAAGGTTTGGACTGTAATTATACAGATTTCTGTATAACCTGACAAAGTCTGTCATACATTTATCCATTACAAAGCAAGGTTTGGACTGTAATGATAAAGATTTCTGTATAACCTGACAAAGTCTGTCATACATTTATCCATTACAAAGCAAGGTTTGGACTGTAATGATAAAGATTTCTGTATAACCTGACAAAGTCTGTCATACATTTATCCATCACAAAGAAAGGTTTGGACTGTAATGATAAAGATTTCTGTATAACCTGACAAAGTCTGTCATACATTTATCCATCACAAAGAAAGGTTTGGACTGTAATGATAAAGATTTCCATATAACCTGACAAAGTCTGTCATACATTTATCTATCACAAAGAAAGGTTTGGACTGTAATGATAAAAGATTTCCATATAACCTGACAAAGTCTGTCATACATTTATCCATCACAAAGAAAGGGAAATGTTAGCTATTGCATTAAGGTTTTCTTCTCTCCTTGGCATTTAAATGTCAAAGTAAAATCTGGTCCACAAGATAATTATATCATATATTCATTGAAGTCCCATTAAAAAAAACTCTCAGAAAAAGAAACCTTAAAACATATGGGACAGCAAAAAAAGTGACTTTTACAGTGACTTGCATTAAGTTAGTTCTATCATTCAGATTGAATTTATTCTTATTCCTTGTTTAAAACACTAAAACAGTAATAAATTATGATTTTACAGGATGTATTTATCTTGGATTCAAAGACAGCATTACATGTATGGATTGGTAAAGATACCTCTGTCAATGAACGTAGAAATGCTATGTCCTACGCACATGTAAGTACAATCTACTGTAAAACTGTTGAACAATCAACACAAATACAAGTTTAATTATTGCGATTTAAAGACATGCTGCATACAAGTAACGCTATTGAAATTCAAAATGTGAGTTCTTAAATTTGCCACACCTATTTCTTTGCAATTGTAGCAATAATGAAAACATTCATTAACATTGCAAAAAATATCTGAATTTACAGTATTTTTATGCGGCATTGTCTAAAATCATAATAATTCTACTCAAATTTTTGTCCATTCTTCAACAGTCCCAATAATTAAAGTCATATGAAACTTCAAATTTGAAAAAAAAACAGTTATGTTTTATATTCTTGAATGGCTAAGTTTCACTTTAAAACATGTGTACGTGAACTTTCTTGTAAAAGAAAATCCTTTATATTATCAAAATCTTAATAAATGTACTACTATTGAGTTATTGTCTTCCCGTACACTTATTTGCCAATATTTTTTCCTGTATGCAGTGACCTTAACTATGAGACCACTCGTTAGAACTGGTGCGCAAATGCGAGGACAAAAACATGATGAAAGAATGTAAATAAAGGTGCATTGAAAGGTTAATAGTAATAACTGATTCTTAAAGAACAAATTTAATACAACAAATCATTAAACAACTGTAAAGGACAAGTTTGATTAACAGATGGGAACACATGGAAAATATGAAAAAAAAATATCATGGCTCTGTCAGTTCACTTATTTGTCACGTGCTTCACATACTCTGTGTTGATTTTTTATCAATGTCATGATCCAGTAGACTTTGGCAACAAACTCGAAAGTTAACTAGCTTGTGATCAACAATCACTGAATGAAATATTATTTGTTGATAAGGCCAAAAAAATATATATGTCTGTTTAACAAGGTTGGGCGGTAAATACCACCCCCGGTATTTACCAGTGGTATTTACCGGTATTTACCACCCTGGTCAATACTCCTCAAGTGGTCAATACTGGCAAATACTGGACAATTGAAATTAAGTGTTTAAGGTTACATACTTTAAAAAAATAGGGTAGGTAGGTCGGTATTTCCATTTTATTTTATTTTTTCATTTTATTTTTTGTGACATGATTTTGAGTCATGCTGTTTCGTCTTGTCGTGGTCCGAGTTGATCATGGGCTGAGTTTACCCGTATTTTAATGATTGGATTATTTCCCTTGGTAATTGGTTGGAAAAAAATGGTGGCAAAGTGTTTATTTCATCACACGAGTTGCGGATTTCCTTAAAACAGCTGTCATATTCATGATTGTGAACATTGGATGTATCAGGCAATTGATTTATATTATTTGCAACCCTAATTTCGCTTTTGACAAGAGTTCAGTTTATTTTTTCACTTTACGACGGAAATAAAATGACTTAGGGTCTGCGCTCAAAAGTAGGGTCGGTCGGGTAACCGTAAACAGACATATATATTTTTTTGGCCTAATACTTTATTGATTTGTAATAAATATAAAAGAATGTGCATACATGACTTAGTTTAGTATATATGCATGGATTGGTTAAATAATTTAGATAACATTAAAATTACAAGAAACTCTCTTCATATGACTTAAATGCACACAAGAATTTCTGGATTTACAGTTGTTTATTTCAAACTATCCAGATTTATTCTTTAAATGTCTATTTTCATATATTTCATTGACTTTCCCTGTCAAAGTTGTATTGGTTGTGGACACAAACCCCATTACAATCAAGGGTTAGACATATGTGGGTCCTGTCATTTGACAAGTTAGGTGCCATTTTCAGTTTTTGGCCTCTAAGAGAGGTCCTGTCAGTTATTTCACAGAACATACTTCTGCAACAAGTGTAAGCTACTTTCCTATGTCATTCAGCATAGTTTAAGGATGGAAAAAAATAAAAATCAGGACCAAGAAATTTTGTTGCCAAAAAATGCATTTCTGGTGGAGTGGGCTGACTTTTTTGCACTCACATATGTAAATCAAGGAAGCAAGACATCATCCAGAAATTTTCCAAACATACAGTAATACAGATATCTTACTTTAATGTTTTTAGAAAATTAGGGCAACGAAATGTCTATTTCCTGTTTGACTTTCAAACCAAAATGTAAAAATTCAGAATTTGGACCTTTTACTTCAACGCTTTGATAGAGACTTTGGTATCAATGAAGTTTTTCTTCCAATGATATCACTTTTGGGATAAAGTTGCTCCCTTGAGAACACTCTTTGCCAAGAACACAGAAAAACTGTAACTTCTAGCATCCTATCAGCCTGAGGGTCAATAAGTAGGTCATGAAATCAGCAAAAATATGTCTATGCTATTTTCTCAAGTAAAAAATAATCTTCAAAACAAAAAAAGATTTGCTTTACATATGTTCCATAATATCAAGTAATTTTCTTTTTTTTTCTCAGAAATACCTCCAGAGTACTGATCATCCATTTGTGTCTGTCAGTTGTTTAGCTGAGGGAATGAAATCAAAAGCATTTGAGTTAGCCTTAGCAGCATAGACTTAATGTGACAGTTCCTTCATCTCATTCTGCAGCAATAAGATCAAATTTAACAACAGAAGAAACGCTCATTAAATTAATACAATACATGGTGTACAGGGTGGAAGTACTTGTCTTCATGGATATTTAGTTTTGTTGCCTATGGACAATATATATTTTCCCTTGGTTTTAGTGTTTGGTTTCAAATATTATCTGACAATTGTCAAGTCAGGAGATATAAATTTCTTAAAAATTAAATAGTCCTCCTTGTGAAATTATCAATTTCGAAATAACATTTGGAAAGCAAGGATTGTATTTATATAGAGAAATTAATTCAATCCTTTCTCATGATTGAAATTCTAAAATCTTTTGATTCGATATAATTATAAAAATAAGTAAGTAAATGCATTCAACAGTATTTAAGTGTATGCATTCATCTGTAAGCTTGTTTATTATAAATATCTTTACTTCAGTATAAAAATTTGTTGTTTTTAACAACCATTAAATCCATGAAAACTTATTCCAATTTGAAAAAATAAGAAAATGCAAAAGTAGTCAGCTTTGCATTTTGTGATAGGAGTAACTACTTTTTAAGAATTATATTAAGGCCTTAAGAAGAAACAAAAAGAGTGTAGACATTTTATGAATTGTGTTTCATTAGGATAAAAAGCTTTTAATTTGAATGATCAAAATGTCTTTATATTAACATTTTTTAACCAAGCAGACATCAGATTTTGCATAATAAATGTTGAAAAGAAACTGTTATTGTACAATTAAGTCTCTAACATGAGCTTGGTAAAGCTACTTAAAAGAGAAATTGGCAATATTTTTTGTTTACTGCTGTAAATATACATATTAATGATGACTGAGTTAAGTGATACTGTGTTTCTTTTGTTGTTAAAAAAGTGCTTCATTATAAACATTATAAAAATTATAATTCTTACTTATTTATTAGCATTTTTCCTTATACCGTTTTTTTGTTTTACTACATAAATACTTTTTGTAACTGAATATTTTGTATGTTTTGTAGTCAAAGATTTGTGTTATAGAAAAAAAAATTTTATTTGATAGATTTTGGAAATGATATTTTATGAAGTGTAACTAACTGAATAACTATACAAAGTTTTAAGTCACGACGGTTGATGAAAAATATTTGTAATCTATGCATTTTTTTTTATAAAAGTTATATAAGATGCAGCAGTTATTTTTTTCTTAAATAAAACACATAAAAACTGTGATTTAGATATCTTGAAATTTAAAATTGGGTTTTCAAAATTTTTGTTTAATGTTGAAATCATTTTTTTGTTGTTTCTTTTAGAGAGCTCCTTAAAAATTGGAAAAGTTGTATATTAGAACTTTCATAAAACTTTGTGTTGTAAAGTGAAGAAGTTTACCTTTGTTTTACTGAACTAGTCAATGTAATAAGCATTTCAGTTATATTTGATAATCAAATTTAAATATCTAGTATTTGATCCTTTACACCTTTTTGTAGATACTTTATGACCAATTTTCTATAACTTTAATTGATATGTAATTATATTAGCCTTGGTATACATAATTATTTATTTTCATCAAATAAATACTAATGTGAAATCTACTAGTTTTTTTTTTATGGCCCCGCAACAAAGTTGTCGGGGGCCATATAGTTTTACACTTTTCTGTCATTCCGTCATTCCGCAACAAACCATTGTACAGACTTTTTTTCTAAACGCCTTCAGATATTGGGCTGATTTTTGGAATGTGAGTTAACCATGATGTACAGATCAAGTTTAAGTTTCGTTCCACTCTGCTTATTTTTGCCGAAATTACAGGCTTTGGACTTTGATAAATTGTTGAAAATCACAGTTATACAGACTTTTTTTCTAAACACCTTCAGATATTGGGCTGATGTTTGGTATGTGAGTTAACCATGATGAGTTACAGATCAAGTTTAAGTTTCGTTCGGCTCTGCTAATTTTTCCTGAAATTACGGGCTTTGGACTTTGATAAATTGTTGAAAATCACAGTTATACGGACTATTTTTCTAAAGGCCTTCAGATATTGGGCTGATTTTTGGTATGTGAGTTAACCATGATGAGTAACAGATCAAGTTTAAGTTTTGTTCCACTCTGCTAATTTTTCCTGAAATTACAGGCTTTGGACTTTGATAAATTGTTGAAAATCACAGTTATACAGACTTTTTTTCTAAACGCCTTTAGATATTGGGCTGATTTTTGGTATGTGAGTTACCCACGATGAGTTACAGACCAAGTTTAAGTTTCGTTCCCCTCTGCTAATTTTTGCCAAAATTACGGGTTTTGGACTTTGAAAATTGACGAAAATCACAGTTATACAGACTTTTTTCTATACGCCATCAGATTTGTGCTGATTTTTGATATGCGAGTCTACCATGATGAGTTACAGACCAAGTTTATGTTTCGTTCTGATATTCTGATTTTCATGTCATTTCAACACATCTTCAGTACATCCACTTCCTGTTTGCTGATAGTTTGAAATTTAACTACTCATTGAACAAGATAATTTTTCAGCAAACTAGTATTGGTCTTGAGAGCTGGATACTATCCATGCATTTTTGTGTCCACATGTGTTGTTGAAATTGCAGATTTTTCAACTTTTTGAGACGGAGCCATTCGTGTCGTTCCGACACATCTAGTTTAATATCAGTCGAATTGCAGGTAAACTATACAACTGATTCTGGCATTCAAAAGGGAACTGTACATTTTATCTACAATCAGTAATTAGGGGATACTATACAATTAACTGAAACCATTAAGTTTTCCTGGAATTTTGACACAAAGTCAATTTAGTATACTCCTTTTTTTATCCCCGCTCCAAAAGAGGGGTTGGTGTTTACCCTTTTACCTGTCTGTCTGTCCTATGAAATTTTTTTATAGGAACTACAAATGAGTGCTACCTTTAGTTTTGATCAAGCTTCATGTGAACATACTATATCATATGACCAAGTTTCAGATTTATGCCTATCAACTTCTTGTTTAACAAATACTTATATGATATCTTCTAAACATAATGAACATCTTTGAAATTTTTGTGGACTTTGCACATAAATGATAATGTTTGCCTTTTTTCTTGAACACTATTATAGATAGAAACTTTAAATAGCAAAAATTATCAGCAAGACAAGATTTACATATAAGTTCACATGGCCGAAATTGTCAGTCAACTCCTTATTGGAGCTATTGCTCTTTAATGGTGATTTTTTTTTCTTCACAATATTTTTGCATATTGTCTTGAAAACTATAATAGATAGATAGAAGCTTTAATCTGCAAAAATGATCACCAATTTACCAATGGTTTTCAAATTTTTTATATGTTGTTACTGATGAAAAAATGGAGGTCAAATTCAATACTGATGATTTTCACTTTTGCCACCCAGGAGTAATGGCTCTTGATAGATTTTAAAATGGCACTTTATGCTATTTTTGTGCAATTACTTATGAACCATTCAACCAAAGTTTTTATACAACCGCAAAAATTAAAAAAATTTTGGTCGTATATTGGTATCACGTCGTCGTCGTCAGCGTTGTCCGAAGACGGATGAATTCCGGATAATAACTTTAGTATAAGTAAATAGAAATCAATAAAATTTTAACACAAGGTTTATAACCACAAAAGGAAGGTTGGGATTGATTTTGGGGGTTTTGGTCCCAACAGTTTAGGAATTTGGGGCACAAATAAGCATTTTTCTTGGTTTTCGCACAATAACTTTAGTATCAGTAAATAGAAGTCTACGAAATTTAAACACAAGGTTTATGACCACAAAAGGAAGGTTGGGATTGATTTTGGGAGTTTTGGAATTAGGGGCCAAAAGGGTCCAAAATTAAACTTTGTTTGATTTCATCAAAAATTGAATTCTTGGGGTTCTTTGGTATGCCGAATCTAACCGTGTATTTAGATTCTTAATTTTTGGTCCCGTTTTCAAATTGGTCTACATTAAGGTCCAAAGGGTCCAAAATTAAACTTAGTTTGATTTTAACAAAAATTGATATCTTGGGGTTCTTTGATATGCTGAATCTAAACATGTATTTAGATTTTTGATATTTGGGGCCCTTTATCAAATTGGTCCACATTGAGTTCTAAAGGGTCCAAAATTGAACTTTATTTGATTTCATCAAAAATTGAATTCTTGGGGTTCTTTGATATGCTGAATCTTAATATATATAAGAAGATGTGGTATGAGTGCCAATGAGACAACTCTCCATCCAAGTCAAAATCTATAAAAGTAAACCATTATAGGTCAAGGTAGGGTCTTCAACACGAAGCCTTGGCTCACACCGAACAGCAAGCTATTAAGGGCCCAAAAATTACTAGTGTAAAACCATTCAAACGGGAAAACCAACGGTCTAATCTATATAAAAAACGAAGAAACGAGAAACACTTATGAACCACATCTAACCATGTATTTAGATTTTGGATATTGGACCATAATAGGTGAATGTCCAATTTAAATTTTTTCAAGTTCTTAGACCACATTCGTTCTGTGTCAGAAACCTATTCTGTGTCAACTATTTAATCACAATCCAAATTCAGAGCTGTATCAAGCTTGAATGTTGTGTCCATACTTGCCCCAACTGTTCAGGGTTCGACCTCTGCGGTCGTATCAAGCTGCGCCCTGCGTAGCATCTGGTTAAAATTTTAATATGCTGCGACTGATGACAAAATGGTGGTCAAGTTGAATATTTCAGCGGAGTAAATTTTCATCAGCGGGGAAAAGGCTGCAGAGAAATTTTTCTTCAGTTTTGTTTTTGCCGTTCAAAAGTTATGGTCCTTGATAGATAGGAAAATAGGCATAGAATGTGGTAGGTAAAAAAAACCCTGAAAGTACCTTTCAAAATACAGAGAACATAGTTTGCTGTCAATTTGACAGCTCATTCCTTGTTACCATTTTTTTGTGTTATTGCCTATTATTTTGAAAATATAATAGACAGAGAGAAACTTTGAATAACAAAAATGAACCACAAGGCAATATCTCCAAATAAGACTAGGAGTTAGTAAGTACCCTTAAATGACAATTGTTATCCAATTCATTGTGTTTTACCTATTATTTTCAAAACTATAAACTATAGATAGAAACTTTAAGAAGCAAAAGTGATCAGCATGAATGAAATTGTCTGGTGTCTTCTTATAGGAGTTTTGCCCTTAAATGCCGATTTTTACCCTTTTTTGTATTATGTCAAAAACTATAGAAGATAGAAACTGTACACAGATAAAATTATCAGCAATAAAAGTTCATCCAAGAGATTTAAGTCATGAATTATATTCTAGTCTACGATGTTGAAGAGTGTCAATTGTTGAAGATGCACATAGACCTAGGTGAGTGACACGGGCTCTTTAGAGCCTCTTATATCTGTTTTCAAAAGAAAAATGTGAAATTTAGAATGTTTGCAATATTTAAGAAAAAGTCTTATCTTTAAAACCAAGGGTATGAAGTTTTCCAGTAAGATTGATCAGGAACACAAAATCTACAAACAATATTATTGAAATCGTCTTGACTACAAATACCGGTAGAAGATGTTGACCCTAATCAGTGTTAACCATTTTTTATACAACCGCAAAAAATGTGTGTTCGTATATTGCTATCACGTCCTCGTCGTCAGAAGACATTTGGTTTCCGGACAATAACTTTAGCTTAAGTGTATGGATCTCTATGAAATTTGACAAAAAGGTTCAATACCACAAAGAAGGTTGGGATTGTTTTTGGGGGTGATGGTCCCAATCCTTTAGGAATTAGGGGCCAAAAAGGGTCCCAAAACAAGCATTTTTCTAGTTTCAGGACAATAACTTGTGTATAAGTATTTTGATTGCTCTGAAATTGTACCACAAGGTTCAATACCACAAGTAGAAGGTTGGGATTCATTTTGGGGGTAATTGCCCAAACTGTTCAGGAATTAGGGGCCAAAACAAGCATTTTTCTAGTTTTCAGACAATAACTTGTGTTTAAGTGTATGGATGTCTCTTAAATTGTACCACATTTTACAAAAAGAAAATTTCTTCAAATATTTTTTTTTTTTGAGGGGGAGGGTAAACAAAGATTTTTTTTTGGGGGGGGGGGGCATCAATTTTTTTCCCTCAAGATTTAAGAAATTATCAATTATCCACAAAAAAATTGGGGGTCACAATTTATATGCTAATTCTTTGTATATAGTCTGAAAACAGATTTACTAAGTATTGCGCAACAGCACAGTGTATTGCACAACAGCAAGAAATCTTCAATTGAATATAAATTCAAATCATATAACCAATTTCAAGTTCTTTGACTACATTTATTCTGTGTCAGAAACCTATAATGTGTCAAATATTTAATTACAATCCAAATTCAGACCTGTATCAAGCTTGAATATTGTGTCCATTTTTGCCCCAACTGTTCAGGGTTAGACCTCTGTGGTCGTTTCCAGCTGCGCACAGCGAAGGACATTTTTTTCTCATTTTATGCCTTTTTCTAGTGCATTGAAAAATGTAATTGATAGACAAAAACTGTCCACCAAACCATCAGCACAACAAGATGTTGGCTCACATCATTTCCATTCAGCACAAGTACTCTTCGTTGCATTGTATAAGTTTTATTAAAAATCACCAGCAATGCGATGCAGGCTCCTTTGGGCCTCTGGTTAAAAAAAAAGGTGACATGTCTTCCTGTTGACTTTTACCTTGTGAGCTAGTACCTTAAAAATCATACTCAAAATTTTGGTTTAGTTTCATGGTTTCATATTCATATTGTATCTGCTTGAATATGCATATTTTTTTTCTGCCAGACTTTAAGCAGCCATCAATCATTAAATTTTGTGAACTTTGTATTACAATTTACAATGTTAGTACAACGTAAACATGAATTTAAAATTTTTAAATCTTGTATTATTGGAATATAACAACACATTTTTATGTACACCAGTATAGAAATAATAAAATTATTGTTTTTTTATTTTATTTGATTTGAAGAGATTGATTATATTCATTAGTAAGAGAACTGATAGATTAATACAGGTATTGACGTTGTCTGTTGGTTAGTAGTATTACCATTAAGGTTTATAGAATTCTGTTGGTTAGTAGTATTACCATTAAGGTTTATAGAATTCTGTTGGTTAGTAGTATTACCATTAAGGTTTATAGAATTCTGTTGGAAAGTAGGATGAATCAATTTAAAGCTGTAGGTCTAATCATCATGGTGGTTTCCTTTAAAACATACATTTGCCAGTTATGAAAGCTTCCCCAAATTATTCCCTGTTCACCAGGTTTGCCCCACAATCCATTAATATTTGATTTGAAACAGCCACTGTACCAGTAGCCACCGTGGTGTTTCTGAGCACAATTTATATCCTTGGATCCATCTTTGTCGTGATCAGCAGTAGAAAAGGCATGTCCATTATGGTCAAATGCAAGGGAATCACCTACAAAATAATTTCACAATTAAATAATCCGGGCATCCCAGCTTCTTTCTATAAACATAAATATGCAGGGTGAGAGATTTTTTTCACCATCAGATATCATCCCTATAGTTATATACGTGTGGCCATGCCATCTTTTAGTGTAATCGCTCAAAGCTTTTCAACATTTACATATATACAAATGTATATAGTTCAATTTATTAATTAAACAGTTTGTTCACTTTGGAATCTAAAAGTGACAGGCACTGCTGGAACTCATTCCATTATGAAATCGAAAAATGCTTTTCCTAACAGTGACCAATACATTCTGTACAGTATGAAATCATTAACAAGTATTGCCTACATTGATACTCTTAATAGAAATCTTAACTGCATCATCAGAATGACCAGACATTTCTGCCTAAACTTACCTACATTACCTGAATGACCAGACATTTCTGCTGAATCTTACCTGCATTACCTGAATGACCAGACATTTCTGCTGAATCTTACCTGATTCACCAGAATGACCAGACATTTTCTGCTGAATCTTACCTGCATCACCAGAATAACCAGACATTTCTTATGAATCTTACTTGCATCACCAGAATGATCAGACAATTCCTGCTGAATGCTACCTGCATCACCAGACTGACCAGTTATTTTTTTTAATCTTACCTGCATCACCAGAATGACCAGACATTTCTTATGAATCTTATCTGCATCACCAGAATGACCAGACATTTCTTATGAATCTTATCTGCATCACCAGAATGACCAGACATTTCTTTTTATGCTTACATGCATCACCAGAATGACCAGACAATTCCTGCTGAATCTTACCTGCATCACCAGAATGACCAGACATTTCTCTTGAATCTTGCCTGCATCACCAGAATGATCAGACAATTCCTGCTGAATCTTACCTGACTCACCAGAATGACCAGACAATTTTTTTTAATCTTACCGACATCACCAGAATGGCCAAACATTTCACTTGAATCTTACCTTCATCACCAGACTGATCAGACAATTCTCTTGAATCTTACCTGAATCACCAGAATGATCAGCCAATTCCTACTGAATATTGCCTGTGTCAGCAGAATGACCAGACATTTCTTCTGAATCTTACTTGCATCACATGAATGACCAAACATTTATTCTTAATCACACCTGCCTCAACTGAATGACTTTCTTTCTCCTGAATCTTACCTGAATCATCAAAATCGACAGACGTGTCTGATGAATCTCACCTACATCACCAGAATGGCCAGACATTTCCTGATGAATCTGCCTGCATCACCAGAATGACAGGACATTTATGCTGCATCTTACCTGCATCACCTGAATAACGAGACATTTCTCCTTAATCTTACCTGCGTCACCAGAGTGACCAGACATTTCTGCTAAATCTTACCTGATTCACCAGAATGACCAGAAATTTCTCTTAAATCTTACCTGCATCACAAGAATGACAAGACAATTTCTTCTTTATCATACTTGTATCGCCAGAATGACAAGACATTTTTGCTACATCTCTCCTTCATTACCAGAATGACCAGACATGTCTGGTGAATCTTAACTGCATCACCAGAAAAATAGACACTTCTCTAGAATCTCAACTGCATCACCAGAATGATCAGACAATGCCTGCTGAATCTTACCTTATTCTCTAGAATGACTAGACATTTCTTTTTAATCTTACCTGCATCACCAGAATGACCAGACAATTCCTGTTGAATCTTACTTGCATCACCAGAATGACCAGATATTTCTTCTAAATCTCACCTGCATCACCAGAATGACCAGACATTTCTGATGAATCTTACCTGCATGACCAGAATGACCAGACATTTATGCTGAATCTTACCTGCTTCACCAGAATGACCTGACATTTCTGATGAATCTTACATGCATCATCAGAATGACCAGAAGTTTCTTCTTTATCTCACCTGCATTACCAGAATGACCAGATATTTCTGTTGAATAAATTCTGTATCACCAGAATGAGCAGAACATTCTGCTGAACCACACTTGCATCACCAAAATGACCAAGCATTTACTGATTAATCTAACCTGCATAACCCGAATGCCAAGACATTTCTGCTAATTTTACTTGCATTACCATAATACCCAGTAACTCATTCTAACTGAATCTTACCTACATGACAAGAATACCCAGATGCTTAAACCAACTGAATCTTAGAACTGTTGAATCTTACTCCCTCACTAGAATACCCAGAAGCTCAGTCCAGTGAAATCGCATCCAAATCATCAGAATACCTAGACACTCAGTCCAGCTGATTCGTGCCCCAGTCATCAGGATACACAGACGCTTATATCAGCAGAATCTTACCCCAATCACCAGAGTACCCCGACATTAAGACCAGCAGATTCTTACCCCAATCACCAGAATACCCAGACACTCCGTCCAGCGGAATTTTACCCTTATCCTCAGAATACCCAGACACTCAGTCCAGCGGAATCTTACCCCAATCACCGGTATACCCAGACATTTAGAACTGCTGAATCTTACCCCAATCACCAGAATACCCAGACACTCCGTCCAGCGAAATCTTACCCCAATCTGCAGAATACCCAGACACTCAGTCCGGCGGAATCTTACTCCAATCATCAGGATACACAGACTCTTAGATCAGCAGAATCTTACCCCATTCACCAGAGTACCCCTCACTTAGACTAGCGGAATCTTACCCCAATCACCAGAATACTCAGACACTCCGTCCAGCGGAATCTTACCCCAATCTGCAGAATATTCAGACATTCAGTCCAGCGGAATCTTACCCAAATCATCAGAATACACAGACACTTAGACCAACAGAATCTTACCCCAATCACCAGAATACCTAGACACTCCGTCCAGCGGAATCTTACCCCAATCTGCAGAATACCCAGACACTCTGTCCAGCGGAATCTTACCCCAATCACCGGTATACCCAGACACATCGAACTGCTGAATCTTACCCCAATCACCGGTATACCCAGACACTTAGAACTGCTGAATCTTACCCCAATCACCAGAATACCCAGATACTTAGACCAGCGAAATCTTACCCCAATCTTCAGAATACCAGACACTCAGTCCAGCGGAATCTTACCCCAATCACCGGATTACCCAGACACTTAGAACTGCTGAATCTTATCCCAGTCTGCAAAATACCCAGACACTTAGACATGCTGAATCTTACCGCAATCATCAGAATACCCAGATACTTAGACCAGCGAAATCTTACCCCAATCACTAGAATACCCAGACACTCCGTCCAGCGGAATCTAACCCCAATCTGCAGAATACCCAGACACTCAGTCTAGCGGAATCTTACCCTAATCACCGGATTACCCAGACAATTAGAACTGCTGAATCTAACCCCAGTCTGCAAAATACCCAGAGACTTGGACATGCTGAATCTTACCGCAATCATCAGAATACCCAGATACTTAGACCAGCGGAATCTTACCCCAATCACCAGAATACAGAGACACATAGACCATCGGAATCCTACCCCAATCATCAGAATACTCAGATACTCAGTCTAGCGAAATCTTACCCCAATCACCAGAATACCCTTACACTTAGTCCAGCGGAATCTTACCTGCATCACCAGAATACCCAGAAACTTCCAGCTGATAGCTGGTTGTTGGACCTTTCAAACTAAAAGAACTGTATTTGGCCTTTTTGGTAGTATTTTGAAAATCGGTCAGCACAACCAGTAATTCATATTCGCCGTTACTTGTGATTGCATAGATGTTCTTGTTCCCTGAAACAAGTTAATTAACCAAGTAAGCAATGTGAAATACATATGTATTAGTTTTTTTTAAGGGGGCAAATTTCCCCTGAATTTATTTTAAAATAGGGCCATTCTCGTGAAGTCTTTCAATCTTTACTTAACTTCATAGTATCAAAGATCCATGTGTGTTCTTTGCAGTCTTACAATATTATGGTTAATTCTATACAGATTATTGATTTCTAAGTCCCAGGAGATAAAACAAAACCGCTAGTTTGACAGAATTTTTGAAATTATGAGTATTAATTCAAAAAATAGAATGACATTCTTAACTAAAACCAAAATTATGTAAAGTTGTATACTGTCTTTCTGATACAATCTAATTAAGATATAGTTCTCTGGTTTCGTTATACTCCTATACAAGCACGCGAATTAATATGGATCTTTGATCATTGTGACAGGATCTTAACAGATACTAGTAGTTGTAACTTCAATCGAAAAATTTTAAAAAGGTAAAAATTGATAAATTTCGAGTTACAATTATCTGCTGACTAACACACCCAAAAGGTAGAACAATTAATAAGGATTTTTTTTTTAAAATATGGCTTGCTACACGTAATAGATCAAGTCTGGGATACAGATATTATAAGTGCAGATTTAGTCAAAATTGTTGTATTTAAGGATGTCCTTAAATATTTCAGGACCTCCATAAATCATTTAGGACCTCCTTTTTTACACCAAACACCTGACCCATTTTGACGACACATCTGTATGCCGTGCATCGTATGGTTCCAAAATGTATACTGCAGTTTGTTGATTGTTTTTGTTTTACTTAAAAGAATGTCCTCCTCGATAAAATATAACTTACCCAGCCAGTGTTCCGATGATACATTCCCAAACCCTACTTCGTAATCATGATAGTTCGTATAGAAGTTTTGTTTACCATCTCTTCGTTTCTGTATAACCTATTGTAGTATAATCATACGATAAATATTATTAGAATATACAAAATTATTCGTTTAGACCCTCGTTTTGCCCCTAATATTTTTTTTTTTGTTTGGTATGGATTGACTATTTCATCTTTTTTGTTAGGTCAAAGTTAACAAATCATTTTGACTAAGTTCATCAATCGAATATGGGGCGTTCGAAGTGAGGATCGCTTCACGTCTTAGCGTTACCGAGAATATCGTATAAAATATTTGTGGGAAGACCTCACTTTCAGATACAGCTGTTTATGTTTATGCATTAATCTGATGCACGTACCATATTCACATTTCGATTTATTTTTCATCAGATGTACTCGGCACTAGATACTTGAAATTATAATGTTAAGTTATGAAAGCAATAAACCAAAATAACTGCAAGACCCAGCAAAGGGATATTACATCAGAAGGATATCATATGAACATCTGTTACCCTGCTAAATATTTCTCGAGGGTAAAGATTACATAGTTTTTTAGTGTTAACCTGGCCACAGTTTTTATTGATTATAACCCTTGTCCGTCCTTCCTCAGGCTGGTAAAGTTTTTGTGTTTTTGGACAATATCTATTTAAGGTATGATTATTGAATACAAATCTAACAGTTTGTATGAAATGTATTTTATACCAATTTTATCTTTTCAAACATAATAGTACAAGTTAATAGTGAATTTTCACTTAACAGCCCATAAAACATAGATATATACCATCAGCATATTTATAGTGGATATTGTCCTCTCGAGCAGGATCTGGAATAGTACTTACCGTCCATCCGCCACCCTCTGTCTCCATATCACAGAAAACATGTGTCTTCTCTTTTGACTCGGGTAGGTATATATTATAGACACCAGATACATTCCTCCCAAGTAACTCATGATCTCTGCAGTCTTTTGGTTTTGCTATGTGGATAAAAAAAAATAATATTTCAATCAAACTGTTTGTAAAAACAAATACGTATATAGCGCAAATTTCCCCTGATTTTATTTCACGCAAGATCATATTCTAAAAGTCCTTTGATCTTTATTAAAAATTCACAGTTATTGAATTCATATGTTTACTTATTTTTTGTAACAACGTTTTGACGTATTTCCGAACTTGTGACTAAATCGTATTCCCAAAGATGGTTCAAAACTGTAATTGTGTTTTAACAATTATCTATAAATTGTATAAGACTGGTACCCTTATTCACAACAAATATTTCATTGGAAGTAATTCTTATTGTTGCGCTTTAGATAAAACAGATATTTTGTGTTAAAGCTGTCCTTCAATTTTACAACAATAAAAAACATGTATTACTTGAAATATTATCTTCAGTAGCAATATTTAGTTCTGAACTTCATTTTGATTCTGTTGAAATAAGTAGTTGTTGAATAGCTTTTCAGTTTAGTATATAAACTCTTTAATATTTTAGTAACGGTATGGTTTAAAAACTATCTTGTTTTGGCCTTGTCAGTTAAACACGTACACCGGGGTAAATTTGCCCAACTATAATAGACCATTTCAAGTCAAATTATTTTCATAAATGGACCTCAATATATTTAACTAACTGGTTACCCTTTAAAGAAAGCTGCTATGGGATAGGACTTACTGGGTGTGATAAACTATGGAAACTACAAACGGGCAACAAAAACATATGTCGCAAAAAGACAGACAAAATCATCACCAAAAGAAAAGACAGACAACATCATCACAAAAAGAAATAGAAGAACATGACAGAACTAGACAAACAACATGACAGAACTAGACAAACAACAGGACAGAACAAGACAAACGACCGGACAAAACAAGACAAACAAGAAGACAGAAAACACTAACCGGAAAGTTAAAGATTGATCAACACGAACCCAAAGAAAAGTCTGGTTGATCTCTGGGTGCTTCAGAAAGATAAGCAGTTTTTTCTCTACAAGTTTCATTCGTATTGCTGCTCATGGTATCAGTTTTATCGTCTTAACCTTGGTTCATAGTTTTTTTTTTCGTTTTTAAAATCACAGTCTGTCTCTGTCCTCTTATTTTCAATTTCTTATGCTCTTTATTTTCTTGATTGATTCTAAACAAAACCTACTATTACCACATAAATCAATAGTAACTCTTGCATCAAATTTTGGTCATTGTTAATGAATTATACCTCTGTGGTTTGTAACTTGTTTAAAAATTGGCATGGAGCTTAAAAATGAAATAATAATTTAAATATCCATGTCAATTATCACAAAACTTATCACTTTTATACTGAATATATATGTCAACCCTTGACATCAACTCACCCATGAATAAAACAAATTAGGTTGATATGGCACAATATTAAAATCATCTTTCATTATTGCTATTCAAGATGAAGCAAATTCCAACTAACCCCCTTTTTTTACTTGCCCAGACTATGCTAATTACGTAGATGCAGGTCAGCTTGGTCCGATATTTGAATTTTCCAAGATCCTTTAAATAAACTTATTCTAAAAGATTACCAATTCAACAATGTAATTAAATCTTTGAATATTGTTTTTATTGGTATAAATATTAGTCATGGTATCAGTGAATTAAAACCATTATTGTTATACACATATGTACTTTCACGGTACTACACTCTGTCGATACCTATATTTTGGCATTGCACAAGGTCATATTTTTCTCTGACTGTTAATGACGTGTTTACACTAAATCCATTGAATGTTGGATGTGTACTGATTGATATTATAGTCTTAGATACATAATTTTGTGTTTGTTAGTTGTTATTGGCTTTGAACTAGCTGTCAGTAACTGCGAGGACTCTCAGCTCTGTACTTAGTGCCTTTTTTGTTGTTATGTATGAGGATGGATAAATACCCTGCCACGTCCGATTAATGTTTTTGTTTGATGTTTTACTGCTTTGTATCGATCTGATGAGTTAAGATTGTTCTTATATTGTGCTGTTACACCACTGTCCCAGGTTAGGGAAGGGTTGAGTGCTCACAAACATGTTAAACCCCGCCATATTCTTTATGTGCCCGTCCCAAGTCAGGAGCCTGCAGTTCAGTTGTTGTCGTTTGTTCATGTCTGTCATTTTTGTTTTTCGTAAATTGTTATGTTATGAATTAGGCCGTTCATTTTCTCAATTGTTTTGTTTCATATTTTTCATGTCGGGGCCTTTTATAGCCGACTATATGGGATGGGGTTTTCTCATTGTTGAAGGCCGTACGGTTGCCTATAGTTGCTTACATCCACTTCATTTGAACTTTGATGGATAATTGTCTCATTGACAATCATACCACATATCCGTATTTCTATATAGTATCCACTATCCAAAAATAATGTTGAATGAATGTTAAGTCGCTCAAACAAAAATCGAAAGTATAACACGGAGAAGCGTTTTTTTTTTCTGACTGAGGTAAGAGAATTTGCAATTGTGCCAGCAAACCATTTATATCTGTGTTTATTATGATTTGCAGAATGTTCTATTCGTAGAATGTTTATGATGTCATAACACTAAATTCGCCGGAGGCGTACTGATTGACATTTTAGTCTAGAGGAACACTGTTTTTTCCTAAGTGGAATTAGACTTTGAACTGACGTCTTGTAACTGCGAATAGTCCTAGATCGGTTTGTTGTGTCTTTTATCTTATTTGTCTTTGTGCTTCGTGTCTATCTGATGAGTCAAGCATCTTTCAACTTCAAGTTCTATCAGCATCACATTTTCAGATGAATCTAACAACCCATTGTTGGGTTGCTGCCACTAAATTGGTAATTTAAAGGAAATTTTGCAGTTTTTGGTTATTATCTTGAATATTATTATAGATATAGATAAACAGCAAAAATGTTCAGCAAAGTATGATCTACAAATAAGTTTAATGACCAAAATTGTCAATTGATCTCTTAAGGAGTTATTGCCCTTTAAGTACAATTTTACACAATTTGTTTATCATATTTGCTAACTTTAAAAAAATCTTCTCCTCTGAAACTACTGAACCAAATTACACCAAACTTGAGCTGAATGATCCTTAAGGTATCTAGAATAAAGTTTGTGTTTTATTTTCTGTTTTGTCAAAAATCATGGCCGCCATGTCTAAAAATAGAACATAGGGGTAAAATGCGGTTTTTGGCTTATATCTCAAAAACTACAGCATTTAGAGTGAATCAGACAAGAAGTTACAGTATTCATTAGGTCAAGGTCTACCTGCCCTGAAATTATAGGCCAAATCGGGTATCTGATTTTTAGGTTATTGCCCCTGAATTGATGATTTTAAGGAAATTTTGCAGTTTTCGATTATTATCTTGAATAATTATTATAGATAAAGATAAACTGTAAACAGCAAAAATGTTCAGCAAAGTAAGATCTACAAACAAGTTTTTATATGACCACAATTGTCACTTGACCCCTTAAGGAGTTATTGCCCTTTAAAGACAATTTTTCACAATTTGTTCATCTAGTTTGCATACTTCAAAAAAAAATTCTCCTTTGAAACTGCTGAATTAATTTCAGCCAAACTTGGGCTGAATGAGTTTCAGAGTATCTAGTATAAATTTTGTATTTTATTTCCTTGTACGTCAAGAAACATAGCCTCTATGGCTAAAATGGAACATAGGGGTAAAATGCATTTTTTTTGCTTTTGAAGAAAATATGACAGATACAAAGAACATTTAAATGGCATTTTTAAGCTATTCATTAATATATTTTGAAAGGCAAAAATAATCATTGATGAAAGATTTAAGCAAAAAATTACAGGTGAGCGATTTAGGCTCCTGAGAGCCTCTTGTTATATCATGTTATACTTTTTAAAAGTATAAGCTATTTTATCATGATACAGTCAATATATATAATAGTGATTGTTTTTAATTCGCTCACCATGATCGCTGTGATATGCACATAAAAGATTTGTTTTTGTTGTTATTTACGTTTATTTATTTAAGTGGTCACGTGATAAAAATTTTCAAGTACTGTTGAGACAAAAAGTATGATTGCAAACAAAAATCGTAATGCAGATGCCGCCCCAATCTATACCCAGAGTAAATAGGTTAGCACAAAGCACTTATGTCGTTCGCTTTCACCTAGTTAAAAATAGTGTATTTTGTTCTTATAGTAACCCAAAAGTGTCCCTAGGCGCAACAATCGAGCGTTCGTCGTTAAACAAAAATTGTAGTCAAGTTTCCTACCAGGCAGAAATCTTCCCATGATAACTATTCCGTATAAAATGTTAGTATAGAGTTTAATATTCTTCAGGATAACTGGATACTGATCTAAGCGTGATTTTACTTAGCATTCAATTAACATTTAAATTTAGTCACTAATCCATGATAATTAGGTCATGGTAAGCTTTCATTTGTCGGTCGAAAACCTTACACAATGAACCGTCTCTTTACAGCATATGGATTTAACGACTTTTTTTTACTTTTAATATAAAACTTTATAAAAGACCAGTTTATACAAAACGCTGTATTATTATCCCTGTTTCCGCGCATGCAGAAATTTTTCATCACAGAAATGAAAAAAACCTAGGTCTCTATACTTACTTTGTGCCGCAATCAGTGGGCAGACACTAGTAAATCCTGAAACCATAGCAGATTTCATGGCAGCTATCTCTTCTTTCATTTCTTTTACCAATGCTGTTAAGGCAGCCATATTGTCTCCTTGGCCATGACAGATTCCAATCGCCAGGACCCAAAAGAAATGCCATTTTACGTCCATTTCTATTTCATAGCAAGCTGACTTACAAATTAAGTAATGTTTACACTATAGACTTAATCTATTTATTTTCTTTGTGTTTTAGGCCAAACAAAGAAATATTTTATCAAGATCTATAAGGGATTCAAATTGTCTCTATAGACTTCATGTTCTTCTGAAATCTTGAAAAGATACAGTGTAATTATCATCATTGCTTTGCAGTGAACACTTTTCTTCCTTGACGATTCAAATTCTACGCTACATAGATAAGACGATACTATGTTTTTGACAAAACACATAGCCGCATACATATTGTTTTGAACTCCGCCGATACATTTATTTTATACAATATTAAAGATGAACAAAGATGGCATATGTTAGAAATATCTCATCTGTTTGTTTAGTTTGAAAAACTATAGGAATCGTATTTGAAATGAATTGTGCTAAGTTAAACAAAGAATTAACGAGGCGCCGAGAATGGATGACACTGTTGTCACCATCACAGGAATTGTATCAATATAATTTCACTTATGCTATATAGGTACTATAAAATCCGAGATAATTTTGTTGACCCTGTATTTGTAAATGACCAATTTGTGACTAACTCTCTACTACTGAAACCTATGGCCTCGGCGGTACAAGTAGTTCATCTAACTCATTACTATAGCCTGTTAACTCGGATGTTGTGCTCTTGGCGAGGTGTAAATTCGACTCCGTCCTATGAATTTATTCATCCCCGATAAATTCACTATTTTTTAAGTTTATCGCATACATTTTGATTGGTTTGAATATGCGTCATACCTATATTATCATAAAGTTAAAGAAGTTTAGATCTTTGACGAAATGTAAAGAAAACATTTATTGGTACAACAAATACTTATCCATGTTATCATTAAATACCGTTTCTAAAAGGCAGTAGGATATGCATGTTGCTCAACAACTCCAGTATGACTTGGAAATATTTACAGTTAAGCAATATTTTTCAAATAATTCACACTGCTGTTAATAAAGATTTCTGAAGACAGGTAAACATGTATTATTCCCTCATTGCGCATTCATTTACTATCTACTATATCAACCATAAATAATAGTTTTCCATCTAATAAATAAATGACTGTTATTGCTGGGGAATCCGAGATGCTGCATACAATAAAATATGATAGTATGCTTATAATTTGAAATCATCATGACGTCCACTTTCACTTCTCAAACAACTTTCTATGCTTTTCCATTTTCTTAAAATTCACAAAAAATATTGCAGAAAAAACTTTATCACTATTTGAATATGTAACATTGATCTTTGACCAAATGACCTCAAAATCAAAAGTGGTATTTTTCATCTCATTGTGCATTACCAACTACAATTTGGTAAAAGTTGATCGAACATATGGTTCAAAAGATAACATGCGGAAACAAATTTTTTACCAAATCATTAATGTTCAGTCCATAAGTAGCTGCTGCGACCTTGACTTTAAATTTCCAGTATATTGGCCCCAAAATGAATAGGGTCAAGTTCCTCACTCCATGGGGCAATATCGAGTCAAGCTTGATAATTGATGGAAATACAGTTCTAAAGATAACATCCAAAAACCGATTCATAGTAATCTTAATATTGAACAGGGTATACACCGTAAATTACCTCTGGAAAAACAGATTATGTCCCCTCTGTAAAAATGGGGTTGAAGATGAATATCATTTTGCTTTAAAATGTCAAATTTTAGAAAAACGTAGGCAAAAACGTTTTCATGAAGTAGAGAGTATAGTTCCACCTTTCAACAAAATGTCTGATGAGGAAAACTTTACATTCATGTTTACATTTAATGAGTATGACATAACTAAAATTATTAAGGGGGTTAATGATTTATATGTACTAAGCTGACAAGAAAAACTAATTATGTAATACAAATTTGTGATTATTTTCTATTTTTCATATATATTAGTTATGTTATATTTATAACAATAGCATTAAGAATATTGTACTTTTACTTTCAAATTTGCAAAAGTATCACCTCCTCCAAAATATCTTAACATGTATACGAGATACTTATATAACATTGAGAATGGAAATGGGGAATATGTTAAAGAGACAACAACCCGACCAAAGAGCAGAAAAACAGCCGAAGTCCACCAATGGGTCTTCAAAACAGCGAGAAAATCGCGCACCCGGAGGCGGGCTTCAGCTGGACCCTAAATAAAAATGTGTATACTAGTTCAGTGAAAATGGACGTCATACTAAACTCCAAAACATATAAATGAACTAAAATTAAAAAAACATACAAGACTAACAAAAGCCAGAGGCTACTGACTTGGGATAGGCGCAAAAATGCGGCGGAGTTAAACATGTGTTGTGAGATCTCAACCCTCCCTTATACCTCTAGCCAATGTAGAATAAACAAACATCGTGACAGCAATACGCACCGTAAAACTCAGTTTAAAAGAAGTCCGAGTCCGATGTCAGAATAGGTAACAAAAGAAACTAAGCAAAATGACAATGATACATAAATTAACAAAGGACTACTAGCAGTTACTGACATGCCTGCTCTAGACTTCAATTAAACTGATTGAAAGATTATGTCTTTATCATATGAAAATCAAGCACAATCTCTCCCGTTAGGCGGGTTTTTGTATCATACCATCATACAATATATGAGAAGAACATAACCCGTATCATGCCAACAACTGGTTTTAGAACAAATGTGTTTATTTCTAATGCAAAGACCCTATTAGTGAATCAATATTAATACCAAAATATACCATCTTCAATGACCTGACAACATTATCGTAACTATATCCCTTCTGAATAAGTCTGTTTAAAGGTTTGGGTAGCTTTTGAGGTGAATGCCGACATTTTGTGCTTTGTAAAGAATATTACCATAAACGATTGGATGTGAAATACCTGAGCGTATTTAAGATGTCTGCATGTTGATTTATATTTACGAATGATGTCCTTGTACCGATGATAAAATTTAGTAAATGCTTTGACTAGTTTGTGATATCGAAAACCCTGGTGTAATAATTTTTCAGTCATGAATACAGAGATTTCTTTCGTTAAAATCAAATACGTTGTTACATACACGAGCGAATCGAGCAAGTTGAGATATATAAACACCATATGATGGTGACAAGGGAACGTCACCATCTAAAAATGGATAATCAAGTAACAATACGAAATGAAAAATCATCTCATTTATCGTAAATTTTGGTATTAAGCTTCCCGTTAAAGATATAGATATCAAGATCCAGGAAAGGGCAATGTTCATTGTTAGTAGGAATGTTGCTTTAATTTAAATATTATATGTTTGTAAATATTGTCATGTTTGTCTTGGTAACAACCCAATATTTGTATTTTACACCAATAAAATGATTTGATTTGATTTTTCAGCCGGCCAGAAACCAAAATTTCCGTCTATGAATAGCTGCTATGACATTGACTTTTAAACAATTGACACTAAAATCAATAGGGATTTACCCAGGCTCACGGGGCATTATATGAAGCCGTTTGAAATTACTATGATTTCGGCACATGGTTCGAAAGATAACATTTTGAAACAAACACATGCACATATTTTATCTTAATATAGCTGCTTTGACCTTGATCATTGACCTGCTAATCCTGAATCAATGCCATGGGATCAATACCCTGGGACCAACATATTAATGAATTAGTCCCAGATCTTCCTCCGTGACGCAGTCGGGGACATCGCCAAGTTTGTTAAAAAATACAGGCCATGCACCGACCGTCATTTGCATTTTTACGGTAGGGAGCTGACAAATTTAAATTGTTTGATTTTCTGAATTTCTCGAGAAAAAGAATGTTTCGGATATACCGATTGATTGTCACTTGCTGAACATCTAAAAACTATTTAAAATAAATAGCGTGCCATCAAAAATAAAAAATGCCAGTTTATCTAATCATAACCCCCCTTTTACCGCCGCTGAAAAAGTCCGGAAAGTTAACGGCATTCATCATAGACAAGTTCGAATCTATGTGAAAGCATAAGATTTTCAAAATATGTCTCTTTATCACTCACTGATTGTCAGTATTTTTCAAAAAGCTAAACATCATTTTTCCCTATTTTTTTATATCTGAAAGCACGATTAAATGGCGGGAATAATTTTTATCTCCCTTTTTGTTGATTCCCGCCAGAGGTCATTTGGTTGCTACATGTAAACAATAATGGACGATTGCGAGCACCGGGCTATGACCGGGCTGTAAAACAAATATTTTTAATACAGATTTCATCAAACAAGATTTGTTCAGCTATTTAAAAGCCGAAACATTGTGTTAGGGGCCCTGTCAAATGAAATAACCAAATGTGAAACTATAAATATAAATGAAGATTACGGTGTTCAGCTGGAAATAAATGTAATTGTTTTGACACTAACAGTTTAAGGTGTATTAAATCTGCTGCACAAATTTTTAATATTTATACATGTAATTTGCTACAAAATAAGGTCTTATTTTGGAGATTAAAAATTAAAAAAAAAACTAATATTTATTGATTTGGCAAGAAATAAATCTTCCCAAAATTGTCATCTGTTTGTATAACCAGGTATTCATCTTGAGGGGGAGGACAGAGGGGTACCCTTTTCCCACCCTCTTTCTCTTGTCTCCTGTCCTCAAACATATAGGAAGCTCATTTTAATAGAAATCGATCAAATGTCTTGGTTTTTTTACCGAATAAATCTGTAATGGCCCTTAATGAATAAGTAACCACGCTCGAAGTATTAATGAGGTCGTTTTCATTACTATGACATTTATTAGCACTTTCTTGAAGCTTTTTATTAACTAATTGAATAAAATAATTGTTTCCGGCTCACTTTTATTATTTTTTACATAAATTTTTGTCTCCCTTTTCTATCCCTTTTCTCCTTTCTCCTGCGCCTTCTCTCCTTTTTCCCACCCTCTCTCTCCCTGTCTCCCTTAATTCTGTCTGCCCCCTTTATCTTACTAGCAGTGACACTTTATGTGGTTTACATGTACTCTACTGGTTGAAGACCAATTTATACAATGAGGATCAGTTTCTGTCACTTGTGGTGGTGTTAACCTTTTTAAAATACTGACAAACAACAGCTATTATAAATACTTTCATGGTTCTGATAAAGGTGTGTATGCATATCCTGGACGCATGGTTTTCTGTCTGGACGCTCCATTTCATGAACCAGTAACTTCGGAACTTCCCTAGGTGACAAGTGATATTTTCTTGGCAAGTTGAGTAATCGGGCTGTTGCCTGCCCTTGAATTGTCAATAAAGCTCAAGTTTAAAGAATGTTGAGGTTATTTAAATGTACAAAGTAATTCCAAGCTCCGTAACATCTTATTTATTGCAATAGGCAAACCTAAACAATATTATGTTGACCATGACACTTCTTTGAGGTGTAGTGTTTCCTGCAGCTTTTAAAAGGGCATGGTAATTTTTATTGAGCCTGTAGCAAAAGCGAGACATAGCAATCCTACATTCGTTATCGTTGGCAGCGTCCACAAATATTCACTCTGTGGTAAAGTTTTTGAAATTTTTTAATACTTTCTTAAACTATCTTGGATTTGTACCAAACTTGGACAGAAGCTTGTTTATGATCATAAGATAGTATCCAGAAGTAAAAAAAAAATTCCTGTTTTTCCGTATTTACTTATAAATGGACTTAGTTTTTCTGCCAGTTAACACTACATTCACTCTGTGGTTAAAAGTTTTTTAAAATTTTAATAACTTTCTTAAAATATCCTGGATTTCTACCAAACTTGGACAGAAGCTTGTTTATGATCATAAGATAGTATCCAGAAGAAAATTTGGTAAAAAAAAATCCTATTTTTCCGTATATTACTTATAAATGGACTTCATTTTTCTGCCAGTTAACATTACATTCACTCTGTGGTTAAAGTTATAAATTTTTTAATAACTTTCTTAAACTATCCTGGATTTGTACCAAACTACACTACATTCACTCTGTGGTTAAAAGTTTTTTAAAATTTTAATAACTTTCTTAAAATATCCTGGATTTCTACCAAACTTGGACAGAAGCTTGTTTATGATCATAAGGTAGTATCCAGAAGTAAATTTTGTAAAAAAAAAAAATCCTGTTTTTCCGTATTTTACTTATAAATGGACTTAGTTTTTCTGCCAGTTAACACTACATTCACTCTGTGGTTAAAAGTTTTTTAAAATTTTAATAACTTTCTAAAAATATCCAGGATTTCTACCAAACTTGGACAGAAGCTTGTTTATGATCATAAGATAGTATCCAGAAGAAAATTTGGTAAAAAAAAAATCCTATTTAACCGTATATAACTTATAAATGGACTTCATTTTTCTGCCAGTTAACATTACATTCACTCTGTGGTTAAAGTTATAAATTTTTTAATAACTTTCTTAAACTATCCTGGATTTGTACCAAACTTGGACAGAAGCTTGTTTATGATCAAAAGCTAGTATCTAGAAGGAAATTTTGTAAAAATATATTTCCTGTTTTTCCATATATTACTTATAAATGGACTTAGTTTTTCTTCCAGTTAACATTACATACAGTCTGTAAAAATTTTTAAAACATTTATTAGATTCATAAACCATTCTGGATTTTTAACAAACTTAAACAGAAGCTTCTTACAATCAAAAGATAGTATTTTTAGGAAAACTTTTAATAATTTTTTCCCCATTTTTGTTTAGCCTGTGACTAGCAGCAAAAGAAGGCCAGACACTGGGTTCCGTGGAACCCTTACAAATTTTTTACTCAAATAGTAGCTTGTGAAGGACTTGACGATACTTTTATGGCAATTTAAAATTTCAAGTGTGAATAAGGACTATGATATTTATATAGGGCACCCTCAATAGAGATATACAAGTAAAGGCACTGTTATGGATAGGGATTAATTCAAAATATAAAACCATCATTGCTAAATAATTAATGTTAAAAACATAAAGATATATATATATTAGATTACAAATTTCATTCTTTTTGTAATGAAATGATGACTTCTAGACTCAAGCAATAGAATCTTGGTGGAGCTTGAGACTCATCTGTTTAGAATCATCATGAGAAAATTCTGATATACATGTATGATATATTACATTAGTGCAGCTATGTCATTTTATTGCATTGCTAGCAACTGTGAGACATAGGGATGCTAATGTGGCAGTGTCTTTGCATCAAACTTTAGAAGTTGAAGACTTGGAAGCTTCATACCTTGTTTAAACATTTATCTAAAAGACTTCCAATTTAAATTCAATCATGAGCAGTAAATCAGGGGAGACTTTTCAGCGTCTGCACTCCAGTTAACTTTAACTGTCTGGTTCTCCTAGTTATGAATGTGATGATTTGTTTTGTAAGTGTCAGGATTTGATAGGCCGATGAATGTGATGATTTGTTTTGTAAGTGTCAGAATTTGATAGGCTGATGAATGTGATGATTTGTTTTGTAAGTGTCAGGATTTGATAGGCCAATGAATGTGATGATTTGTTTTGTAAGTGTCAGGATTTGATAGGCCGATGAATGTGATGATTTGTTTTGTAAGTGTCAGAATTTGATCAGCCGATGAATGTGATGATTTGTTTTGTAAGTGTCAGGATTTGATAGGCCGATGAATGTGATGATTTGTTTTGTAAGTGTCAGGATTTGATAGGCCAATGAATGTGATGATTTGTTTTGTAAGTGTCAGGATTTGATAGGCCGATGAATGTGATGATTTGTTTTGTAAGTGTCAGGATTTGATAGGCTGATGAATGTGATGATTTGTTTTGTAAGTGTCAGAATTTGATAGGCCGATGAATGTGATGATTTGTTTTGTAAGTGTCAGGATTTGATAGGCCAATGAATGTGATGATTTGTTTTGTAAGTGTCAGGATTTGATAGGCCGATGAATGTGATGATTTGTTTTGTAAGTGTCAGAATTTGATAGGCCAATGAATGTGATGATTTGTTTTGTAAGTGTCAGGATTTGATCAGCCGATGAATGTGATGATTTGTTTTGTAAGTGTCAGGATTTGATCAGCCGATGAATGTGATGATTTGTTTTGTAAGTGTCAGGATTTGATAGGCCGATGAATGTGATGATTTGTTTTGTAAGTGTCAGGATTTGATAGGCTGATGAATGTGATGATTTGTTTTGTAAGTGTCAGGATTTGATAGGCTGATGAATGTGATGATTTGTTTTGTAAGTGTCAGAATTTGATAGGCCAATGAATGTGATGATTTGTTTTGTAAGTGTCAGGATTTGATAGGCCAATGAATGTGATGATTTGTTTTGTAAGTGTCAGGATTTGATAGGCCGATGAATGTGATGATTTGTTTTGTAAGTGTCAGGATTTGATCAGCCGATGAATGTGATGATTTGTTTTGTAAGTGTCAGGATTTGATAGGCTGATGAATGTGATGATTTGTTTTGTAAGTGTCAGGATTTGATCAGCCGATAGCATATTCATTGCTTTTTTAGCTTTACAACAAAATTAGTGCAAGATTGGGTCTGGTGTGATAGTGTATACCAATCGAAGCCACCTTTGCTAAACATTTTGGTTCAACTTATTCATTTTAATCTGTGTGTTTAAGTTGAATTCGGTGATTGAAACTGTGTTTTTATTTTGTTTTTGTTTTTGAAAAACTAATCAATTAACCTGTAAAGGATCTTTAACACCTGATCAGAGAATAACAACCATTAGCTGATCATATACCTCTAGCCAATGTGGAATTAACAGACACACAGTAATATGCATGTCGTAAAACTCAGTTTAAAAGAAGTCCGAGTCCAATGTTAGAATAGGTAACAGAAGAAACTAAGCAAAATGAAAACATATTAAGGAATCAAGTACATGTAAAAACTTACCTCATTGGAGGGGGGGCTAAAAGAGTGGTGTTTGGATCAATTTATAAAATAATGTTATTATTTATATTTTAGTTGTGAAATGGTGCACAAAACAGACGAAGAGGAAGTCAAATCTTCCATCTACCTGACAGAAGTTCCATCAGATGATGTTGAGATTGGTGAAGACTTCGGTATAGATCCTACAAATAGGTTTGCCTTGGATGAAGATGAAGATTTAAAGGCAGCAGATGATCCTGAACTTAATAAAATCAAAGTTCAAATTTCTGAGAGTTTAGAAAAAGCTGAGTCTGTGTCATCAATTGTGTCTGAAGAGAGTGAGGAAGAAAGCAATCCAGTTTTATCAGAAAATTTTACCACTGTAACATATGGCCTGCAGCCTAGGTCAACTTATGAACATGGGAAAAAGAACACAGATATTATGGGATGTATGTTCACTCATTTATATTATAAATCTACAGTACTGTGGACTTATTAGAATCAGCTGGGACTCATTTTAAAAAGTGATGAGTCCCAGGACTCACCCTCAAAAATTTCTCAGTGAGAACCCTAAGTTATTTTACACTATGTACAGTAGAAAAAAACTGTTCTCAAATATATATTATCGTACACAGATGTACAGACTTCTATTCAAATATTGGAACACATATTAAGGGAAAAGTCAAAATTTGTACATGTATGTCCCATTTCTTTGTGATGTAGAACATCTTTATGTTAGAAATAGGAATACAGGAGCTAAAGGGTAAACAACAATGAGACAGCTACCCCAGTCTGCACCTTGAGCAACTAGCTCTACGCTAGTAGAAATTGGTTCAGGCCAGTAAAAATTAGAGAAAACAGTTTATTAAGGCAAATAGGAAGAAGAGTTTAAATTGGACTTGTGGGTTAGTTTAATTATTTAAAACAAAACGACTGATTCTGACTTCAACCTAACTGCAATATATTCTTTGGCGACTTAAATCGTCATTTCGCCGGCAAGATTATGGCCTGCAATAGGTTACTATCATATACAGTATGTCAATATAGAAATAAGAAGATGTGGTATGATTGCCAATGAGAAAACTCTCAACCAGAGATCAAATGATGTAGAAATTAACAACTATAGATCACTGTACGGCCATAAAGCTCATTATTGGCCCAAATCTAGAATAGTTATGAATTACTTAAACAAAAAACTTAAATATTTAGATAAAAAGCTATATTTGGAGAAAAAAAAGATTTTTTAAAGATTAATTGCTACTAGTTATAATTTGACAAAATTCATGATATCATAATGTTTATATACATGTAATTAGGTCTTTCCACTTTTCTGTGGAAAGACCTATTGGTTTTCTTCTTATGATTATTATTTTTATACGCCTGTCAAAATTTTGACGGGATGTGCTATGGTATACAAATGTCGTCTGTCTGTCCGGCGTAAACATGTCGCACCGTAACTCAAGAACGACTTATCCAAATTTCATGAAACTTAACATAGTTGTTTCTTATGATGGTCAAACCATCTGTATACTTTTTGGTGAAAATAAGATTAAAACTTTTTGAGTTACGGGACTTAGTAACTAAAACAGGTGTGTGTTTTTTTTCATATGTCGAGCCGTATCTCAAAAACAATTTAAGATTATTGCTTAAAACTTTACACACTTCTTAGTTATATTAATCTTAAGATCTGTATACTTTTTGGTGATGATTCAAAATTTTATTTAAGAGATATTGAGTATTTTGTTAAAAAAGGGGGAGGGGTTTTTCACATGTCGCGATGTATCTCAAAAACAGTTTATGGTTATTGCTTAAAACTTTACACACTTCTTAGTTATATAAATCTTAAGATCTGTATACTTTTTGGTTTTGATTCAAAAATTTTTTTTGAGATATTGATTTTTTTTTTAAAAATAGTACGGTTTTCACATGTCGCGCCGTATCTCAAAAACAATTTATGATTATTGCTTAAAATTTTACACACTTCTTAGTTATGTTAATCTAAAGATCTGTATACTTTTTGGTTTTGATTCAAAATTTTATTTTAGAGATATTGAGTTTTTTGTTAAAAAAGGGGGTTTTCACATGTCGCGCCGTATCTCAAAAACTATTTATGATTATTGCATAAAAATTCACACACAAGACGACGGGCGTATCATGCGCTCATGGCGCAGCTGTTTATTTTCTTCTTCCGCCACTTTTTTTTTGACGGTGCTTTTTCGTTTCGCAAGATGTCGCTTAGATTTTTTGCATATGATATTGAACAGTTATTTCGACTTTGAAACTGACCCTGTTTAACCGAACACTTTTTATTGTAAGAGTTATCTCCCCAAACACTATTTTTCTTGTGTACGCATCTCCTTCGCAACCCTAAAAGATTATGACAAATTTATGTCACCAATTTGCTCGTTATATCCTCAGGATCTTAAAAATAATTTTGACCGAAGCAGTCCGGAAACTCCATATGAGAGTTATTTCCCCTTCTGTATTTAAAATAAGTAAAATGTAATTGGAATTGGTAAACCATCCGTGATAGAGACCTAGGGTCTTTTGATTTGAGGTCCTTGGTCCAAAAAAAAGAAAATAGGGTCAAGGTCAAAGGTCAAGGTCATTTCTAAATTTGGATTTTGGCTTAATTTCACAACTTTTCAAACATGATATAAGATAATCGACAACATATTTTTACTTAATTGTTAGTTGTGACATGTCGTAACACATACATATTGGTTTAAAGGGTACACTTACATCAAATTAGAGTTTTCTCCCCTCTTTTATTTAAAAATATGCATATGGTGATATAACTCATGACCAAATATAATTAAGACCTAGAGTCTTTTGATTTGAGGTCCTTGGTTGATGACCTAGAAATTGAGCTCAAGGTCATAGGTTAAATTGAGGTTCTAGATTCTGACCTTTGCTTTTACCTCATATGTATACATGATAAAGCCATGGGACTTTTTATACGACCGCAAAAAAAATTTTGTGGTCGTATATTGGTATGACGTTGGCGTCGTCGTCGTCCGAAGACACATTAGTTTTCGCACTCTAACTTTAGTTTAAGTGAATGGATCTCAATGAAATTTTACCATAACGTTCAATACCACAAAAGGAAGGTTGGGATTGATTTTGGGGGTTATGGTACCAACAGTTAAGGAATTAGGGGCCAAAAATAAGCATTTTTGTAACTTCCAGACATAACTTGTGTGTAAGTGTATGGATCTCTCTGACATTGTACCACAAGGTTCCAAATCACTAAGGGAATGCTGGGATTGATTTTTGGGGTAATTGCCTCCAAATTTAAGAAATTAGGGGCCAAAAAGTGGCAAAAAACAAGCATTTTTCTAGTTTCATGACAATAACTTGTATGTAAGTCTATGGATCTCTCTGAAATTGTATCACAAGGTTCCATATCACAAAGGGAATGGTGGGATTGATATTGGGGGTAATTGCCTCCAAATTTTAGGAATAAGGGGCCAAAAAGGGGCAAAAAACAAGCATTTTTCTAGTTTCATGACAATAACGTAAGTGTATGGATCTTTATGAAATTGTACTACAAGGTTCCATATCACACAGGGAAAGCTGGAATTGAGTTTCGGGGTAATTGCCCAAAAAGTTTAGGAATTAGGGCCAAAAAGGGGCCAAAAATAAGCATTTTTCTAGTTTCCAGACAATAACTTGTGTTCAAGTGTATGGATCTCTCTGAAATTGTACTGCAAGGTACCATACCACAAAGAGAAGGCTGGGATTGATTTTGGGGTAATTCCCTCAAAATTTTAGTAATTAGGGGCCATAAAATGGCAAAAAAACAAGCATTTTTCTAGTTTCAGGACAATAACTTGTGTCTAAGTGTATGGATCTTTTTGAAATTGTACTGCAAGGTTCCATATCACAAAGGGAAAGCTGGGTTTGAGTTTGGGGGTAATTGCCCTAAACATTTAGGAATTTGGGGCCAAAAAGGGGCCAAAAAACAAGCATTTTTCTAGTTTCCAGACAATAACTTGTGTTGAAGTGTATGGATCTCTCTGAAATTGTACTGCAAGGTACCATACTACAAAGGGAAGGCTGGGATTAATTTGGGGGGTAATTCCCTCAAAATTTTAGTAATTAGGGGCCATAAAAGGGCAAAAAAACAAAGCATTTTTCTAGTTTCAGGACAATAACTTGTGTGTAAGTGTATGGATCTTTATGAAATTGTACTGCAAGGTTCCATATTACAAAGGGAAAGCTGGGTTTGAGTTTGGGGGTAATTTCCCTAAATGTTTAGGAATTTGGGGTCAAAAAGGGGCAAAAAAACAAGCATTTTTCTAGTTTCCAGACAATAACTTGTGTTCAAGTGTATGGATCTCTCTGAAATTGTGCTGCAAGGTACCATACCACAAAGGGAAGGCTGGGATTGAGTTTGGGGGTGATGAATCATAAGGGGGTTCAAAAAATTTGGGGGGGATTTTTTTTTCCTTTTTTTTCTTTAAAATTTACCATTTTAAATTGGTTATTTCTGATTTATATATAAAAGCAAATAATAATGATATGGTTTGAATAGATAAATTAAAATTTTTTAAGTTCTTAGACCACTTTCATTCTGTGTCAGAAACCTATGCTGTGTCAAATATTTAATTACAATCCAAATTCAGTGCTGTATCAAGCTTGAATGTTGTGTCCATACTTGCCCAACTGTTCAGGGTGATCTCTGCGGTCGTATCAAGCTGCGCCCCAGCGGAGCATTTTATTGCATTAGGTTTCAAGCCATTTAACCTTGAAAAAAAACAACCGGAAGTGACCTTGTGTAAACCGGAAGTAGCTATTTTTTGTACTTTATCAATATAAAAGTATATAGAACCAGATATTTTTGGAATCAGTGTCAAGTAAACATTCAAATAATATCTGAAGTAACATTTTTCAAACCGGAAGTAACAAATTATCTCCCTTATTTAAAAAATATTGTATAGAAACCATATATTTTTGGAATCAGCGTACAATAAGCTATCATTTGACGATTGAAATGACATTTTAAACCGAATTTTACTACTTTCATATCAAAATACATGGTTTTTGGTGGAAAGACCTTCAATTGTTCTCTGAACAATTGGTTTTTAATTATTATAGATGTATTTCTTTTTAGTGGTATACAACAGTAGAATGAGACAGTTTGTTATACTAGACACCAAGGGTATCACTACATGGAAAAGAGACATGGTAGATGTTAGAAGTAGGTGCTGTTTTATATTACAAATGTAAAATGTTCAGTGTATTCAGATTACAGAAAAATCATTATAAAAAACCAAATTTGAGACCCTATTTTGTACCAATTTTTCAGTCTTATAAAGCAATCTATATACATATATACATGAGGTTTAAATGTTTTTGTCCCAAAACTTAGTTATTTGCTCTTTAATGCACACCAGACTCTTAATATTACAGGAATTTGAATCTTGTATGAAATAATGATTTTGTTTCACTCACATAAATGATATCTAACTTTTATTTTCAGTACAGAGAGCATTGCTGTATCCAAAGTATGAATATAAGTTGATTACATACTTGATCTATGCAAAGAAATACAACTGCTATTTTGCTCTTGGGAAAGATTTTTCATTAAGGGTATGTGAACCATAAATAATAAAAACTTGAATACAGAAATGTCTATTGTAATTAACTTTCATTGTTAGATTATTCTCTCATGTACCCAATACCTTTATATTCATATATAGTACTTTTAATCTTAACCCATTTCTTCAATAAGTGCCATTGTAAAGCAAACTCTACTGTGCTTAAAATGTAAATTCAGATTTTGAATTGCCAAAATGGGTCTGAAAAAAACCCACTTTCTTTTATCAATAATTATAGAAGAACTAATCGAATAATTCAAATATCGAAAAATATTGAATGAGTGACCGAACAACACATTAATTCAAGAATGAGTGTAGCGCATGAGTTAATTATCAGTGTTGTTCGGTCACGAGTTGAATATTTTTCGATATTTGAATTATTCGATTAGTTATTCTTTAATTAATCTTTGATTAGTTATTCTTTTTATTACATTGACAATGGGCTTTTTAATGGAATTAAAGTAGAAAATGCAACGAATTATATCTTTTTCTACTCATTCACAATTTGCTTTGATGTGACGTCATCAACAACGTCTTGACAACACCTATTGTTGTATGACGTCAGAGGAGAAAAATAACCGAGTTTATTTCACCTGTGAAATTATCGGTTTTTATTTCGCTGGGAAATCACAGTAATTCATTGCAACCAATGTAATAATATGAATGAAATTATCTTGTTATCAGTTTATGAATTGAAAACAAATTTACTATGACTTAGTTTAATTGAACAGGTGCTGAACCAATACTTTGATGAGACTTGTAGTGTTAGTGGTGATCTCAGATCTGTACTGTTCATGTTATTTAATCCTGTAGAAGATGAACTTATTACTGGTGGAGTGGGTGGCACTAAGGTATTTATCAGGGTAACTCATTATTGGAAAGTGGATAGGACAAAGGTATATAACAGGTAGTGTTAACACATTACCCATGTATTGGTTTAAGGTATTTACATTCAGTGGTAATACCTGGTAACGGATTACTGGTAGTGTGGATAGCACTAGAGTATTTAACAGGTAGTGTTAACACATTACCCATGTATTGGTTTAAGGTATTTACATTCAGTGGTAATACCTGGTAACTGATTACTGGTAGTGTGGATAGCACTATAGTATTTAACAGGTAGTGTTAACACATTACCCATGTATTGGTTTAAGGTGTAATACCATCAAATCATAGTACGTCACATCTGGTTGCATACGAAAATAGGTCGAAAAAAAATATTCCCTTGAATTTGACAGTTGTAGGTAATTGATCCTACATTTCATTGCAGTAAAACATTTCTGAGTCATAAACATATATCTTGGGTATTTCAAAGCACCATTATTTTTTTTATTTGGGGTTTCTATAGAATATTTTGGAAACTTGAGGTTACATGGTTACTAAAGCTTGTACACAGGTTAAAAAAGGGGGAAAATTTGATTGGTTAACTTCCAGTGATGGTTATTTTCTTATATGAAATGAAATGTTATGTGAAATTTTTTCTATAGTACTGGGCAGGATAAAACTTTACTCAAGCCAAGTATTTCTTTATTTGAAACAAAGATAAATTCTGCACAATTTTTTGAAAAGTGCAAATTTAACGAAGACTAATAGGGGAAAATTAATGGTGGTATTACACCTTAAGGTATTTACATTCAGTGGTATTACCTGGTAACTGATTACTGGTAGTGTGGATAGCACTATAGTATTTAACAGGTAGTGTTAACACATTACCCATGTAAAACAGAGTAGTTATGTTAACAAGACTGTCAGTATATATTCCCTGGTAGACAAACATGTATAAAGACGGATATAAACACCATAGATGAGATTTAGAGTATTCCCTGGTAGACAAACATGTATAAAGACGGATATAAACACCATAGATGAGATTTAGAGTTTTCTCTGGCAGACAAACATGCATGAAGACAGATATAAACACCATAGATGATATTTAGAGTTTTCCCTGGCAGACAAACATGAATGAAGACAGATATAAACACCATAGATGAGATTTAGAGCTTTGTATATTATATGGACACTGTCTAATGTTGGATGAGACAGTATGTTGAACTGTAGATGTCTCTGTTTGGTTGCACTGTATTGTTGGCCTGCTGTCACATTGATGTATACTTGACATTTCTCCCATTATTAAGATTGTCAGTGTGAAGCATACAATTGAGAAACACATTCAAATGTTGTGTATTTGTTGCCAGAGTTATATCATAGATCTATAACATTATTTTTATGCCCGCCGTAGCGGAGGGGCATTAAGTTTTACCCTTGTCTGTCCGTCCGTCAGTACATCCCAAAATTGGTTTCCGTTCTCTAACTTTGGTTTGCCTCAACCAAATGTCATGAAACTTATACACAATGCTTATTACAACAAAACACAGATCAAGTTTGAATTTTTGTGGTGTCACTTTTACCGTTCTAGAGTTATGCCCCTTTACAAATGGAAAAATTGCTGAATTTGTCATTTCTGTTCTCTAACTTTAGTTTGCCTCAACCAAATAATATAAAACTTATACACAATGCTAATCACCACAAAACACAGATCAGATTTGGATTTTAGTGGCGTCACTTTTACTGTTCTAGAGTTATGCCCCTTTACTAATGGAAAAATTGCTGAATTTTTCGTTTCCATTCTCTAACTTTAGTTTGCCTCAACCAAATGTAATGATACTTATGTACAATGCTAATTACCACAAAACACAGATCAAGTCCAATTTTGGTGGTGTCACTTTTACTGTTCTAGAGTTATGCACCTTTACAAATGGAAACATTGCTGAATTTTTCGTTTCTGTTCTCTTACTTGAGTTTGCCCCAACTAATTTTTATGAAACTTATAAACAATGCTTATTACCACAAAACTCAGATCAAGTACAAATTTGGGTAGCGTCACTTTTATAGTTCGTGAGTAATATCCCTTTATAATGTTATATGCAAGCGGGGACATCATCTGTGTCCCATGGACACATTCCCCATTTATTCAAATTTTGAATTTGATTTTTTATGATTGACAGGTTTGGAAGTTTGAAAAAGATAACTCAAGACAATTATATAAAATGAAAGAACTTGCAAATTACACTCTTAGACTGAAGTAAGTATTTTTAGTTTGCCTCAGTGAAGTAAGGAAGAATTATTAAGGTACCCTTGTCATCCAGGGTCAACAGTCTATACAAATTTATATTATCCTACTTCATAAAGACACTGCAACATTAATATCAAAATATAGAGATGTGGTAGGATTGCCAATTAGACAACTATCCACCAAAGTTTAAATGAAGTGGATGTAAGCAATTATTAGAAACCGTATGGTCTTCAACAATGGGAAAAACCCATACCATAAGTTGGATTTAAATCTTAACCAAAGACAATAAAGCATGATATATAGAAATACCTTCTTTTGTTGGAAACTCCTCAAAGAGATGCATCTAAACAGCAAAAGATCTGCAAGACAGGATCTACAAGGAAATAAAGTTATGGAAATTGTCAATTTTTCATACTTAATGGGGTAACTGTCCTTGAATAACTTGACCATATTTTAGAAATATTCTCCATGTGAAACTGGATCATACCTAATCAAAATCTTACTAAGGGTGTGAGGTATGATTATTTAATTGTTTTGAAAAATTTTGAAGAAAAAAATGAAAAAAACTTGAAATATTTGACCTTTGTAAGTTGGTACCTTGTCTTTTTGATGAGATAGGTATGAAAAAATATTTTCTGAAATTTTGAACATTATCTAAATTTAAGGAATACTCTATTGATATATTATTAGATGTGAATGGGACAATGTTGGTGGAAGTTGGGTGAAGAGAGTTGATTTAGATCAAACACTAAAACATCTGTATTGCTGTTCTGACACAGATTTACATGTCTATAGATTGACAGATGGGCAAACACTCTTTAAAATTGAAAGGTTGGTATTGTATTGATTACATACAATTATTTATTGTTCCACAGACAAAGGTCAGTGATATGTTCCAGCAATTTTTCAAATTTTATTTTTTTTCCTTGATTAATCTTAAGCCATTTTGGCAGAAATCCCATTTAAGTTAATTTAAACAAATTTTGTAATGAATGATATAGGAAGGTTATGGATTATAAAATATTACCATTTAAATAAAGTCATGGCCACAAGATGACATTCTTGATTCTGATAAATATAAAAAAAAAATAATTCTAGAAAATAATAAGTCCAGATATGTTCAAAATAAAAAAATGCTTCAAATTTGTGCTATATACTAGGGATTTTCTTCCTCAGGAATATATAACCTTAGCTGTATTTGGTCCTTATGATATTTTTTGACAATTTGCGGAGCATGCATATGTTTATTGGATGGAACCTGACAGTAATTTACTTTTTGTAATTGCATCACACATTATGGTGAATTTGGGATTACAAAATAAGTGGTTGCTGAAGGAAAACATGCTTCTTCCACAAGGTTTTCATTGACGAGGAAAACAGTTAGTCCTATTTACGACTTGTCTGCCTGTGCCAAAAATGATAAAATCGGAAACAATGCCATTGTTTCCAAATGGAATTTGACAATGTGTTTTACTTCAATGTGATCAATTTATTTCAGAACCCATAACATGTCAATAACTGGATGTTGTTATGCACCATACTACAGGGCTTTGTTGACTTGTTCTGTTGATACAACAAGTAAGTAACTCTGTCTCATAGTCTACATGTATTTTAAAGTAAGACAATAAGGTTTTGTGACTATAGTTTGAATATATGTTTGTAAATGAATGAATGATGGATGCTTAATGTGAAGCCGCTAATACATAATGCTTTTTTGGGATATATAAATATCATGTTAGCTCTTACCAAGCCATTTTTCTATGGCATTAAGTGTTATTTAATCTCTGAAGGAATGAAAATTCAAACCCAGAAATGTAAAATTGCGAAAAAGAGTATTTTCTACCAATGGTATCACTGAGTGAATAAAGTTGCTCCCCACTTCTGAGCTCACCAGCCCAATGTAATTCATAGCTATCATTACTTCCTATTTCAGTTAAAGCATGGAGTCTGATAGATAATCCAAATGATAACAAAGCCTCCTGTGTCAAACGTCTGCTGCATACATTTTCTGGTCACTCTAGAGCTGTGACTGGAATGGTTCTCCACCCAGAGACACAAACCATGTTTATTACATCATCTCTGGATGGAACAGTCAGGATCTGGTCTTTAGATACAATGGAACAGTTATATAGGTAATCAGTCATGTTAATGGAACAGAAAAGACATGGTGTATCAATTAATGACACAAATACACATCACACACTTGACACACATGCTGTTCTACATCTCAAAGTAACAGTGAAGCTTTCAGCAATGTATCAAAAACTCTCAACTAACTACTGTAAATTCAGAAATTATTGCGATGTTTTTATTATTGCGAAAAATGCGACAGGGTTATAATTGCAATAATTTTAACTCGCATTTTGAAATTTTTTATATGAATTAAATAGGATTTTTCTCAATATCGCAAAAATTAAAATCGCATTTTAGTCTAAAATGACAAAGTCGCAATAATAAATGCACGCAATAATTTCTGAATTAACAGTAAGTTGAAGACAGCCCCCAGCACTCACTAGTTTAAAGTCAAAATAATAGAGAGAGAAGATACCAAGGGGCCAAGCAATAATTCCAATAGAAACCAACAATACCCTGGCCAAAATTAAAATGACAAACACTAGCAGTCAATATGGGATTAAGAACTAAGTTTTCAAACATCAATAAATCTGTCTCCCATCAATTGACATGGCAGCATACATTACTATATTGTTCTAAGAATAACACAGTATAATAATATAGAGCTTAATTGGGTAGCAATAATGGTAGTTGTACATTTTAGTCCCCATTTTAGAATCTGAATTTTATGTAGAGTATTCTGTTTTCATGTAAAGCGACCACAAAACACCATCGCCAAAATGGTAATTTATTTAGAATCCCATATTTGATGTATATTTATCTTTTAATATCAAACATAACCCTTTGTAGCATGTAATCAGTTAAGATTTAGCTTTATTGGGGTAAAGTTTTACTGAACATTTCAACTAATGAATTGATATAGATAGGCTCATCGTATTTTACTCCTATGTATAATCTTTGTATTCAGCAGATTTTACCCAACGTTGGACTTGTGTACATAGTTTGGTTGATAAGCTTTGCATGATGTGATATTTAAGTTTTTTTTTTTATTTTGGCTTTTAGCACTACCATTTCCACTGATGGACTACTCTGGATGGGGCTGACAGATGATAATCTGCTGTATATAAGTACATGCCGTAGCATTACATTATGGCACACAAACCAGTTTCTTAAGTTCTGGGCCTTGGCTAGAAATAATGTTAATAAATTATACCTGTCTGGTGCTGAGGATAAAACAACTAGAGTGGTGGCAGTTTGTGATGATAGCAGGTATTTTACACTTTTACTATGGAAACAGTTTGTGAAAATAGGAGATATTTTAAACAGTTACTATGAAACGGTTTGTGAAGATAAAAGGTATTTTACACGTAAAGAAAGCATGTATTTTACACGTTTACTATAAAAAAGAAAGTTTGCAATGATGGCGGGCATTTTAGAAAATCTTTCTGTTTTATGTTATAGCAGCAAAAAATGTATGGTGAATAAATTCATGAATCTTGAAAGTTCAGTTTTATATTTACCTGGAGTAATTGAAATCTTTTTAAGGAACAAATTTTGCTTAGATGAAACAGCTTTACAAAAACAGTATTGATCATGCATTTGGTTGATAGCCAGTTTAAATTTTTCAGTGTGAAGTTATTTTCTCGAGTGAACAGGAAGAATTTGACAACAATGTTACCGGTACCTCCCCCAGATCTACTTCCACTACAGAAAGTTCTTAGCGTCTGTTATAGCCGAGAGTTCACAGCCATTTACATTCTGATAAATCCCACAAAAATTTGGGTGTATACTGCAAGGTAGGTTTACCAAAGACTAAAATTCCTTTCTTCAGTTAGTATTATCATTGTATTAAAATTGATGCGAGTCTTTTCGTTTATGGGGAATTTGAACAATATTAATCACTTAAAATAGTTTGATCGGGTTCTTTTTAACTGACATGATAAACGAAATAAAGTGGAACTTAGGTGTATTCTTGAAACTTACTTTAAATGGATATTTATCACTCAATTTACACAGTTTCATGTTCGTGTTGAAAATTCCGCCAATCTACATCTTGAACTCTTGCGCTTGAGTTATCGTTCTTTGGAAACATTAATCTCTTGACTTTTTATTATTAGAATGTAAGTGCTCATTGTAAAGTTGTATATAATTGTTTCTGAATTGCATGATAAGGTAATATTCTATGATGAAACTTAAAGACCTTATTATTGTTTTACTTTGTTTTCACGGCTATTAATTCCGCGAAACAATTTGCATAGTGGGAAACAGGGCATGATTTATGTTGTCAATCAACGGAGGAAAAACAAAACGGTAAGCAAAGTTTAGATTGCTCAGAGCTCGGAAGTGAAACTTTGAGCTCCTCACCTTTTAGAAAATTGGGTTAAATATTGGATAAAGAATAAATATATGGTTAATATTTTTAGTAAATAATTATTGCCTATATTCTTATATATTTTTAAGTCATAAAGCGATGAAGTTCGCGACTTGGAAATAACGGAATCTAGGTTTTTACATTGAGAGTTATTTTAGAGTCCGGGGATTTGTCCTTAGCTAAAATTGTTGTTTCTGTTATTTATATGTAATTAATATTTAATACCGGGTTGGGCAAAATTCACTGACACACTGGTTAATTGTTTTATTTTGTATTTCGTCAGCTGTACTGATTTATTTCTTAAATATTCGTATTATATCCATGTGAATAAATTATATTGATTTTGTACTTTGATTTCGTGAATAATTTGCCATCAGATTCTTTTCTTAAAGTATTCAAACCGCTCGGAGGCAAAATTTTACGACAATCATCAATAAATTATTCAAAGTAGCTATAATTATGTTGGTAATTGCTACACCAGCAAATAATCTTACATATATAATGATCTTAAAATAAAAAAAAAACATGACTGCATTAAATTATTATCCCTAGGAAGTAGTTTTGGAGAGGATTTATTTGCATTCATTGGTTTGTTTATGGTGATCTTTTGCATTCAGGTCCAGATTCAATCAACTCGAAATAAGATTCCAATGTTATTTTTTCAGAGGACAATTTACAGTCTCAAAATATTTCAATTTTTTGCACAAAGTTATGTTTGATGGATGGAGTATTTTTTAGAAAAAAAATAAATCACTTGATTTTATCATTGTTAAAAAGGGAAGGAAAAAAAACGAAACAATCAAACAAATTTTATCCCAAAAAATATTCAAAAAACATTTAAAAAAAAAAAGTCAAAATTTCCCGAAAATAAAGAAAAATTAAAAAAAGTAATATTTGACAATGCGCAGCAACATCGGTGTTGAAAAAATGTTGTGTTGGAAGTTCTACAGAAGCGTTTTCTATTTATTACATCCTGATATAAAAATTGGTAAGGGAACGCTTCATAAGAAATAAATTTATCTTGGTGTAATCAGGGATATACAGAATTTTACACCCGTGTTGAAAATGCATACACCTTCGGCGGTGCCTCAGGATGTATGAATTTTTCACACTGGTGTAAAATTCTATTCACCCCTGATTACACCAAGATAACTAATTTTATAATGTATAAACTGTTTTCAGGGGAGACAATGCATTATAATGTATAAACTGTTTTCAGGACTGATCCATGTTGTAAGATAGGGGAGATTAATGTTCTTAGGATGCAGCATGCTGAAATGAAAGGAAATGGACAAACTAACAGGTCAGTCTTACACGTTTCTTAGTTTATAGGCAGCTAAACACTGATTTTATTTTATGGTAGTATTTAAACCATTTTTTTTTAATATGTCCAAAAAGTGGCATGTCTACCATGTAGTTTAGAAGGATAATAAAAAAACTGAAGAAGGCCAGTGGCCGAAACTTCTTAAAATATTGATTTAATCACTACAATAATGCAAAATGTGTTCCCTATTGGAATTTAGAAACACAAAACTGATTTTATAGTTAAAAATATCACTGTTTCATTTACAGAGCTAATTTTTACCTATTGATGACAAACTGGTTACCTATATTTCCAGTGAATGTATGGAATTTCTAAACTACTGTTTGTGTCATAACACTTAGCATATGTTACTTGCTGATAGTAAATGTATTCCTTATAGTGCTGTCAGTGTTGTTATGCTCAACCTTTACTTCATTAAAGTAACACTGAACAACTCTCTTTAGTATCTCTGTTTGGTTCAGAATAGAAATATTGTTTACATATAATTCATAGATAATATTCATTTTCCATATACATTCAAGTACACAAAAAAAAAGAAAAGTTGTATTATATATTTTTTTGCTTTTTGTTATTATTTAAAATAAACATATTAATTTCCTATGAATAAAGCTGACATTTTATTTTGTTTAGGACTCCAAAAGTAGCAGCTGTAGGAAAAGGTCCAGCACACAGAGCTACAGAAAATGGTATGGGAAATGAAATAGCTTCAAATTGTTGCAGTCTCAGTAACCTAAATAGTCCAGCCATGATGTGGACTGATGAAGGATTTTGTAGTCCTATTAGACATAGCTATTTACTGATGGGTCTAGAGGTATGTCCAGAAATGTTACCAGTGGTTGTTATGGTAACCTTAATAGTCCAACTACAATGTGAACTGATGAAGGATTTTAGTTGTCATACATAGATATTCAGTTATATGTCTGAAACCAGTTTTTTAGGTTTATATAGATGTGGTCCATTATCAATATAATACAAAACATGATCTGCTGCTGCAGAATAAAAACACAACTTTTTTAATTTAAACAAAGTAATTTCCATTAAGATTTTTCAATACCATTGAATTTAATACAATATATGAGAATCAGTCCCTCAGTCATACTCCATTGATGTACCAATTCTTGTATTGCTTTCATGTTGTTTTCTGAATTGTTGTGTTTATGAAGAAGTAGTAAGTTTCAAGAAGAATATTAGTTCCCCCTTCCCCCTCAGTAATACATCAATGACTTTGACCCTTTTACTTTTTTAAACATAAGTATTCTGATTAGGCTTATATTTAAAAATGTAAAAACAATAATTTATTAATATCTATCATTCAAACAAAAACAAAAAAGTCAGCTCCTTAGATATTCATCAGTAATTGTGTATATTTTAGAAATTTTGATTTGTGAAGAAGTACATATATGTCTAAAAATACTTAAAATTGATTTATTTAGAACGCTGTTGCATTATGTTTTATGTATTTAAGTGTCAAGCAGACCATATTAGGCATTATCCCCCTTAAACTTGCTTCTTTGCTTCGGCATATTTTGAATTGTTCATTTTATGAAATAGCACTTGCTGTAAATAACTAATATTAAGTATAATAAGTATGTATAAGTCACGCCTCAATGAATTTAAATATGCTTTTAATGTTGTATAGTTGATTTTATATTACTTGGTGGGTGAGTTGTGGGTTTCATGGTAGATTTTATATTGCTTGGTGGGTGAGTTCTGGGTTTCATGGTAGATTTTGTATTGCTTGGTGGGTGATTGTGGGTTTCATGGTAGATTTTATATTGCTTGGCGGGTGAGTTGTGGGTTTCATGGTAGATTTTATATTGCTTGGCGGGTGAGTTGTGGGTTTCATGGTAGATTTTATATTGCTTGGTGGGTGAGTTGTGGGTTTCATGGTAGATTTTATATTGCTTGGTGGGTGAGTTGTGGGTAACATTTTGTTGATGTTACAGATTGTAGAAATAGTAGAATTTCATTTTATATTCCTACGTAGAATTATGATTTTTATTACAGGACGGAAGAATCCTTTTCACAGATCCTGTTATCATTGGTCAGAAATACATGGAATTTAAAGCTTCTAAAGATGCTGTAAGAATTATACAGTTGATAAATGAGGAAGTTCTCTTAAAATTTATGCTCCTTTCTGACTTTTGAAAACACAAATGTTCATTGAAAATTATCACCCTGCATGAGTGGTACATGTGTGTAGGGGAAACATTTCTTCTTATTTATGTACCATGATGAATAAAAAGAGATGTATGATATACATCAATCAGACATCAACCCATTGACAAAAAAACCCAAAAGACTACTCAAGGTCAACATACAGTCTTCAATAATTGACAGGTGCAAGTGCTAAATTATATTGCTGTGGCTGATCAATTTAGATAATCTCAGAAGTCTACAAGTGGATTGACATAAAAAATTAATCTATTAGCATACCTCAATGAACACTGTATAAGAAAACTGTGAAACTTAGTTTCATAAAAGATTGGAATATATTTTAAGATTATTTTTTTTTCATTTTAAAAGAAATATGTCAACCGGTGCCTATAAAAGGACAAAGTCACAAAACATATACATCTTATTTTCACATTTTTATGTTTAGACAGTCTTTTTCATAGCCATATATATTTTAATTGGTAACAACTTAAAAACTTGAGCAAACCATTCCTTTAGTATGAAAATCCTTTTTACTTGATTATTTTCTAGAATGTATAGCATATTTGACTTTGGATCATATTCAAGTAAACTATAAAGGGAGATAATTGAAAAAAACAAATATGAAAGAGTTTATTCATTAATTGACACAAAGTATATATATTTCATTAGAACATTTCATTACAGATATCAGATATGAGACAAGATGAAAACCATAATTCCTTGATAACATTATCACGGTCTAAAGAGTTGATGATGGTACAGATCTGGACACTGCCACAGTTAGAACTTTGCCATGAACTGTACTGTGATGTAGATATTACAAGCTATGCAAGAATTGTTAGTATCTTTTATCTCTATCATTCATACTTGTCCTTTTTCTCACTGAAAAAGTGTGACTGTTCTACAGAAAATAGTTCATTTGCAAAGATCAGTTTTTCTCTTAATCATATGAAAACTATAAAGTCCAATAACAATGCTTCTAAACAGTTGATCAATTTAAGACCCTTTCTTTCATTTCATGTATCTAAATAATATTTGCTCATTTTCAGAATTCATCATTTTTGAGTGGTCATGAAAGTGGACATTTGAATTATTATTTATTAGAACCAGCTGAAGATCCTGGACTTTTCAAAGCCAAACGTAAGTCTTGATGGCAAAAATTGGCATGGAAACGTACATTTAATTAATGACAGCCAAAGAAAAAGGGCACCTACTCACACAGTTCTTTATAAAAGTACAAGTATACTTTGGTTTTACTGTGAAAAATAAAATCCACTTGCCTCTTCAAGACAAATATTTTCTGCAATGTTTCGTATATTTTCATTTGGAGAGACATGTCTCACTTCAGTAATTTGTGCAGTTCTTTATTATGCTAACAGAAATGTGTCCAATGTAACATAGTCCATCTAATTATTTATCCATTTGTCTTTTCCTTGTAGCCTTGCTATCAGCTTCATGTTTATAAAAATAAGAAGATGTGGTATGATTGCCAATGAGACAACTCTCCACAAGAGACCAAATGACACATAAGTTAACAACTATAGGTCACCGTTCTGCCTTTAACAATGAGTAAACCCATATCGCATAGTCTTGAGTGCAACTCCTCTGAGACAATTTTGCTCAAAATTTTGTAATACATGGTAGGATTGTCATCATTTGTAGTATACAATACTCTACTGCAGAGTTGTGTGACTTACTATTATTTGGTAATAACATTTTGAATACAACTCTTCCATTTTCCTGAAAGCCTTCATACTTGGTAGGATTCTTTGTCGACATGTGTTCTTGACAATACTATATCCTCAATTTGATTTGACAGTTTCTGCTAGTTATGGGACTTTGACTATCATCCACATTTTGCACCATACTCACATTTGTCTTAAACCATATTTAAGAACTCTTTAGGAGGTAGAATTGATTGTCATCATGTGCATTTGACCAAACTTTTCAGCCATATATTTTGATAATGTAATCTGTGTAGCTACACCCCTCATTTAGTTTAATACAAGGAGCAAAACAAGAAGATAAATACGATTTGAATAGTTGCAAAAAGATACAAAAAAAACAACAAATAATAAGTAAATTGTTAATTGATTTTAACAGAGGAACCTAAAAGAGAAGATATTATTCCTAAGAAACAAGTAGAACACAGAAGTAAGATTGTATCAGTTGATGGATCATTAAACGTGAAAATATTCTGCTCTTGTAGGTAAGTAAATGTTAGCAGGTATTAAACTTCAAATGGAAGGGAGTGGTGTTGTAGGCCAAGTGGTCTATGTAATTCATCTGCAGTGATCACTAGCCTGTGAACATTGAGTTCAAATCCTGTACGTTGCAGGTGCGCTTGACTCCAATCTTAATTGACTAGGATTGCTAGTTTTCCTACCGAAGGTCAGTGGTTCTCTATAGGTACTCTGACTTCCTCCAAAAACAAAAACTGACCTCTATGTAATAGCACAATAGTGTTGAAAGTGGTGTTAAACAGAATCAATTAATCAATCAAAGTAAAGGGAGGAGCCTGGGTGGCCAAGTGGTCTGACACATTTTAAGTGCTCACTAGCCTGTCAACACTGAGGCATCCAGACAAATATAGGACACTGTGACAATGTGAGATAAATCAACTGTATGTAGATTTTTACTTTTATGACACTGAATTGTTTAAACATAGTGTGCATTATTCAGCATATTTTGAAATCATGGATAACCAATATTTATCATAAATGGATTCTAATGCCTTTATATAACAGCATTTGTAGGTCATTACAATGAATTTTCACATTTAGTTATAGATTTAGTGGCTTTGATACAATCTATACACAGAATTGATGATACCATATTCTACTTTTATTTTAGTGATAATGGAATGATCAGGATCTGGGATGAGTTTAAAGTTTTACTCAGAGAGATTTGTTTAGATGATGAGGGAGCCACCTTGTCATCAGCATGTTTCCTTGACAACCTGGCCAATATGCTGGTGGCTTTCAAAAATCATCTGTATATAATAGATCACAGTAAAGGTTAGTACACATAAATGAGATTACAGGAATATTTATGTAACAAAATACTGATATATTATGTACATGCAAACTATGAAAGTCATTTTTATAATTAACCAGCAGTGTTTTACAACTACCTTTCTTAGCAATAGCTTATATCATGGGGTCCCCCAGTTTATTCCTTTAAGTTATCATGGTTAATGTGGAAGCCTTTTTTTGAAATGAGGTACAGATTTTACTGGATATCATGATTAATCAATTCCTTAAATTTTTAAGAATACTCAATGAAATGAATATTTTTCAGTTGATGTCAAAATTGTTTTTTGCAAGGTCTGATACAGGATATTTATAAATCAAAGAAGTTTCATGTAGCAAAAAAAATTGAAATTGAATCCATGAATAAACTTACTTTGAGAAAATCTTCAGTACCCATGACATTGTGCACTTCCTAAAGTATGTTTGATTCCAAATGAATTTTGGGTTTTTATATATCAAACCAGATTTTGCCATATATTATGAAAGAGAGTTCAACTTGACATCTTGTATCCACAACACCCCCTGAACTGCTACCTCAATTTGAATTAAACTATTATAGAATATTTCAAACATTTCCTTACATAATGCAGGTGTGTACATCCTAGTTTAGTTTTGATGTTTCATACATTTCCTTACATAATGCAGGTGTGTACATCCTAGTTTAGTTTTGATATTTCATACATTTCCTTACATAATGCAGGTTCGTCCATCCTTGTTTAGTTTTGATGTTTCATACATTTCCTTACATAATGCAGGTGTGTACATCCTAGTTTAGTTTTGATATTTCAAACATTTCCTTACCTAATGCAGTTGTGTACATTCTAGTTTAGTTTTGATATTTCATACATTTCCTTACCTAATGCAGGTGTGTACATCCTAGTTTAGTTTTGATATTTCATACATTTCCTTACATAATGCAGGTGTGTACATCCTAGTTTAGTTTTGATGTTTTAAGTTTAACATAGCAGAATATGGACTTTTCTAATAAATATATAAATGGTTGAAGGAATTGTGTGATTGGATCTGAATTGTTCTTCTTATAATAAATATATAAATGGTTGAAGGAATTGTGTGACTGGATCTGAATTGTTCTTGTTATAATGAATTGTTTGGAATTCATCAAAAATAAATGCAAAAGAGGCCTTAACAAGATAGATAAAATAAAATTTGTTTGAGGGAAATGTTTAAGTCATAGTTTGGGATAAAAATGTTTAAATGAAGATTTTCTTTCAAAAGTTTATAATTACATTTTCCACTGGTGAAAATATTGAGTGTTTAGAAGAATATAGCTAACAGTTTACCAAAAGGGATTGTTACAGCAGTACTTTTTTAAAAGTTGGAAGTATTAAAATAATTGTATTCAAAAAGTTATCCTGGAGTAATCTTCACACCAAGTTAATTTGTAATAGAATTTAAATAAAAGTAAGGAATATGAAATCAGGAGACAGCTACCTATAATAGCCCTAAATCTTTGTAGTATTCCTTTGATTCTGTAAACAAAATCTGGTCCATTTGGTTGTTAATCAAGTGGACCACATTATAAATGATTTATTTAAAGGAAACTTTATACATTGTTATAATTTATAATTGAAGTCAACCTGGTTTAACAGTCAGGGGCATTGCTTAAACAAGTAACTTTTAAAATTACCTATACAAGTAATGTTGAAAACGAGGCTAATTTAAAAATTACTTATATGAGTAACTTTTCTAAATATTATTTTTATAGGTTGCCAATTATACAGATTTTACTAGTTTTAACAAAGTTAAAGTAACCCTTTATGTCTATACTCCTCTCAAATCTAATAAATTCTTAATTTTATGATATAAAATGATGTTAAAAATTCATGAAAACTACATTTAGTCCATGCTTCTATTGAAATTTAAAATAACTCTATTGAGTAATTTTATATTTTTTTAAAACAAAAATTACCTATATAAGTAACTAAAAAAAGTTACTTGATTAAGTAACGCCCCTGACTGTTTAATGCATATGTTGAAATCATGATATCCTATTTGTGTAGTATTAAATTTTATATTATTTTTTAGTTTGTCCTCAGATTAGAGGTACAGAAGATGAGGATACATTTGATAAAGGTATTTTTTGTTATCAAGCTAAGATATAAAGTTTTCTAATCACTTGATATAACTTATCAACATATTTTACAGGAGTAACACTACGAGTGTCACATGTGGAGCAGGTCTGCTTACCCCTCCAGAGCACCTGAGATCACCAGCTATATTTTTGGGGTTCTTGTTGTCAGTCTTTAGTTTTCTATGTTGTGTTTTGTATACTGTTGTTTGTCTTTTTGCCATGGTGTTGTCAGATGATTTTCGACTTATGAGTTTGAATGTTCCTTTTGGTATCTTTTGCCTCTCTTTTTTTACAGTAGATTCATACAAATAAATAAAAAATTGCCAGTGCTTCCAATTTTAAGTAACTTTCTTTCAGTTTTGAATATAAACATGTTATCCAAAATAATGACATTTAATGAAAAAGGGGGAATTGGAAGTGAGGTATGTTACAGTCTTGTAGTAATTATACTCCACGGAACGGTAGGGTATAATGTTTTTGACCTGTTCGTCTGTTCGTCCATTTGTCAGTCCTTCAGTCTTGTTTTTGTCATTGCAACTCCTCTAAAACCACACAACAGAATTTCATGAAACTTTGTAGATGTGCATATCGACATGATTTAACTTTTTTTCTAGGAGTTATGCCCCTTTTAACTTAGAATTTTGCCTTAATATACTACTGCAACAGTTTGTCATTGCAACTCCTCTGGAACCACATAGCAGAATTTCATGAAACTTTGTAGATAATTAGGACATAATATGTAAATATGCATATCGACAGAAAATTATGACTCAATTTTTTTTCTAGGAGTTATGCCCCTTTGAACTTAGAATTTTGGTCTAAATATACTACTGCAACAGTTTGTCATTGCGACTCTGCTGAAACCACACAACAGAATTTCATGAAACTTTATAGATAACAAGGAAATAATATGTAGATATGCATATCCACAAGAAATTTTTATCAGTTGACTTTTGTAAGAATTATGAGTCTTTGAGATTTTGTTTGGGCAGTGACGATGTAGGGCTGTGGTGTATGTTAGCGTGCTCACAAAAGTTCTTGAATTTTAAGTGAACTTTACCTTGTTCAATGAACAATTTGCCAAAAAATTAATAAAAACATTAAAATCAGTAATTTCAGATCATTCTGTAATATAAAAGTGTTTAGGTTTGCGATAAGTGTTAAAAAGAAATGAACATTGAAGCAAAAACAAGATTATAATATTTATTAATACATGGAACAATTTATGACAGTATGAAATTATTGAAACCATTTTTTTTTTTTTTGTGTGTGTGTTCAATAATCATTATACTTAAATTCCAGCTATACATTCATAGAAGTACAGATTATCAGGTTGTCTGCATATTGATATTGTAAAAAATTACACCTTGTATAAGAATGCCGGATTTTGATTGGTTAGCCAGTGTATTTTTCGCATATTCTAACCTTTTTTCCTCATTTCAAACAAATCTGCCTGTTTTTCAACACTGCCAGTGAATATGCCTCAAATTCCCCTGTATGCCGTGGTATTTGCAATTTTGGATATTCTTTTTTTACCCTCGCGAGCCTCTTCCCGCCAAAATTATTCGGAACCTTTCTCACCTCATCCCGATTATTAAGGTAACATTATTAAGCAATTTTGATTGATAGAGGTAATCCAAAAACTGTAAACAAAAATGTCAGACAACACGACTGCATGTCACCAATCTCGTGATCGTATATTGAAGAATGCATTGTGTATATAAAGTGGAAAAAGATGTTTATACAAATGAACGATTTAATGATAGAATGACAATGACGTTTACACATAGATACCATGACGTTACATAAAGACAGCGCTAATGCGTATAAGAAATTGTATAATTCCCGCGGTACTATGATAGTCTCTGCTTATCCTCAAAATAATGCATAAACATGTTGATGGATTACAGCTTACTAGTAAAAAAAAAAGAATTTCCCTTCACCTGTACAGAGAGTTTCAATCAAAATCTATTCGGTGTAATTAAACAGATATATAATGTTATGGAGGGGTATTTGCGAAAAATACCAGTAATGGGACCAAAGGAGTAGGTCCGACTAGGGCCGATTTTGGCCTCAAAATTTAGGTTCATCTGATGAAAGATTTTGGACATTTTTTAAACACTTAAGTGTCTACTTCAGTCGATTCAATTAGATTATGTGAAAGATTTGAACTGATTTAGTCATTAAAGAAGCTCAAATTAAAGCTTAAATATAAAAAATCTATCAAATATGCCATAATATGTCACTTTTCAGATGGTTTTTGTCAAAAATGAAAGTGGCCGCATCCGTGTTCATTCTCAACCTTTATATATGTTATGTATTATCATTAAATACAACTTACATTTAAATATTAAGAATGAACACAAATGCGGCCACTTCCATTTCAGACCGAAACTGTCTAAAAATTAACCAAAATGCTAAAATTTTAAAGATTTCAGTAATTTAGCATGACTTAATGATGCTAGTACCCGATACATGTGCATTGTATTGTCAAAAACAGCCCATATTTATGTAACAGAAGTATTCTTCTTCCCAATAAATAGCTAAAAATTTACATTTTAACAATTTTGTAAAACTGCTATATTTTGGGGCCAAAAAGGGGTCTTAATGGGCCTTATCCTTTCCCTCGACTACGGCTCGGGAAATTTCACAGTCCCTTGACTGGTATTTTTGACAAATTCCCCTCCATAACATGATATATCTGTTCAATATAAGCTGGGAGTCACAATATAAAGTTTTTTGTAGAGTAAGCGCAGCCAACGAGTTCAAAAAGGCTTCATATTATGAGGAGCAGCTGATATTTTACAATATCAATATGCAGACAACTTGATGATTGATTTATCGGATTGTATTTGTGTATTTGTATGATAGAAACAAGTGTTTTTCTTTGTTTCACCAGCAAACCGAAAGATGACGTGATGAGTTCGGGTCAAACCTATCAAAGTCGTTTCATTCATTATGACATCGATAATATGTCCGGTGTCAAAGTTATTAAGGAGAGGTCAATGTTTTCGACGTCACAAAGCTGTGATATGCAATTTTATGAAGAGCTAGGCAGAGTGGTACAGACAGTGGGAACACCAATAAAGAATATTAGATAAAGACAACAAAATTAATTAGTAGATTCTCAACAACTGTTAACATGATAAGCAATCTACCTTATATCCCTGTGGCATTAAACAGGAACTTGTAGGGCCCTGTGGATTTTCATACAATACTAAATTGCAGTTTTATTACCAGAAAAGAAATTTCTGAAAAGAAAAAAAAATTTTAAGATTTTGTAACTTGTAACTAAAAATGCAGCATCGGACAAAAAGACGTTTATAATTATGTCCCATCTTTTTAAATCTAAATAAGAAAATCTTGACCTAAATCCAAAGATACATTTTGGTCAAGGACCTTTCGAATCAGTTATGACTGGAAAAATGACCGTTTCCAGACCCTTGAATCAGGTCAATGGTTAGCAGTATGATTAAATAACACTACATAACTACATGCTTAAAGAGGAGAAAAACAATTTAACATAGTTTAATCCCTGCTGTGTTATTTTCTTCAGAATCTCATATCTCAGAAGAACAGTATGTGTTATATGAAGGCAGCATTTTCCACCCAGAACCAGTTACACTAGAGAATTATCTAGTAAGTAAAACATCCCTTGTAATATCTGTGTGAAGGCATTATTTTCCACCATGAACCAGTTACACTAGAGAATTATCTAGTAAGTAAAACATCCCTTGTAATATCTGTGTGAAGGCAGTATTTTCCACCATGAACCAGTTACACTAGAGAATTATCTAGTAACTAAAACATCCCTTATGTTAGCTGTGTGAAGGCAGCATTTTCCACCCAGAACCAGTTACACTAGAGAATTATCTAGTAAGTAAAACATCCCTTGTAATATCTGTGTGAAGGCATTATTTTCCACCATGAACCAGTTACACTAGAGAATTATCTAGTAAGTAAAACATCCCTTGTAATATCTGTGTGAAGGCAGTATTTTCCACCATGAACCAGTTACACTAGAGAATTATCTAGTAACTAAAACATCCCTTATGTTAGCTGTGTGAAGGCAGCATTTTCCACCCAGAACCAGTTACACTAGAGAATTATCTAGTAAGTGAAACGTCCCTTATGTTAGCTGTGCGCAAAACAGCATTTTCCACCAAGAACAAGTTACACTAGAGAATTATCTAGTAAGTGAAACGTCCCTTATTTTAGTGGTATGAAGGCAGCATTTTCCACCAGAACCAGTTACACTCGAGAATTATCTAGTAAGTAAAACATCCCTTATGTTAGCTGTGTGCAGGCAGCATTTTCCACCCAGAACCAGTTACACTAGAGCATTATCTAGTAAGTAAAACATCCCTTATGTTAGCTGTGTGATGGCAGCATTTTCCACCCAGAACCAGTTATTATACACTAGAGAATTATCTAGTAAGTAAAATATCTTTATGTGTGCTGTGTGAAGGCAGCATTTTCCACCCAGAACCAGTTACACTAGAGAATTTTCTAGTGCGTAAAACATCCCTTATGTTAGCTGTGGGAAAAACAGCATTTTCCACCAAGAACCAGTTACACTCGAGAATTAGCTAGTAGATAAAACATCCCTTATGTTAGCTAGGTGTAGGCAGCATTTTCAACCATGAACTGTTTACACTAGATAATTATCTAGTAAGTAAAACATCCCATATGTTAGCTGTGTGATGGCAGCATTTCCCACCCAGAACCAGTTACACTAGAGAATTATCTAGTAGTAAAATATCTTTATGTGTGCTGTGTGAAGGCAGCATTTTCCACCAGAACCAGTTACACTAGAGAATTTTCTACTGAGTAAAACATCCTTTATGTTAGCTGTGCGAAAAACAGCATTTTCCACCAAGAACCAGTTACACTCGAGAATTAGCTAGTAGATAAAACATCCCTTATGTTAGCTGGGTGTAGGCAGCATTTTCAACCATGAACCGTTTACACTAGATAATTATCTAGAAAGTAAAACATCCTTTTTGTTAGCTGTGTGAAGCAGCATGTTCCACCAAGACTTGATTATTCAAGACAAAAAGGGGCAGTGTTAATTACTTTGTTCATTTCACTGACTTTGGTTAAGTTGACCTGTGGGAAGTATAATCATATACAACTTTTGAGTTAAACCTTTCTAATCAAGTTGGTGTTCAAGGAAAAAATTAGGTCATTTTCAACTGCTCATTATGCTTCACTGAATATTAATTTTTTTTCAGAAATAAAAAATATGTAAATCATCGTTTTTAACTGTATGAGAATAATTTTTTGTGGGCCAAATCAGTCTAATAGCATTTTTTTTTCACAATTTAAATAATGAGATGAACTTTGTAATCATGGATTAATGCATTTATTTGTTTTTAAGGTGCCATTTCCAGATAAAAAATTTACACAGGATTTTCTTGAAGGAAAGGTTGAATCAGATTCCGATGATGAAGATGGGGTAAGTTTTATGATTTGATATTAATTTTCAAAACAACTTTTATACTGATCTGATTACAAATGTAAAGAAGCAGAGATAATAAAGTATTTATTGGCATGTACATTATATTAGTTGATAGTGTGTTACTTGATCACACAACTTCATTCCTGGCAACAAATGAAATTAAAAAAAAAATTATTAGAGTTTATAACTACAGTGAGTTTGACTTTTGACCTGTTGACCCCAGAATCAGCAGGATTTTCTTCTTCCCAAATGGTATAACCCATCCAAATTTAATTTATCAGTATCAAACCATTAAGCTATAACTATGAATGAAAAATATAATAAAGATAAACCTTAATATGTTTTATAGATGCCATTCATTAATTTGACACCATAAGCTCAGAAAATTTTCCAAATTTTTTATGTGAAAGGATAAGTAGAAAATAAGAATTCACATTTTGAATCCATTTAACATTATTTGTACACAAAGGTGGATTTGAGGAGGGGTTGCAGGGTGGCCAGGTCCCACTTATGGAGCTACTTTTATGGTTGATGTATAGACTATTTACATGTTCCTCTCCAAATGTTGCCTAGTTCGGGAGCCCTTTTTCAAAATCCTGGATCCACATCTGGTACACAGCATTCCCAGAAATTGCCTTAATCGATCTTACATTTTTTCCAGAACACATAATGATTTCTATATACATTATAGTATTCAACTGTTGCCAGATGTCAGCTAAAAGTTATTAGAATTTAGAAAGTCCATATCTATAACTAAACTAAAACAGTTTAGTATAAATCATTATAAAACATGCTTGTTATGAGAAATATAAATATTAAGTCTGCTGTCACATTATTTGATTGACAGTTTTCAATTCGGAAGTATTATTGTCTTCTGTGGAAGAAATGAACATTTTTAATAATTTTGTTTTCTAGGATTCTGATACAGATTCAACCCTATCCTTTGCTCCATCAGATATCTATGACTCACCCATCCTGACCCCTGATAGTCTGTCTATGTGGGATTTAACAATGGATTCTGAAGTCAGCAAGTTTGACCTGTTAGAACACATGAAGAGAACAATTAAACATCTAAAGCAGAAAGGTAAGAGTTATATCCCCTTATTTTAAAGGCATAGTTTTCCTTTTTTGTATATTAATTACTGCAGTAAGAAATGATTGAGACATAAATGATGTTGTAACTAATGGATGTTGTAATGCATGAGTATAGATGATAGCACCTACTATAAGTATTGTATACAGATACTCTTCCTATCTAACTTTGAGATGGCATGTGAAGTTAAGATATTTTTTACACTCCTTCAAGTTTGAGAGACATGTTTTCACGATCTGAGATCTTTAGATACCAGAAGAATTGTCTGATCTTTAAGTTTATTAAGTTTGTGATATTTTATATTCTCATGGAGGTGATACATGCATACCAAGAGATGCTACCTAGTTAAGCACTCAGTATTGATTGATTTGAAGGTCATGCTATTCCTTCAAACATTTTTTTTTTTAATTCTAAAGGGATTTACATGATTTGAACGTAGGTTAGTTATTTGTTCCCACTTTTTTATGTGTAATTTTTGTGTTTCTGGCAACATTGTTGTCTTCTGCATCAATAGAACATAAAGGGTATTCATCCATGACTCAAACTCAGTATGTGCACAGCAAAAAACACAAAAAGCAAAGGAACAGCAATTGTATTCCTGTTCTTCATCTCAAAGTCACAGTGGGACCTTCAACTTTGGCAAAAAAAACTCTCACCTCACTGCAAGTTTAATACGGCCCCTAGCACTGGTTTGAGCGGAATTATTTGCAAACAGACGATCATTCCAAAAAATTCGGGTAGACTGTGTAAGATGTAACACCACCAACTCGGGCCCAGTCAAAAAGAACATATCCATCTCACACTTAGTTAATCAGAAAATAGTTGACACATATTCCCCTTAAGGACATGCAGTTGTCCTTGGCAGACTCACACCCAAAAGGTACTCCATTTACAATGTGTAATTCATACAACTGGATGACTGAAATCCCTATAGCCTTATGTCTATATCTCAGGCATCTAACATAGTATGAGAGTAGACCGCTATATCATCCAGATAGGCAGATTTATTTACCTTCTCTCAATTACCATCAATGATCATCTCTATAAAAATAAGAAAATGTGGTATGATTGTCAATGAGACAACTATCTACTAGAGACCAAATGATATAGATGGAAGCAACATTAGACACATTTTTAATTTGGTAATGACTATTGGAATTACCCCGGGTACACACTCAAAAATTTAATGGGGACTATTAGAAATACCCTTTTTACACACTTTTAGTGTAATTGTGACTATTGGAAAACCCTTGGTACATGTTTGATATGTAATTTTGACTATTGGAAGACCCTGGGTACATGTTTGATATGTAATTGTGACTCTTGGAAGACCCTGGGTACATGTTTGATATGTAATTGTGACTATTAGAAGACCCCGGGTACATGTTTGATATGTAATTGTGACTATTGGAAGACCCTTGGTACCCATATCAGTATAGTCATCACAGTGCACACATGTCTAGAATCTGAGGAATAGTGATATAGTCATCTTATTCTGTATCCTTGTGTTTTGTATCAGGTTTATATATCTTGTGTCAGTACTAGTGAGTAGTCAGTCAAAACAATATTTGATTATAAAGTTACTTATTGATTTTTTTTTAATTGTTTATAATGCAGTTATGTTTATCATCAAAATGCATTGCTCATATACCTTAAGATTTAAAGTACTTAGTGAGCAGGCAATCAACCAGAATAATGAAGGTCACACTGACCCATTTGTTGATGATTTATTAACTTTGAAATTCATATTTGAGGTTTACATTCATTCACTAAATGTTTTACAATGATTTAGTATAAAGTACATTACTTAGCTGTATTTATATTAATTTATTGGACTGATCCCTGTATTAGTAGATTACCTAATGTTATGTAGTATATCTATATATGGAAAAATTTATGTAGATAGTATGCATGGCATCTGCATGTATATATAGTCCTGTTATTACTCTTGCATGTGTAGCAATGTTCTATCTAACAATTTGTTTTCAGCCGAAGATGAAAAAAATAACCAATTAGCTTTACAACAACGAAATAAACATAAGATAAGATTGTTGACCATGAGTAAAAAAGGTAAAACCTCAGAATAGAGTACACTGCAGAAATTTTCTACACACTTCTTACGAGTGCTTTATCTTCTATCCTGCACTTTAGACAGAATATCTCCTTCACACTTCTGATGAGCACTTGAAGTCTTCATCTTTCTATCCCGCACTATAGATAGTTTATTTCCTCCACTTTTCTGAAGAATGCTTTATCTTTTTATCCTGCATTATAGATAGTTTATCTCAATATTGTTTTACTTTTCACTTTGTTTTTGTTTTGTGTTTCACAATGTATGGATGCACACATTACTTGCATAATTACTTGGTTATGGTTTAACCTGCACAGATGCACATATAACCTATTTTATTACTTACTTATGGTTTTCACAGATTTGTCCCTCGGTTGAAAAATAAAAGTATAGAGAAATAGATATTATTTTCTAGGTTTTAATAGCAGCTGGGATATTCAGAATATTTTCAGATAAACAAAATTATTGGTTAATGATTTTTGCGTAACCTTGATGAAGTAAAAAATGCTAGACTTAGGTGTGCTGCTTCTAGCAGCAGTGGTGGCAGCATCAACAATGTATAAGTCTATGATTAAGTCAGTTAAAGGGGAATCACTAGTGGTAGGTCAATGATATTTGGTATGTAGTTGTATTAGCATTGGCATGTCTCATTTCTATTGAGATTATTTGCCCCCTTTCAGTCATGGTCTATTGACCTTGAAAAGTTTGCTTAGTTTATATGTTAAAGTTTTTGATTAGGTCAGTTTAAGGTGAACCACTAGTAGCAGATCAATAATATTTGGTATACAGTTTTATTAGCATTGGCTCATCTCATTTCTATGCTGTATGGAGATTTGTTTGCCCCTTCAGTCATGGTCTATTGACCTTGAAACTTTGCATAGTTTACATGTTAAAGTATATTTATTTTAATTTCAACTTTTGCATTAAACTATCGTATTTACATAAAGGTGAGACATTTGTCTGTTATATTACACCTGGTTAATATGTTAGAATCATCGGTCTACTCCTTAAAGGAGTTGTTGCCCTTATAAGATGATTTTTTTAACCAACTTGAGTGTTTTACCTAATATCTTAAAAACTATAATAGATAGGCTTAAACTTTGAACAACAACAATTATCCATAACACAAGATCTTCAAATAAATCAATATGATTTAAATTGTCAATTGACTGTTTACTCCTTATTAAAATCACAATCTTTTTTCCCCCCTAATTTTGAAAACTATGATTGACACAATATAATGCTAGCAAAAACAATCAGCAACAACATTTTGTCCCACACAGTTTACATTCAACACAAATTTTCTATGTGCTTTGTATCAACACTGATAAATTTTATACAACAATGCCATGTGAGCAATATAGGATCCTTGGAGACTCTTGATTTTAGTTTCAAAGTACATCTCATGAGAATTATTTCTAAATTTTGACACACTTTAAAATTTTCTTATCATTTTAGTATCATTTCAATATATTGGTATCATTTTAGTATCATTATAATATATGTATTTTGATTACTGTTTTTAGATCACCTTGCTCTAGGTTCATTTTATTATATTTAAATACTTCTGTTACCAGGTGCCAATTGAAACCAAATGAAGTCTGAATCCTAGGTTATCTTATATGAGAATATCAGTGTTCCTGAAGATATATAAAAAAATATATAATTGTTATTTTTAAACTTTATGCTTGAATGCTGTTACAGTGGTTGATTTTCAAGTAAATTTGAAACCTATACTTGATGGCAAACCCCATCAGATATAGTTGTCCTTCTAAATTAGTTTACAAAAAAATCTTCTTTGAATAAATATACTTGACTTGTGTGAGAATTACTGTAAACCAACTTATTTTTGCAACTTTCGAGAGAAGAAAAAAAAATGTAAATATAAATCATCGCAAAATTGTAAATCTTTGGTCTTCTCTTATATAAGAGAAAATCACAAAAATTAAACGTCATGATTTCAGCCGGAAAGGGCCAATCGTGAAATAAAGTTAATAAATTTTGTTTATAATATATGAGATTGTTTGAAGAGCATATTTATACAATGATTCTAATCCGATTGATCTATAGTACCGGTATTATACATTGATAGCTTATGAAAAATATAACCTCCTTTTAATTATGTGGATTCAAAATATGGTTGTATTGTTTCTAAGATAGATATGCTATATGTTTACAGAAAGAAAGAAGAGACGAAAGCAGATGATGTTAGCCCAACAGAATGGAGAGGTTCCAGATTTCAATGATAATGATGAAGATGAAGAGAAATTGAAGTTTGAAATGCCACAGTTTGGAAACTCTCCTGGTCCAACCCCTGTACAGACTCCTACAGGTAGCAGACCAACTACACCTGATGAGACTACAGAACAAGAGGTATTTTCACCTTTAAAGATCTTGCTATACATGTACCCAAATATCAAATCAAAATGACCCAATTACAGTCCTTGAAATTTAGAATTATCTGACTTATATGTCTGTATAGGTAATTGTGTATTTGTTTTAGAACTCAGTGCCTACTGATTTTTTGTATTTTTAGATGATCTCTCACTGTATGCAGTTTATCTAATTTCTGTTTGCTATATATATTTATTACAATACATATTCAATTTTAGCTATATTTTTTTTATCATCTACAAATCACATATAAAGCTACTTTTTATTTACTACCAAGCTTCATTAGGGAAATTTTTGTTATGTGGAGCATTTTCAAACCCTCCTATTTACTCCAAACACATATATAAATTTCTGGATAGAGTATTGAAACTTTCTTGGATAGTTATTTGACAACAAAATATAATTATGTTTTTTTCTTAAACTGACTATACTGTTCAAAAGAAATTATCCTTGATTTTTCAAAAGATATAGATTATGTGATTTAGGGAGGATGAATACTTTATCCCTCAATCAAACAGATTGCAATTTTTTGTCTTGCCTGCAATGAATGTTGCAAAGTGAGAGAGACAGGGATGCTCATACCGCAGCGACAGCATAAACTATTTGTATAAATCTTTACATTTTAGACAGTACCAGTAGAAAAAAAGTACAAATTTTTGTGAGAATAAGACCATATATATGTTTTATACAGTTAGGAGTAGTAGCTGATAGTTTATTTCATATTTATAGAAAACAGAGCAAGCTATAGAGAAACCAAAAGATGAACTAAGAACTCTAGAAGAAATAAAAGCTGCATCTCCTGGTAACTATAGTATTAATTACATTGTCTTATTTATATGAATTATACCAAAGGACATTTAAACAAAAACATATGACAAACTTGATTTTTTTTAGTTTCTGTATTGTGAAGTATCCTTTTCTGAGTAACAACAAACCTGCATCACCACTTTGTGGTGTGTGTATATATATTACACTTGATTTCCTGCTGAAGACCCTATAGCCATTACTATGAGAACCGTTGGAAGAGTATGTGAAAAGCATTGTAAAGTTTTCAGTGTAGGATTGTATTAGGTGATGTCATAATAACAAAAGTTTTACAGTCACCATGAGAACTGATTAATACTTAAAGGGATGACAGATCTTTATAGTTTTTATTTTATTTATTTACAACTTGTTTAGACTTTGTATATTTAAGAGCTTACCAAACCTGTTGCTGGGATATAATATGGTGATTGTTGAGTATGGGATGAATAGGAACCTCAACTTCTCACAGTTTTTAGCCCTGAAACTTCAAATTTTCTAGAATGTGTTTACATTGAAGATGTGTATCTCTCTTTGCATACATATTTTGGAAATTGTCTGATATTGAGTGAATATTTGATGTGTAGTTTTATAATGATGAGTTGCAGATTTAGTTTGTATTATGTTTCGTTTGATAACTTTGAATTATGGTATTGGTAAAATACATTTTTTTATGAGAGCTGTTTTTGACCTTTTTTATGCTTATAGATTTTGAGCCATTTCAGTTATATGATGATATACAAAATATATGTCTGTTTACTAATTCAGTCTGATATTCTTTTAATGGGATTTATGCCATAGTTCATATCTTATTTCTCTCTGATTGGAATAATCAATTCATATTTATGTATAAAACCACAAATGCCCTTTAGTAACATCATATACACTACCAAAGAAAACATGTTTGTTAAACCAACACGTAAAAATAACAGAATCAATTCTGTGACCATGCTGACTTTATCATTATTTTTAACCTGTATTTATTAATTTTTCATCAGTTCCTCAACGAACTTATTCTATGTTTGATCATTTAGTACCATTAAGAACTATTATACAACCGAAAACAATACCAAGGGCAGAGTATGAACTCATAAGAATGCCTAAAACTGCTCTGCCTGTTTATGACAAAAGTATAAAAACAACACCCAGTGATCTTACAATGGATATTCAGTTTGAAAAAGCTTTTGAGGAAATAAGAGAGACCCTAGCCAAGTCTCCCAAAGATCCCTCTATCCCAGACATTAGTATAAATTTGCCAAGTCCGATCAAACTAGACAAGTTTGTTGAGGAGATCCAGTGGGAAGAGAAACAGTTACAAGGTAAAACTGGTGTAGGTCAAATCAAATCACTATAAGTACTTGGTAAAATTGGTGCAGGTCAAACTAAATCACTATGAGTACATGGTAAAACTGGTGTAGGTCAAAACAAATCACTATGAGTACATGGAAAAATTGGTTTAGGTCAAACCAAATCACTATGTGTACAAGGTAAAACTGGTGTAGGTCAAACTAAATCACTATGAGTACAAGGTAAAACTGGTGTAGGTCAAACCAAATCACAATGAGTACAAGGTAATACTGGTGTAGGTCAAACCATATCACTATGAGTACAAGGTAAAACTGGTGTAGGTCAAACCAAATCACTATGAGAACAAGGTGAAACTGGTAACTGGTGTAGGTCAAACCAAATCACTATGAGAACAAGGTGAAACTAATGTAGGTCAAACCAAATCACTATGAGTACAAGGTAATACTGGTGTAGGTCAAACCAAATCACTGTGAGTACAAGGTAATAATGGTGTAGGTCAAACCAAATCACTATGAGTACAAGGTAATACTGGTGAAGGTCAAACCAAATCACTATGAGTACAAGGTAAAACTCGTGTAGGTCAAACCAAATCACTATGAGAACAAGGTGAAACTAATGTAGGTCAAACCAAATCACTATGAGTACAAGGTAATACTGGTGAAGGTAAAACCAAATCACTATGAGTACAAGGTAATACTGGTGAAGGTCAAACCAAATCACTATGAGTACAAGGTAATACTGGTGTAGGTCAAACCAAATCACTATGAGTACAAGGTAATACTGGTGTAGGTCAAACCAAATCACTTTGAAATTTGAGTACAATCCATGGTAGAAAAAATCTTATTACACAAATCTCAATTTGTCAGATATTATTGGTACAATCGATGTTTGTAAGACAAGTTTGATTGTGACACATGTTTTATTTTATTTGTGTGTTATATGTTTAAGTACTTCAGCTCAGCTTAGTTGTGTTTCATTTTAAATGAAATACTGTAAATTCCTTTGCTATCAAGTCTTAATATTTCAGTAGATTTAGCCATCATTTAATTATTTTATTTTTGAAAATGAAAAATCCCCTGATGACGAATCCCTCGAAAAGGAAGTAATAATCTTGAGAAACAAAATACAAAATAAGTGACAGATGAAACCCTTTGAATGTTTTTTTCTCCCTATAAAGGCCAATCTCCTGAACTTTATGGAGAGCATGACTCTCAATTGGATTAAATCACCCTTGTACTTCCTGTATCATGCCAATATCATAATATGTAGTTGTTTGTCTTATGACAATAATGAACTGTTGTCAAATCATTGTTAACCATTATAGAATGGGTCTGTTCCAACACATTGTTAACCATTAAAGAATGGGTCTGTTCCAACACATTGTTAACCAATATAGAATGGGTCTGTTCCAAAACATTGTTAACCATTATAGAATGGGTCTGTTCCAACACATTGTTAACCATTATAGAATGGGTCTGTTCCAACACATTGTTAACCATGATAGAATGGGTCTGTTCCAAAACATTGTTAACCACTATAGAATGGGTCTGTTCCAACACATTGTTAACCATTATAGAATTGGTCTGTTCCAACACATTGTTAACCACTATAGAATGGGTCTGTTCCAACACATTGTTAACCATTATAGAATGGGTCTGTTCCAACACATTGTTAACCAGTATAGAATGGGTCTGTTCCAACACATTGTTAACCATTATAAAATAGAATGGGTCTGTTCCAACACATTGTTAACCATTATAGAATGGATCTGTTCCAAAACATTGTTAACCACTATAGAATTGGTCTGTTCCAAAACATTGTTAACCACTATAGAATGGGTCTGTTCCAACACATTGTTAACCATTATAGAATGGGTCTGTTCCAACACATTGTTAACCAGTATAGAATGGGTCTGTTCCAACACATTGTTAACCATTGTAGAATGGGTCTGTTCCAAAACACTGTTAACCATTATAGAATGGGTCTGTTCCAAAACATTGTTAACCACTATAGAATGGGTTTGTTCCAACACATTGTTAACCATTATAGAATGGGTCTGTTCCAACACATTGTTAACCATTATAGAATGGGTCTGTTCCAACACATTGTTAACCATTATAGAAAGGGTCTGTTCCAACACATTGTTGACCATTATAGAATGGGTTTGTTCCAACACATTGTTAACCATTATAGAATGGGTCTGTTCCAACACATTGTTAACCATTATAGAATGGGTCTGTTCCAACACATTGTTAACCATTATAGAAAGGGTCTGTTCCAACACATTGTTGACCATTATAGAATGGGTCTGTTCCAACAAATTGTGAACCATTATAGAAAGGGTCTGTTCCAACACATTGTTGACCATTATAGAATTGGTCTGTTCCAACACATTGTTAACCATTATAGAATAGAATGGGTCTGTTCCAACACATTGTTAACCATTATAGAATTGGTCTGTTCCAACACATTGTTAACCATTATAGAATTGGTCTGTTCCAACACATTGTTAACCATTTATGTTGAGAATAGTACGAAGTAATAACGTTACGTTTCCCGTATTTACGTTCACATGTTTGTGATGTTACTTTCACCTTGTATGGGCTTCGCCATTGTAAATATTATACGCAAAGTACATATACGACTTACTTAGTTTATTCCTCACATTTTTGGTGCCGTGACCAGGATAAGATGGACAGCAAGCTAAAAGCTGTCAGAGCTGGTCACAAAAGTGCAGTAAAGAGACTTTTACGGAAAGCGGAAGATGATGATTCAAACTTTGACAATGAAAAAAGTGATTAACTTTTAGAAACATTAATTCAAAAACAGAAAACTGTTAGTGCATTGGACGAAGATATTATGAATTCCTTAAAGGAGGAGGACATTGAGGAAGAAATTTTTAATGCAGATGAATACAAATTCTTTTTGAACACCAAAATACGACATATACGGAAAACATTCGCAAACAAAGTATGAACTGATGTCCCACAGCATGATCACGCATTAGGCCAAAATAAAAATATTGTATGTTTGCCCAAACGCGACCGACCCAAAAAAAACCCGCCGACTCAAATTCTTTTTTTGCCGTTTTTTGGAAGAATTTTTTTTTCGGATCTTTTTCATGTCCGCTCCGTCATCGTATAAAACTTAATGTACGTCGTCTTTGCGTTTGAAAGTAACTGTGAATAAGATTTAAAGAAAGCGTGTAAGAGACGCAGTTAATCGATATTCGATGTTCTCAGTTTTTATCTTCTGATTTAACGAACGGTTACTTCTGCTTGGGTGCCGGCTTTGTCAAAAATAATATTTTCACAAAGTTTTCATTTTTTACCAAGTCGATGAAACAATGATAATTAAAGAAATTCAGACATAAACGATTCATTTTCTGAAGAACAGAGATTTAAGCATTGACTTTACAGTGTGAAGCAGATTATTTAATAAAAAGACAACTTTTTATCACTTCATTCACTTCCGGTACTTGTTACACGAGATCGTACATCAAACTAACTTTCGGTGACAAAATAAGTTTGTTACTTCATTTGAACGTGATAAAAATTGCCTCCAGTAAATGTTTAATCCATTTATTGCATTAAAAACGTTATATTCCTTTCCAAATAGCTAGTCAAACATCGTTTATTTTTGTAAATTTTCTTCGTCCGCCATTAACTATTTTCTTACTACGGATCGGAAACGGACCAGCTATGACCGGAATCCGTATTTTTACAATAATAACTACGGACGCATGAATGGAATAGCTGACAAGGAAATTGGTCCCAAATGGAAAAATTACGCATTCCACACGCATTAACAGACTATTTGTTATATTTACTTGATTAATGTATATAATTCCATATATATGGATTGTTTCAAAATATTGATTAAACTTGCTTAATGAACTCTGGGACTATAATACTAATATCAATATATATGGCCCAGCTTAACTTTGTATATCTTTTGATGAGAAACACTGAAATTCATAAACATGATAAACAAGATAGTTTTTTAATTGAATTGTGATTTATATATTATAATTTCTTTATCTTTTTGTCATAAAAAAAAATCTTTTTAGTGCTAGATATTTAGTTGGTAGTTTCTCACAAGAACCTAAACTTAAACAACTTTGAATTTGAACTTTTACTTTAATTGTTTACTCAGATATGAATTGAACAATATTTAAAGAACATTATTTACATATGACCCTTTGTACTATAGGTAGTAAAAACCAAAACATTGTAGCACTGTGTGCAAAGGAGCACTTCTCTTTCAAATCTCACCACTTCTCCCTATCAGTTTCAAAAAGAGAAGTCACTTCTCCCTAAGATTCTGAAGTAGTGTGAGCCCTGCATGATTATGCATTTAAGGATGTACTTAGGTCAGGTTTTGGAATTTCTGTCAGATGTTTGGACTCTGGTTTTTTCCTACAATACAGGGTAAAATATTTTGCCCCATGACCCCCATTTTTTTTCATATATAATACTTTAATTAATAACTCATAAAAGGTCATATACCAAAATTTAAGCAGATTGTAGATTTCTTCTCTTTCCATTAGTTTGCATCTTAACTTAAATGCTCTCGAAGTCTTCTGACTTATAATATCAATTTTAAATTCTACATTTTTCTAATTTCACCAAAGTACATCCTTAAAGACTCACCTTTTTGCCTGCAACAGTCCAATTCATCATTTGATTTATTGTAATAAGTATGTGAAATTATTAATACTGAGAAATAAAAAAAAATGTTGTCTATGGGTTAGAATTATTTGAATAATTGCATGTCTACAGTTAAAACTAAAAATATTTTCAACTAATAAGATCAAATTTGAATCTTTTCCTGAATGATCACCATGTCTTACAGAGTCATGCCTTCATCATTTTCCTCAAACAACTTCAACTACTTGTTACCTGAAAGTCTTGATATAGTGATAATAATATTTATGTGATCAACTTTATAGAAAAAAATGGTGTTTGATTAGGACTAAATTGGAGTTCAGATACCCCCAGAATGCAGGATT